CTCCAAAAATGTTATCAGATTTTTTTTTTGATAAAAGCTGAGGTAAATCTGTCCAACAGAAAGCCTTAACCTTCACATTATCATTTTTGGTGGCTAAATGAAATTTAGCCTGAACTAGCTTGGGGCCTGAACTGCCCCTGTGTCCTTCATTTACCATTTACCAACTTTTCCTCTCCTGAGTTGCTACTATCAGGCAGGAACATGGAGGTGTGGAAATGAGAATGTCCCAACAATGATGGATTACACTTTCAAAATTTCTTATAAATTCATATCTATCACTATGGTCTATTTTTCTATGAGGCAATATACCCAAACTATAAAGGCACGAGGGCCACTGCCAAATTGGAGATAAAGCACGTGTCCACAGAAGCACACTGTTACATGAACTGTGGGGTTTAGCATGTCAACAAAGTGACCTGACTTATCTCGTTGATGAGAAATAAAGGGAAATAAACGAATAGGGGCATTAAGTATCAGTTACCACAAAACTGGAACGCTACTAGTTTTAGTTTTTGTATTATTTGGGATGTGTTTTTTATGTCATGCTAGAAATGTCAAGTTGTAAAATCATGTAAGAACATTAAAATGACAAAACCAGGCAGAGTAAATCTCATGGGTTATGTAAATGGTTATATTTAAATAGCTTTAATGTTACAGAATCAGTATTTGGTAAGATTCTCTTGGAAGACTCCCTTATATATTTTGCTGTGATGAGTAATTAAATAAAGTATTCACCAATCAAGAATACAGTATGGTATCAGAATAAGTAAAACCATTTTTTAGTTCATATAACAGTTAATTGCTTTTGAGATTATCAAAAGGTATAGACAACACAGAACTTGTCAACCAGATACTGATCCTTAGCTTTGTCTTCAATATAAAAGGAAAATGCTCCTTGGAACCCTGTTTGAACTGCAGGTTAAGAACTGTTAGTGGGTTATAAAACCACTTAGTGATTTTAGTCACTATCAGCAATAAAATAGGAAAGAAAAGCAAATGTCAACATGCATCAAACCATGATAAGCAAAGGCTCGCTGGGGAACTTCTGCTTCAATTATCTACGTGTATACATGGCACACTTATGTACCCGGTCCTGCAAGTAAAATTGCTTTCTCGCTAAGAGATACTGTCAAAAAAAAAAATTGAAGAACACAGCCTTAGTGGAATCATCTTCTCCACTAAGAGAACAGGGCTCAGAAACAGGCGGTGTCTGGGGCATGCACTGTGGAGGTGAGGGGAGGTGAGCCGGTACCATCCAACAGTACAATAGGGGCAGGGAGGGAGGAGTTGATGGAGTAGAGACGGCTGGTGAGATGCGATGATTGCAAAGTTTTAAGAAATAAATTACTAATTCAAAACATCACCGAGTTAAACATGCTCTGCTTCCCTCACCAAATGCAATCCAAATCTTTGGACTTGGCATTCACTGCCCTTTCTAATCAAGGCCTAACCTCCCTTCCTTCCCTGGCCTTTCTCTTGCTTTCACCCAAAAGCCCACTCCATGCAGAGAACCATAAGCTGTTACATTCTCAGCTCTTGCTCTATTCTAAACCTGGAAGGTCTTCTCTGGTGAGCCCTTGGTCCCTTTTGCATATTATGGCATTTGGGGTGCACCTGCTGGCTGGGTGATTGGTGGTCTCTTTACCAGATTAATACCACTGCTCCCACCCCCACTGGCATATGGGGTCATGTTTTGCTCACTGTAGTTCCCGGGGCTGCTTAGCATCCTGCCTTCTATTCAGTGGGCTCCACAGATTGATACTCCTTGGGTGGTGGTTTTTTTTTTTTTTTCTCACTCCTTGGATGTGTTTAAGTAGTTTTTGTGTTACAAAGCTCCAAAATGCATCCCACACCAGTACCACTGTTGCGGCCTGGGGGAGCCACTCTATTTCCAGGTGAATGGACTGGTGGCTTCACATGGCCTAGCTTTTTTGCTCTTTTTCTGAGGCTTACCTTGATCCAAAGATACATAAAGCCATCTAGGGCACAATGTGTTTAATTCTAAGCTTTCCGTTATGGGAAATTTTAAACATGTACAGAAATAGGTATAACCTCCAAGTATCCATTGCTCAATTTTAATAATGTTTTAACTCATAACCAATTTCTAATTTTTTGACTCTCCAACCATGGGCTTGTCAATAACAGGCCTTAAGGTCCATAGAAAAGAGAAATAGGCCTCCCTGGTGGCACAAGGGATTAAGTCTCAGCATTATGAAACTATTGCCAACCACCACAGCGTAAGTTGATCCCCAGCCAGGGAGCTAACCCCATGGCGCAGCAGACCTCTCCTGTCTCGACTGCTTAGCAGTATATTTCAGTTGATCTGCCTGTCCTGCTCCCCACTCTCTCTGGTGAATCCTCTCATCACCATGCTCCCACTCCCCACAGCTCTGGCCTACATCCAACTCTTGCATGCATAAATAAAATAAATCTTTGGGAAAAAAAAGAAATGACTGAAACAAACTGAGCCAGACAAAACTCTACTAGGGGCCTCCCTGGTGGCACAGGGGTTAAAGACACAGCACTGTCTAGTCAATCGCCAGCCAGGGCAGCATGAGTTCGAACCCAGCCAGGGAGATAGCCCACATGACGCAGCAGATCTCTCCTGTCTTGACCGCTCTCCCCTCAGCTGTGTACTTCAGTGGATCTGCATGTTCTGCTCCCCACTCTGTTCCTGGTGAATCCTTTAACCCCCTGTACCTCTGGCCTACACCCAAGTTCTTGTATGCATAAATAAATCTTTAACAACAACCAAAAAAACTCTACTAGGAGCAAGTGGTATCAAAACAGACCTGTTGGCTGGGCTGTAAAGATCTGGCACCCAGAACATCATAACAAGCATAAGGGAGTTACAAAAATCAAAACTTACCCAATTGGTTAGTGCTAACAGTCAAGAGTTCCTTCAGCAGGGGAAACACCTTACTAGGAGAAAGGAGCCACACAACAGGTAAAGGACTGAGTCACAGCAGAAGCCCTGGGTTCCTGGCTTGAATCACCTTCCTTCTGTTACAGTTACAGCCTCAGGTACCTGAGATAATCATTGCGGTGCTAAGTGAAGACTGCACCCCCACGAAGAAATAAAAACAAAGCTAATCTACAAGTAAATGTAAATCCCTAGAACTGAAATGATAATCAGCAAATCAGTACCACAATCATTATAATACTATGTGTGTCTGGTCTACTTTTGAATGTATAAAAGCATTTGAGATAATTTCCAACATAAAATTTGGGAATATTAATTAAATGTTCAAGTATTTAAGTAATAATTAAGTGCTGGAAAAATTGTAAGTTGCTAAATGGGTAAGTTTCCATTTATTAGCAGTGAAAGTAGTTTGCACATATTTAGAAAAACTTTAATTGGCTACTATTCAAAGAACTGTTCACTTGATAAATGTAATGAATTAGCAGATTGATCACTAAATAACACACAAAGGGTCCTAGGTTTTTCCCTCCACCTTAAGTCCTTGGGACAGAAAGAATCTTGGACAGCTTCAGCATCTGAGGAAGGCCCTTGCCCCACTCCTGGCCACTGGGTGCAATGTCCTGAGGGGGCTGGGGCTGAGGCTACCTTGATGGCAGTAGCTGAGGACCGTGGAGGGGAAAGACGGAGGGGACCCCGGGGCTGCTGTGTTGCTCACTGGGGATTCCAGTTACTCGCAACTGTACAGCCTGCTTGTCCACCCCAGACCCACTTTTCTTCATGAGCTCTCAACCTTGGTGTATCCTGGAACCTCCTGACATGCCCTCTGTCCCTGCCCTGAGAGACTGTGATTGAAGCAGCCCGGGGTGCAGCCTGGCAAGACTGCTGAGGCTCCCCAGATGATTCTAACAAGCAACCAGGGCTGAAAATACGGCTCTTGCTGGAAGCCATCTCTCTTTCCTCTGCAATGTTCTGTTTCTACCTCATACTGTGTCACCTGTGTCTTTTTCCTCCCTCACCTACTAGACTATGGGCTCCCAGATGGCCTCCCAAACAATGCATGTGGCCCCACGCAGCTCCAGGTGACCCCCGGTGCCCGTGGCTTGGAGTTCAGGTTGGAGTGCACGCTTTGGGGACCAAATGAGTCAAATATCACCCGACAACCCCTTGGGAAGGCTCTGCCCTGCAGCTCGATGTACTGTCTCCCCATCACCATCCACAAAGCCAGTTTCCTCCGATGCCGGAACAGCACGCTGTCTCCTCCTCCAGGCACCAGAGGAAGTAGGTGGTGGTGTTTAGGGGCCACCTTGCATAAAAAACACGTTTAAATACATGCCTCACCCTCAGCCCAGCAAGATGCTCACGCCACGAACAGCCCACAGGAACCAGAGTGACTGACCCTACAGGCGACATACATCTCCCATCCCACACCCACTCCTGAGCATATGGTCCTTACATCCACCGGTGGGTGGAATCACCCACACCGTTTAGCTTTTTGTCAAGGATGTGAAGCTGAATTCATGTGATGTGCTGGATGAAGCACTGCCTCTCCGCTGCACAGTCCCATCCAGCTCAAGGAGGTCACAAATCCTTCCGTTCCTTCCACCTGCCCCACAATTTCCTGTCCGGCCTCTTCCAAGCACCCCTTCTCCCTCCCCTCCCTCTTTAAGGCTGAAGTTCCCTAAGTCTCTATTTGGCACTTCTCATTAACTCTTCTCCCTAAGGGCGCTCAGCTCTCCTTAGGGCTTCTGAATCTATATAACAAACAGTGAGACCTTCCTCCCCATTTAGGGGATAGTGTCCAAGAGGTTTCCTATTCTGGGAAGTGGGGGGAGGAAGACAAAGACCTCATCTAGGCCTTGGGGGCTGGGCTTTCAGTGCACAAAGGAACACAGTAAAAGTTCAATATGTTTCTTTTGAATGAATGAATGAATGCATAAAAATGGAACTTCCATCTGCCTCCAAAAGATCCTCCTTCCACCACCCTCTTCCCACCCCAGGGTATATTCTGAGGCCTAGATTTCACCTGTTCATCTGGGATCCCAGGCCAGGCCATCTGCCACACCAAGCCACACCAAGCTCAGCAATGCTCACAGGCCTTTAATCTGCCACTGCCTGGCCACACGTCATCACTGCCCCAGGGTGGTGGGGAGAGATAAAAAATGTAGGTAGGCCATGCCAATTCTGAGTCCAAGAGGGAAGGGTTAGGTCAGGCTGGGGCCTGGGCAGGGGGCTGCTGGCCCCAAGCAATGAGGGAGTTGCTGGCCTGGGCAAGCTCGGTGATGGATACCCGGCCCCGCTGGCGGATGAAATTAGCCACAGCAGCCAGTTCTTCTGGGGTTATGTAGATGAACTTGCCCCGGTCATCAATCACACCTGTAGGGAAAGACAGGTTGCATGCTGAGTCCTCCCCACTGGCCTGAGACTGCCCACCCTCCACCCCTTCCCAACTGGCTCAGACCCCTCCAGCCCTGGTGGCCTGCCCTTTCAGGCTGCACCCAGTCCTGGCTAAGTGAGTCAAATCAGCCTTTCCTGCCTGTCCATGCCACCCCAATGCATCCACAGGCCTCTGCAAGTCTTCCCTGTAATTGTATTCTGCTCAGTGCCCCTCACTACTTTCCTTCCACCCACTGTGGTCATCCTGCCTTTGCAAAAAGGCCAGGCCAAGGCCAGGCTCTGAGGTGACCGACTCTCCTCTTACCAGTTAGAGTCCCTTCAGCCAGCAGATCCTGGATGCGGTTGATGGTGTCCTATGAGGAGAATAATTCTCAGGGCACTGACACCCCCAGAAAAGGCAGCGGCAAGTTCTCTCCCACCACAGATAGAGCCCCTCTCCCCTTCATGGCTGCCCTGCAACGTGACTCCTTTGGAGGGGGTCTTGGGGAGAAGGGACTCTGGTCCTATAAGACCTCTATGAGAGACTCTCTCCCAGTCAGGAGAGCAGCGGTGGAGACATTTGGCCTGAACTCTGGTGCGGCCCATTTGCAAGAGAGCTGTCAAGGTCACTAAACTGGGGCTGCTGGAGTGACAGGATTTGGACTTTTTTCTTATTCTTCTTGCCTGTCTTCCATCCATAAAAAGGCAGGACTCCTGGGGTGTCAACAGAGTCCTAGACTCTACTCAAGTCTCAATTGGGGGCACAATGGAAGGGCATCAAGACTCTCCGTCTTGGGGGCCTCCCTGGTGGCTCAAGGAATTAAGCATCAGCACTATGAAGCTATCCGCAGCCACTGCAGCATGAGTTTGATCCCTGGCCAAGGAGCTGACCCACATGGCGCAGCAGACCTCTCCTGTCTCACCCGATGCTCCCCTCAGCAGTGTATTTCCATGGATCTGCCTGTTCTGTTCCCCACTGTCACCGGTGAATCCTCTCACCACCCAATTCCCCGCACCTCTGGCCTGCACCCCAGCTCTTGTTTGCATAAATAAATAAATCTTTAAAAAAAAAAGACTCCGCCTTTAGGACAACCTTCCTCTGACAGCCACATAGACCCCGTGGCCACAATCTACATAGCAGGGCTTACCTGAGTCCGCAGGCCCACTTGGGAAGCCAGGTCTTCTAAGAGCACGACCTTGGACTGCTACAAAGAGAGGGAGGGAAAGGAGAGGGGTTGAGCTTGGGCAAATCCCTTAGCACTGGCACCCTTGGAGGTGCTGTGCTTTCCTTTCTGGGGGCTCATAAACTGCACAGATTGCCGTGGGAGCCGAGCTCTCTTACACACTCACTCACATACTCTTATGCCTACCCTGTCCAGAGACACAACTCACGCACTTGCTCGCTGCCCTGCTCGAGGAGATCGTCCCAGAAGCACCCGCCGCCCCATAGGCCCCGTCCTGGGCTGGGACCACGCGGAGATGGATACACGTGAGCAGAGCGCTGCCCCACCTTCGCTGCCTCTATTTAACATCACAGACAGGTTGGGAGGGGGTGCACAGAGAGATGAAGGGAGGGATGACAGTCACCAAAAGCTATTTAAAAAAACTGTGACCAAGACTTGCTGAGGCCCTGCCAGGACAAGGCACAGAGGTATGGGGGATGCAGTGGGGAACAAGGCCTAGCTCCTGCCCTGAGTCACAGCCTGTTTGGGGACACTGGTGAGTAGGTGGCTAAGGAAGGCACAGATGAAAGGCCCCACAAGCCACGGTCTCAGCAGAGGCAGTATGGCTCCTTCCTACCTCGCCTTTGTTCGCCAGCCCCAGACCTGGAGATCCCCCACACCCTCACCACACTCACACCTCTTTTCAACCATCTCTTCTCACCCTCTGAGGCAATGAGTCCTCTCTTAAAATAACTCGCTAACACTGCTTGGTACCTTCCCCACATGACTGTGTTCCTTGTGCCTCCCCACACCCTCAGTAGACATTTCAGCTCCAGGGGTATGGCCAGGGGTCCATGCTGTTCCTGCACATACGCTGTCCCCACCTCCCCCACATGCAGACAGCACAAGACCCGAGAAGGCAGTCTTTAGAATTCCGTGAGTCTTTCATAGCAAATGAGCTGGGGGAGGACTGACACGGTGACACCTCCCCGGCTGCAGATGGCATGTGACTGCTCGAAATGCCAAACCGACTGTGTGATCAGCGAGGTAAGCAGGTGGTAGTTGGGCCAAAGGGTGGGCAAGCACAAGGTGACCTGGCCAGCTGGCCTCTACCTACAAGTCGAGCAGCGGGCACTGGGGCAGCTCAGAGTAGCAACACAGAGTCACCCTAGGTAGTCCTTGAAGACCCGGCCTGAGGGGCTGCTAGGCTAGGTGTGTTTGGAGAAACATACAAACCGAGCCCTGATTAGAAAGGACCTACAAAAACAAGCTATGCCACACCTCTCAGAAACTGTCCCGGGCACAAAAATGTTCCTCTGGTCCTAAAATCCTAAGATAAAAGGGCCCATCCCTTCAGAGGAGAAGGTAGCTGGGCTGAGTCTCAGGAGTTCTCCCTGCAGTCAGCAGCAACAGGATCAGCTAGCATAGGGCAAAAGAACCTGTAAGCTTCAGAAGAGTTGGAGAATCCCCAGGGAACAGTCCCTCAGGAGAGCAGCTGAAAATGAGGGCTCAACTTCCCTTTCCTTGGGTCTCTGCAGAGGGGGCGCTAAAGAAAATGGCTGGGTTCCAGGTCCTCCATGCTACTGCCACTGGGTAGGTGGGGACGGTGATTTCCAACACGGCCCTCAAACAAGGTGCCAGGGTGGAGAGTGGGCACCATGAGGGGGGCGTGGTCATAGCTCTCTGGAAGCTGCTGGCTTTCTCCCGCTCAGGAACCCCTGGCCCCCCCGGCTGTGAGCTCATTCCCTAGCTGCTGGGAGGCCTAAACCCTCTTCTCTTTGGGGAGTGGTGGGGGGAGGATTATGCAAGCCCCGGCTTCTTGGCACCCCCTAGTACCACCCCCACCACCACCCCCGCTCCCTCTGCACTCCTTCCCTCAGCCGCCTCTGCACCTCTGAGCTGCACTTGAAAACCTCTCCCCTCTCGCATCCTTCGTGGGAGAGGAGTTGCTTAGCAGCGCAGCAGAGCAGGACGTGCTTATGCAACCTGGAGGAGCATTCAGCGGCCTGGCCTGTGCTGCCAGAGCATGGTGCAGACAGAAGGGGCCACACCTGCACCCCACCCCAGGTTTCCAAGGGAACATCACTCTGTCCCCCACTCAATCCCCAAAGGCCCAAGTTCCTGATCAGGAACACATGGTGGGGACACTTGCTTCAACTCAGTGGAGCCTCCATGTGACAGAACTGACAAAAAACACATGTGACGAAACTTGAAAACACAGTGACTCACTAAGCGTGGGGTCTGAAGAGCAGGCAAACTGTCAAACCCCGAGTGTGAGGAAGTGATGAAAGACTTACGCCTCCCACATAGGCCCAGGTCCTTCTCCACCTTTGGAGTCTGATGAGAAGGGACTCCCTGGCTGCTTAGCCTCTCTCGGTTCCCCTGCCCCCATTTAGTGAAACACCCACATTCCCGCTCGCGTTTGCTCCTTCCAGGCCCTGAAGAGGACGCACACGGCATGCACACGCGAGATGGGAGCTGCACCCAGGCTCTCTCTATGGCTTCTTACCTTAATGTAGTTGATAAACTCTGCCAGGAAGCTGTGGGACTAGAGGAGCAGAGAAATCAGGGTGAGTGTCCCTCATAGGGATGGAAGGGGCAGTGCCTGCCGACCCACATGCCATGTGTCTGTGCCCCGCCACCTGCCTTTATGAGCAGCAGAGCCATCCCCCCGGCCCCCAAGTGACGGGTTCAGAGACACGATCTCCTAAGGACAAGGTCTCTGGCCACTAGGAGCTACTGGACCTGAGGCCCACTACCTCTCACTGTTTTAGGTGGGCAAGGAGGGCTGGGGATTGGGGGGGGGCAGGCAAGAAGCAGTGGGTGTCTGAGATGGGGTGGCTGGCCTTAGTGGGGGCAGGGTGGTGGGTCCAGGGTGGTTGGCCCACCTGTTCCTCAGTCATGGTCTCGCCCACGCCCTCCTCCTCCACCACGAAGGCCTCCTTCAGCTTCAGGTACTCCTCATGTTCCCGCTGGGCCTGCTCCTCCCGGGCCTTCCTCTCCTCCTCCTCCTGTTAGACATGAAGAAGAAATGGTCAGGTTATTTGGGGAGGGGTACCCACCCCATTCCTGTTCTGGTCCCTGATTGCCCCATAGGACATACAACCTAACCCTCTTTCAGAGACAGTGCTCCTTCAAGTGTCCGATACCCTTGCACCCGAGCTGGACAGCTGGCTCCTCTTCTCGTGGGATCCATCACTTCCCAGACAAAGGCTGTCCAGCAATCCTTCCTTGAAAACCCTGCCATGATCACCCCACAATGCCCTGCAGCCACCCCTACCTTTGCCCTCCCTTGTCCAGACTTTGTTAACAGACATCTGGCCCCATAGCCTCACCTGCCATTCACCCTTCCAGCCTCTCCAATCTAGCTTTTGCATACCTAGCTGCACGGAAAGCACCCGCTCAGGGTCACACATGCTCTCCATCCCACCAAATCCACAGGGCAACCGTCATGCCTCATCCCTGTCCTCTCAGAGGCACTGGCAGGGCTGACAAGTCCTTCCTTCCCTGGGCTTCCAGAACCCACGCTCTCCTGGACTTCCTCCTGCTCCTTGGGTGATTTATCCTGCTTCCACCACCACTCAGCCCTGTCCCTTTGTTCTCCTCTCTTTCCGGGGTTGCCTGGTCATATTATGGCATCAGCAGCCATCCTATTAGTGAGCACAACAGTTGCACCCCCGTCCAAGTCTCTCCTCACAGGCATATGAGTGTCCCTGGTCTCACAGGCATCTCCAATTGAACATGACCCAGACTCCGAGATGTATCCCCTACACCTTCTATCCTCCTCCTGGGTCACTGGGGTGTAAGGCAGAAGTGCGGAGGGATTCACCAGAGAGTGGGGAGCAGAACAAGCAGATGTACTGAAATACACTGCTGAGGGGAGCCGCGGGCGAGACAGGAGTGGTCTGCTGTGCTTTGTGGATTAGCTCCCTGGCGGGCTGGGGATTGAACTCATGCTGTAGTGGCTGGAGGTAGCTTGATAGCGCTGTCCTTAACCCCTGCGCCACGAGGGAGGCCCCTCCTTCTTTAACTTCTAAAAAAGAATCTAAGTCTGTCCATGTTGTTCCATCAGCTCCATCACCAAGTGCAACAGCCTCCCCCCAACCCAACGCACTTTCCAGAGCTCCCAGAAAGATCTTTCCCAAACATAAGTTAAGGTTAGGACAGGGAATATACAAGATAAGCCTCTTGCAGTACCAAAAATTAAGCATGTACTCAAAAAAACAAAACAAAGAGCGTATGTCAAAGGACATAGGAGCCAACCGAAAAAAGCTCCCAAAGAGCAAAGCTGGAACAATCCGGTGTACTGGATTATACTACCCAGTATAAAACCATACCCTAAGTGCATGTGCATACACAGAGGGACGATACATTTCTGGTACAAAAGAATTGCAAACACTTTTGTAGATCCTCTCTTCTCAAGGAGATGGGGCATAGCTCCACACCCCTAAGTGTGGGCTGTGTGTAATGATTTGTTTCCGAAGCATAGGAAGGGGGAGTTAACATTACAGAGGGGAAATCTGGCAAACCCAGCTTTTCCCAGGTGATCAAGGTGAATATCACCAGTGATAAATGAAGCTGATAACACAGACTCTTGCTATGCTGTGGTGAGGCTGGTCCTTCCACCGTAGTCTTCCAGAAATCCATAACCCCAGCTGAATCATGAGAAAAATCTCCGCCAAATACAAACTGAAGGGCATTCTATAAAATACATGCCCAGTACTTCTCAAAACTGCCAAGGCCATCAAAAGAAAAGTCTGAGAAACTGACCCGGAGGAGCCTAAGGAGACACGACAACTGTTATGCAGTATCCCGGGTGGGGCCCTGGAAAAGAGAAAGGATACTGGGGGAAACTAATAAAATCAGACAAGTGTGTGGGTTTATCTAATAGTAACGCATCAACATCAGTTGTGAGTGATATACCACAATAAGGTGAGATGCTAATAAGAGTGATACTGGGTGCAAGGGAGAAAAACCCCAGGATATTTTCAGGTGCATCAGGCAGGATCAATACTCAGAAAGAGCAGAAATCTCTCTGCTAACGCCTCCCCTCTGCCATGCTCTTACACATTCACCAGAGCAGCCTCCCTAACAACACGGGCAGTGAGAGACCAAAGGTATCAGGCTATGGCATCCTTGCTGGGGCAGCCCTGTCCTCACCCATATACCCCACGTATCCATGATGTTCTCTTTCTCGGACACCTTCTTCTCAGAAGCCCTGGCAAACACTTGGTACCTGCTTTCTCTGCATGGGCCCCATTCCCTGCACACCTCCTCCACGCCAGGCCCGACATGGACCCTGGAGAGGCATGGACCACCATCTCTTACAATGGCCTTTAACAGTCATAAGACCCTTAGAATCCAGAAAATCCCCTTTACCTCTCTGACCCCTCTCCTAGCTTACCCTGCTCGAGTCACTCTTGGCCATCCTAATGTTCTTCAAACGCTCTTGTTACAGTCAATAAATCACATGCACAAAAACCCGTCTCAGGCTGTGCTTTTAGCAGCAATTTTACACAACTCAGACTAGAGCACAGGCCTGCCCCTGTGCTCAGTCCATGGGCCATCTTCCCTGTGGAGGTGTCAGGAGCTGCATGGAAGCACAGCTGCCTGGTCATGGGTCAGAAGTCAGGATCATTGGTGTGCCTCACCTTCTGTTCCTCTTCCAGGCGAAGTCTCTCCTCCTCCTTCTTCCACTCTGCCTCACGCTGGGACTCCAGGCGTTTCCGCTCCTCACGCTCAGCCTCCTCTGCCTGGAGAGAGGCCTTCATAGGGGACACATTCCCACCCGCAACTGCAGCCTGCTCACTGCCCAAATTGGCCAGGGCAAGAAATGCCCAAGACCAAGGTTGCAGGAAAGAAAGCAAGGCAAGGAGCAAAGACCAGCCCAGCATGCAAAGAGCAGGACAGGAGGATCTGCTATAGGTCAGGGAAGGCCAGGCCCTTCCCCACTTCCCAGTACTACACCCCATCCCTCCTGCTTGCCTCACGCTGGGCTTTTCGCGCCTGCTTCTCTTCTAGCTTCCGTAGTTTCTTGGCTCCAATCTTCCCTGACACATGAGTTTCCACTGGCTTCTCACTGTCTTCTTCCTCCTGGGCTGAGCAAACAGAGAAAGACACTTCAAGTCTTAGCCAGAGAAAACCGATGATGATGGATCCACCCCATCCCTTGTCCCTCTCTTCTTGGGGGCATCCCTTTCCATTCACCTGCCAAAGTCACTAGCCCAGTTGTACTCTCTTGAAGCATCTGCTGAGAATACAGAAGTTTATACTCTGAAGTGTGTGTTTTGATGTGGAAGAGGAGTCAGGGAACCATGGGGCAAAAGAACTGATGAGAACTTTACATCCTGCATAGCCATAAAAAGAGAAGCTCAGTGTCTGATAATCACAGGCAGGCCGTTTGGGCTTTCGGAGTTCTCTGGACTCTGTCTCTGAGCTAAAATTCCAGAGAAAGATGGTCCCATGGGGAACCTTCTCTCCATCTCAAATCTGAAATCATCCTCACTGTGGCCAGGAACTGCTGAGGGTTCTGGGTTGTTCAGACCCTGGCCAGGGTTATCCCTTTCTCCCATCATGCAGAGCAAAAAGACAGCCTCCACCCCAGCCCTACCCCAGGACTAGCTAAAAGTTAAAGACCTGCTGAAACCTGAGCAGAAGGATGCTGACTCCAACTCTGAGACAGGAGGAATAGTGCCACAGAGAGCCTCTTTTTTGAACCTAAGCAGCCAATTCCCAAAAGTATAAGGGCAAAAGTCCCAAGTATTCCCCCCTCAGGCTCAAGCCAGCTGTCAAGCACTGGAGAAGAGACATTCTTTCCCGTAATCCTAAGAGGTCTGTTGGTCCTCTAGCACCAGAGATATGGAAGCCTCTGTCAGCAGAGTGTTTCTATCCCCAAACTCTCCTTCTAGGTTATAGGTAGCCCCACTCCACGGACTGTAGAAGCTCTTGATCAGACACTCTGGTCCTAGGGTGAGGCCTCCAGGGAATGAGTGTCCCCACACCAGGATGGGTGCTGGGATATAAGGAACAGAACGAGGGACTCTCTTGGCCAATCTGAAGATCCTGTCCTTCAGCTTGGACACTGAGCGCTAAGAGGAAGAAAGAGGGGGTTTGCATAATGTAACAGGGTCAGGGTCCAGAATTTCTGGTCTACAGGACCAAAGGCCAGATCCCAAGTTTCCTCCCATTCCACCCTATGTCTTCACACCCCAATCTTCCATAGTTTTGAAGGTCCCTTCACCACCAGGCTGGTCCCCTCTCACCTGGGATCACGGCTGCCTCCTCATTCTCATCCACCTCTGCCCAGGCCACCCGCTGGGCTCGACGCTGGGCCTGTAGACGGCTTCCCAGGTCTCTTCGGCGCCGGGGCCTGCCCCCAGCTCTTATTTCCTCAGGTTCTAGGGGCCGAGGCTGTGCCCCTCGGCCTGCTACTCCTGGTTCCTCTTCATTGTGCAGTGGCTCTTGAACAGCTAGAGGAAAGAGAGGAACCATGATACTGTCTGGCAGCAGAATCCACTCCATGGCAGTAGAGCAGCATTCACTCTCCTCTACTCAACTTTCTTTGGGCTTCTGTTGCCCACAGCTTCTCAGATGACTGAGATCTCTACAACCTAGACCTACATCTTGGTCCTATGCAGCAAGATCACCCCTTCCCTCCTGCATGTGTTGATACTTCATTGTACAGTGGCTCTTGAACAGCTAGAGGAAAGAGAGGAACCATGATACTGTCTGGCAGCAGAATCCACTCCATGGCAGTAGAGCAGCATTCACTTTCCTCTACTCAACTTTCTTCGGGCTTCTGTTGCCCACAGCTTCTCAGATGACTGAGACCTCTACAACCTAGACCTACATCTTGGTCCTATGCAGCAAGATCACCCCTTCCCTCCTCCATGTGTTGATACCTTTCCCTCCTGCAAGGCCCCACCTTTCCAGCTGGACTTTCATGAGACTACCTGCAGGACATACACCTTGCCTCCAAGAAGCCAGTCCTGACCTTTCCAAACCTCATCTGAATGCCCACTTCAGGACTGCCTCTTTTTCTTGCCTAACAACACATGCCATGGTTTTATCTGGCACCTCTCCCAGAAATATGTTTGCTATCTGCTTCACCTGTTTCCACTTACCCCTTGTGCCTGCAGATGCTCTGAGAAAGCTTGTGAGCCCAGGGAGGTTGAAAGACATACATAAACCCATATTCCATATGCTAACAAGAAATGCTGTCTGTGTGCGTGAGGGAGAGAGACAGACACAGAGACACAGAAGACACAGAGAGGGGAGAGACATATATCTGTTCTGTGTACCCTCGCTGATCACAAAGCTTTCTGGTCAAAATGCAGAACAGGGACAACGGTTCATGGGTGCTCTCCTTGAAGGGGAAGGGGTGTGCTTCAGGGAGCTCGCTGCTCGTGGGTAGGCAGGAAACACTCAGGTGCACCCTTCTTGGCACCAGCTCTGGGATCCAGCATGGGAGGGATGGGACAGCCCTGCGGTTTCTCCAACGCGCGCAGAGGGTTAGCCCCAGTGAGGGATGTGGGTCTATTTGCCAGGATGTGGAGGTCTGGGGGTGTTAGGAGGTCGGGGGAGGGAACAGTCGAGGCTCTCTGAAGGGTCCCAGAAAAGAGCGTTAAGTTCGTTGCCATCCGATCCACCAGCAGAGTTTTGGCACTGCAGCTCCCCTCCCCCACTCTCCTGCCCCTCCCCCACTCTCTCCTGCCCCTCCCCAAGCGCGTGTAGGCGCATGCGCGCAGCCAACGTGACGCGCGGCGAGCGCGGTCCGGAGCCCAGATCCTCGTCTCCCCGGCCGGCGAGCCCGCGCATGCGCCTGAGCCGCGGCGCGACGGCCTACAAAGGCCGAGGCCAGAGAACGCGACCCCGGTGGCCCGGGCGCCGTGGCGTCTCCTACCTACTGCCGCCCGGCCCCGGCTGCGAGTCAGGAAGAAAATAACGCCAACAAGCAAAACCGCCGCCACCAAGTACACCACGGGGGCCACCATGGCGAGAGCTTCCTGACGGAGCCTCCGCGTCCGCCCTGAGGCGCGGGATCTCCCAGGCCCCGCCCATCTCCAGGCTAGGCTCCGCCCCCAGCCGGGGCCCCGCCCACGCCGCACACTTGGCCGGAGCGTTCACGTTTTACTTTAGGACGATGTAGGCAGGGCATAAAAATATACATAATGTGGAGTTGAAATTACTGCAAACGGTTATGTGCAGTGTAACAGGTACATTTTAAAAGCACTAAATAATACCACGTAGTGTTTAGGGAAACATACTATGAAAAAGGTACAAAAAGATACACACCATCACATTGGACTCAAAGGACAAGGGGGAAAGACATAAGCTATTTATGTTGTGATATGTTTTTGTACTAAGACCTGCAATTTTATACCTATTTAAAATAAAATTAACTTTACTCGGTTGTAGAAGAATTAGTAATCCAGCTTTTCATCGCATAAGTTTAAAAAAAGTAAGGGATTTAAATTTCTCTTAAAATTTTAAACTATTTTTTTAATCTGTAAATTTTAACCTCGAAGTTTAAAAAAAAAATTGGCATCAGGATGTAAACTCAGAATCTTTCAAAAGAAAGTAAGTTACTGGCAATTTCCTATTATGTAATTATGAAGCTTTGTGTGGGCTGGTAAGGTATATAAAGATTGCAGGACCGATGAAGAGGGGTAAAATTTGAAATATTATGGCAACATGTTTACCTCTGGTCAGTTGGAACGATGGGAACTTGATTATTTTATTATTTCTTTAAGTTTGGAATATTTTCTAATTTAATTTTAAAATTAAATTTCATAAAATTGAATTTTGGGCCTCCCCGGGTAGCACAGTGGTTGAGCGCTGGGTTGTGAAGCTGCCCACAGCCTCTGCAGCGCCAGTTCGATCCCCTACCGCAGGGCAAGGTTCCCACAGTCTGCCTGCTCTGCTCTCCGCTCTGACTCTGGTGAATTCTCTCACCCTCCCGCGCTTCTGACTGTACCCAGTGCTTGTATAAATTAATAAAAATAAATCTTAAAAAAAATAAATTAAATTTTAAACAAGAAAAAATGACAGGATAGATGAAATAAACATAGCAAATTTAAACTTTTACATTTTAAGAGGAAGAAGGAAAGCAGCAGCAGCTTGCACACACAAGCAGGCAGAAAGAGCTGCCACTCATGTTTTGCAAAGGGAAAAGTTTTGTGAAAAGAAACTCTCACCTGAATACTCACAGGTCGGTGAGAGCTGACAAATGTTGATAATTATTAAGTCTATGTGATAGGTATGTTTGGGCTCATTATACTGCTTTTTCCTATTTTCATAAGTTGTAATTTTAGTATAAGTGAGCTTTATTAAAAAATAAAAACTAAAACTATTTTTTATTATTTGCATGTGCACAGAAATTTATCTTGAACAGCAAAATCAACAAACTAACAGAAATAACACTTTCTTGTTGATTCAAACTGATTATATCATTTCTATATGTTTTTTTTTTAAGTTTTCTTCATTTATGCATACAAGAACTGGGGTACAGGTCAGAGGTGTGGGGGGCAAGAGGATTCATCTGAGACAGAGTGGGGAACAGAACAGGCAGATCCATGGAAATACACTGCTGAGGGGAGCAGTGGCAAGACAGGGGAGGTCTGCTGCACCATGTGGGTTGCTCCCTGGCTGGGGATTGAACTTACGTTGCAGTGGCTGTGGATAGCTTCATAGGTTGCATCTTAACCCCTTGTGCCACCAGGGAGGCCCATTTCTATAGCTTTTATTTGGAGTTCTCTGATTCTCAATGTCCTGGTCTCCAAGCATGTTACTTAAGATTTGTGGGCAGACTGGAGGGGGTGGAAGATGGCACAGAGAAAAAGTGAGACAGATGCTGTCTTTGTCCAGGTAAGAATAGAATAGGACTAGATTCATGACAGAAGGAGGTGGAGAGAAGGGGCACGAATTGATAGGCCCAAGCAAGCTCCCTGGAGGGCAAGAATCATTTTTCTTTGCTTGACTGGGTTCCTCCCACAACTGGGCAAGCAATTCCAGAGATTTCCTATCACATTCCATGCAATAGGGGGTAAAATGTCACCTATTTTAGCTTTGGCACAGTCTGTTTAATGCACGAATAATGCGTGGACTTTTTGGATATTCCCGAGGACAAATTCTGGTGTCCAAGAAAATTTATTGGTATTATCAGAGGACAATAACATTAAGTGGCAGCTCTCTGCTGGCCTGTGACTATACTGGCAGTTCTTTTCACAAATCTTTTTCCTTTGCAAAGCAGCGGATCTTTCTGTCCTCTTGTCTGTGCAAGCTGCGGCTTCTCCTTTCCATTTCTTAGTAAGACTGTCCTTTCAGAATGCAAAACAATAAACATTAAGCAGAATAACTCATCAGGCACCAATTGGCCTCCAGACTTCAATACTCCTCTGACAGGACTTGTCTCACCAGGAGGAGAGTCCGCCCTGAATCTGCCCATCCTGTTAATCCTGTTTGGAAGCCCTAGATTTGCCTTTATATGCCACCACAATCCTCCTGAAAAAATAGGTCCTGTGTGAGGATTTCCAGTCTAATAAATATTTCTGCAATTTCCTCTGAGTTCTTGAATTATGTTTCTCTACGTTTCTCTATGTTTGACTTGTTTCAATTATGTGACAGAGGCAGTTTCGCCTGGCCTAGGATCTGCTGCTTTCCAATCCTGAATGATTCATTCCTTGGTTTTAGAAAATTATCTAGGGAATTGGTATCTGCTCTGATCTCATATTTATAGAGCACTGACTATGTGTCAGGCACTGGAGGGGGATTTAAGCACTCTTAAAGGTACGATGCGCTCTTCTCAGGTGTCTCTGGGCTAAATGATATCCTTCAGGCCCTCTGCTGCACCCAAAATCCCACAGCCAAATTCAGATCCGTCTCCCAGGATTCACCCAAGACAGAGCGGGGAGCAGAATAGGCAGATCTACTGAAATACACAGCTGAGGGGAGCAGCAGGAGAGACAGAAGAGGTCAGCTGCGCCATGTGGGTCACCTCCCTGGCCGGGGATGGAACTCATGCCGCAGTGGCTGTCGACAGCTTGATAGCGCTGAGACTTAACCCTGCGCCTCCAGGGAGGCCCCTCTGCCAAGTTTAAATTGACGTCAAGTCGGAGCCGGTGGGCAAGGAGTAGCTAAGAGAGTGAGACTGAAGATGAGGAGGGGATAAAGCCCTTGCCCAGGAGGAGACAGTTCTCAGATCAGCCTTGGAGGTGTCCACAGAGGGCGAACCGCCCAGGCCTGCAACTCATCACTGGACTCGAAGCAGACACGCGTGGGTTCTTTGCTGCTCCCGGTACCGGGAGAGAAACGGAGGCTGGAACGGTCTCCTCCGGCCCTTGGAGAGAGCGCCCCTCGGCGGGAGGGGAGATGTGGCAGCGCTCCACCTGCGGGCGCCGCAACATTCCAGCCGTCCCGGCTCGGGGCGGCCGCGCCCCCTTCCGCCTTCCCAGCGCCCGGGGGGCCGCCCGTCTGCAGGGTCCCGGCGCTCGGGACGCAGCTAGACCACCGCCCCCGCCCCGGCGCGCCCCAGCGCGGGAGACGCGTCCCCAGCACTCGAGGCCGGAAGGCCGGGGCCACTTCCGCCCCCGCCGGAAGTGCGTGACGCGCGGCAGAGGGGTTCCGTTGGGGCTGCGGGGCTCATCATGGCGGCCTCCTTGGCCGGCAAGAGCGTCGTGTTTGTCACGGGGAATGCCAAGAAGCTGGAGGAGGTGCCGAGAGGGCGGGCGAAGCCGACCAGGGGGCGTCGGGGGCAGGGGGAGCGGGCGCCAGCCCGGCTGGACAGAGGGCGGACAGGCTTCCTGGCGGGAGGCGACACTCGGGAGTCGGCGCCAGGGAGGGCGGGCAGGCGGCCCTCGGAGCATGGGCGGTACTAGCGTGTACTGGGGCGCACGGTGCGAAGCAGATCGGCCACGTGTGGGGAGTGGGCGGCCAGGCGTGGGCCTTGATGGAATGGGGCCCTTAGCAGATCCTGTGTCACAGAACATGTGAGCTTAGGGGCCGCGGAGCCTGAGGAGTGGCGGGGCCTTGGCACCTGTCCAGAAGGTCTCCTGTGCGGCGCAATGGGGAGAAGGCGTGAATAAGGCAATGGATCCAAAGTTCCTGCCTCTTGGGACTTCGTGAAGATTCTGGGGGTGATAGGGAGACTTTGGCTGCAAATGATAAAGACACAGGGAGCTCACGTCATCTCCCAGGTGACTCCTGTGGGACTATAGTGTTTAGGTGTCCCGCAGGTCTTGAGCTGTCTCTCCAGGGGCCTGGCTGTTCTTGTAGTTCTTGCTCTAGTTGCTCATCCCTATTTCTGTTGGGGTTTTTCTGCTTCATTCCCTCTTGGGAGGGGCAGTGAGGCCTCTGCCAGATATCTAGCTCTGATTGGTCTTTTTGGGTCAAGAGTTTGCCCCTGATCAGTCAGTCATGGGCAAATAGGTGGGGTTCTGTAGGGTGAATAAGGATGACACTCACTAGATATGTCTGAGGCAGAACAGTGAGGCATAGTCATTAAGGGACCCTTTTCCGAAGCCTCGGCACTTCTCATAATGTCATCTCAGAAGCCGGAGCCCTGTGCTGATAAAAGGTTTGGAATCCTGAGACCAGTCAAGCAGACAGGCACCGCCCCCTGAAAGAAGCCCCATGCAGGATGGTGGGTGCCAGACCCCTAGCTTCTCTCTGCCTCTGACTGAGAAGTGGCCCTTCCACACCTGAGGAAGGGACTGGACTGAGCAGGAAGAGGCTCCCTGGAGAAGATGGACTTGAGCTTGGCCTAGAACTGGGAATCTCAACTCTTCATCCCATGGTATCCCATTGGCAGACTGGTGAAGCCTATGGACCCTTTCTCAGGAAAAGGAAATTTAAATATATAAAATAAAATGGGACTACGAAGAAAATAAGTTTGTTAAATTTTACGTTTTTTTAATTGATGGTGTCCAAGAGGGAATCAATTCTATTGAAGTACATTCTCAAATGTTACAAGAACTTGTGATCCACGTACATGTACGGATTCATTGTGGCAGTGTAATTACCATAATTTTAAAACAGTGAAGACTAAATGATATTTTGAGATACCTGCTACAACTGTAAGAGGATATGGCAGTGTCTGATTTTAATAGGTTAAAAGGTCACAGGAACTGCTAGTGCTATTTTGGTTTTCTATATTCATAATAGAGATGCTATATTTTGCTAGGGTTAGTGAAAATAAAGAGGTAATTTTTTTTTTTTTCCTTCAAGATGAAGGCCTCGAATTCTGTGTAATCACTGATAGAGAATTCCTGGCCTAAGAGGTTAGGTAGCGCTGGGAGCATTGAGAAGGGAAAAGTGTTTTGGATGGGGGTGGGTGACATGAACAGAAACCTGAGGTGAGAAGTAGAGTGAGGAAATGGGCGACGGACCTGCAGGGGTAAGATCATGGAAGTTGGGGTGAGGTCAATGGGCCTTACTTTCTTAGCTTTTGGGGACTGGCTGGAGAGTTATCTGATGAGAAGAGTGGATGATAGAGTAATGGGGAATCACTAACAAATGGTGATACATGTTCTTTCATTGGAACAGGTCATTCAGATTCTAGGAGATAAGTTTCCATGCACTTTGGTGGCACAGAAAATTGACCGTATGTCTCTATTTTGCTTTACTTTTAAAAAGATGGTTCTATTTCTTGATCTCTCCATGATCTGATTCTCTGTTTGTTTCCCTGATAAGTGCCGGAGTACCAGGGAGAGCCTGATGAAATTTCCATACAGAAGTGTAAGGAGGCGGCGCGCCAGGTGCTTGCTCTGCACATGTCCTGGGACTCAATCCTCTTGTCCTGGTAGCTTCTGGGGCCTGTGTCTCTAGGGGATGGGCAGAGAGCTATAGGGTGGGCACAGTTTGTCATGTCTTCAAGGACCTGCCCAGGAATAGCTAGGCTGGGTCAGTTCATGTTGCCTCTGGAATAGTAATACTGCCTTCCCCTCTCAAGCTAGCCTGCAGAGTGTCTCCCAGACCACCATCAACCCCCTACCCCACACAGAAATTTATTCCCTGGTTTTCAGATCCATACATCCCTGCCCTTATATTCTCCCCAGACACATCCACCCCACACTTACACATCCCAGAGGAATAGAGCAAGAGCACTTTGTGAAGAGTCAGCCTTCCTGAGTATGAATCCCAGCTCTCTTGCTGTATCTGAAACAAGCTTTAAAATCTGCCAAAATGTTGGTGTCCCTACCTCTAAAATGAAGATGAGAATTAGTCGAAAGCTGTTCCCTGTGGCAGATGGACATCTTGTTGCTGCTGCTGCTATTGTAGATCCCAAATAGCTGTGGGCCTGACCCCAGCCTGGACAGCGTGGGAATTCAGGGCAGGGATAGTGTCTGCTTCTGCTGACAGGTCTCAGGGCTACCTGTCCTTCTGCTGCAGGTGCAGGGGCCTGTACTGGTGGAGGACACCTGTCTGTGCTTCAACGCCCTTGGAGGCCTCCCTGGCCCCTACATGTGAGTGCTCCCCCACTCCCTTGCAGGGCCCTGGCCTGAACCACCTGGACTTCAAAATGATTGGTTACTTGATACTGCGGGTCATTCACTATCTTGGTATCAACGCTAATCTTACAGATTGTCCTGAGGAAGGATTAGAGATGAGGGAGAGGTACTTTTGTAAAGTGTGAGAATTTGATTGTGTAAGTGGAGATGGGCAGGGGGAACCCACGCTTTGGAGAGGTACGTTTATGGGCAGATCGATTTCAGGAAAGAGGAAATAAGCAAGTTGAGAACTGACAATGGATTTCCTTAAAATTACCCAGTACCAGGGCCTCCCCGGTGGCGCAGCAGTTGAGTGCTGGGTTGCGAAGCTGCCCGCAGCCTCTGCAGCGCAGTTTCGATCCCTGGCTGCTCCCCGGCCACCGGAGGAGGGTCCCGCATGGCGCGCAGACTTCTCCTGCCGCCTGCTGCTCCCCTCAGCAGTGTACATCAGTCAGTCTGCTTGTTCTGCTCTCCGCTCTGGCTCTGGTGAATTCTCTCACCTCCCGTGCTTCTGACTGTACCCAGTGCTTGTATATATAAATAAATAAATCTTTTTTAAAAAAAAATTACCCAGTACCATAGACCCTTAGAAGGTCTTTGTGTGTCTCTAGAGTTCAAATAACCCTGATTGGATATCCCTGCCTGCAGTTGGAGGAAATACGCACAGAAGCACTGTTGCTGGGTGTTGGTAATGTGTATCTCTAACTTTTGGGTGGCTAGTTTCCTTGCCAAGGCAGTAGCACCCGTATACACTTATACTTAGAATGTGTGTTGCTCCCTATGTTCACCAACACTGAGTATTAGGACTGTAATGTTTTACACTGTGGGGAGTGAAAATATCACATGCAGTTTTAATTTGCATTTCCCTAATTACCAGTATGGTTGAGACCTTCTGGGTTTATTGATTCTCTGCATTGCCTGTTCACCTCTATTTCCTTTTTCCTGTTGGATTATTTCTCTTCATTTTGAATTGAAACATTATTTATCATGTACCCATGGCTGTATGAAATCTGGTGGGGCACAGCCCAAAGTACAGGATAGGAAAGTCCATGAGCTGCTGAAGTCTGATTCACTTTTGTTTCTCTTGCAGAAAGTGGTTTCTGGAAAAGTTGAAGCCTGAAGGTATTACCCCTTTCTTTTCTGTAGGAGAGAATCTGGGGGAGGGTCCCCAGCTAGTAATCAGGAAACTTAGATTCCAGCCCCTACCATGGAGCCTCAGTTTTCCCATCTGTAACCTACAGTTTACACTTGCCCTACTCATCTGACTCCAGGAAACCCTGAGATGTGGGAGAAGTGGCTGGCTGGGTGTGGAGAGTGGGAGTTTGAGGGACACAGGGATTATAGTTGATTCTGACTCTGAGTGGGACTGCTCGCTTGTCCTTGCCTGAGGCTGGGTCTGGCTGGGGCTAGCAGGCTCTCCCTCTTGGGCAACAGCAAAATGCATACTTATCCTGTCACCCACAATTGCCAGCCAAAATGTTTCCTCTTTAAGTGCTTCTAAAAGCACTTTATATTATGGAATACTTCAGACATGTACAATAGTATAGTGAGGGCCTCCCCGGTGGCGCAGTGGTTGAGCGCTGGGTTGCGAAGCTGCCCCCAGCCTCTGACGCGCCGGTTCGATCCCCGGCTGCTCCCTGGCCACCGGAGGAGGGTCCCACATGGCGCACAGACCTTTCCTGCCGCCCGCTGCTCCCCTCAGCAGTGTACTTTGGTCCTTCTGCCTGCTCTGCTCCCCGCTCTGGCTCTGGTGAATTCTCTCACCCTCCCACACTTCTGACTGTACCCAGTGCTTGCATAAATAAATAAATAAATAAATCTTTTTTAATAAATCTTTTTTTTAAAGATTTTATTTATTTATTTATTTATTTTTATATAGAGGCATGTTTTATTTATTTGTTTATTTATTTATTTTTTATAGAGGCATGTTTTATTTATTTATTTGTTTGTTTGTTTGTTTCTTTGTTTATACATGCACTGGGCACAGTCAGAAGCGCGGGAGGGTGAGAGAATTCACCAGAGCCAGAGCGGGGAGCAGAGCAGGCAGAAGGACCGAAGGACACTGCTGAGGGGAGCAGCGGGCGGCAGGAGAGGTCTGCGCGCCATGTGGGACCCTCATCCGGTGGCCGGGGAGCAGCCGGGGATTGAACCGGCGCCGCAGAGCGCTCAACCGCTGCGCCACCGGGGAGGCCCTGTTTGTTTTTGTTTTATACATGTACTGGGTACAGTCAGAAGCGTGGGAGGGTGAGAGAATTCACCAGAGCCAGAGCGGGGAGCAGCAGGCAGAAGGACCGAAGTACACTGCTGAGGGGAGCAGCGGGCGGCAGGAGAGGTCTGCGCGCCATGTGGGACCCTCCTCTGGTGGCCGGGGAGCAGCCGGGGATCGAACCGGCGCCACAGAGGCTACAGGCAGCTTCGCAACCCAGCGCTCAACCGCTGCGCCACCGGGAAGGCCCAAATAAATAAATCTTTAAAAAAAAAAAAAAAAAGAATAGTATAGTGAGCCCCGTTAGTAATTTGGTTCATTACTAAAACTTCAGGGTTATCAGCACAAGGGCCATCTGGTGACACAACCCCCACAGTTTGGTGCCACACCGCTTTCTGGTGCCTGGGGTGGGGAGGAGGTTGGGGGGAGGTATAGAGCACACTGCACTCTTCCGCAGGTCTCTACCAGCTCCTGGCTGGGTTTGAGGACAAGTCAGCCTACGCCCTGTGCACGTTTGCGCTCAGCACTGGGGACCCGAGCCAGCCGGTGCGCCTGTTCCGGGGCCGGACTACGGTGCGTACCCGCGCTCGTTCCCCCGTGCGCCGCCAGAGGGCGCCGCGACTCAAGCCCACGGCCCAGGGTCTTCCACTGGAAGGGGGGGGGCGGGGAGGGCGCCCCAGGCCAGAGGTGCTTCCTGGGGCTGTGCCCACATTTGCCCCCGAAACCACAATTAGAAGTGACGTCAATCCTGAAACCTGTTTCACTCCTGAGGCTGATGTTTCGGGGAAACGCACAATAGCTAGCAGCTGTTGAGAACGGTCCAGTCAGAGCTCGGAGCTGTGTGCCCTCTGAGAAGCAGATGTGGAGACTGAAGGTGACAAGGCCCGAAGCTACATTTACAGCCCAGTTTCTCCAGGCTCTGCTCTCCGTTCTGCTGCTGAGACTATGCTTCCTTTTTTGTGTTTTTTTTTAAAGATTTCTTTATTTATGCATACAAGAGCTGGGGTACAGGCCAAAGATGCGGGGGTGAGAGGATCCACCAGAGACAGAGTGGGGAACGGAACAGGCAGACTGACTGAAATACACTGCTGAGGGGAGCAGCGGGCGGGCCAGGAGAGTTCCGCTGCGCCATGTGGCCTACTCCCTGGCTGGCCAGGGATTGAACTCGTGCTTCAGAGTCTGCGGATTGCTTCATAGTGCTGTGCTTAACCCCTTGCGCCACCGGGGAGGCCCGACTATGCTTCCTTGAATAGCTGTGGCCTAGCCAACTTTTCGCATTTATTTAGAATCTTACTTGTCCTCACCTCATTCCTTCCTCGGCTCCCCTTCAACACTCCCACATCTACATACCAGATCTTAAGTTCTGTTGCTTTTCACAGGTCCAGACCACTCTCTGGACTGGCCTGTTCTTCCCACAGCCCAAGCTTTCTCCTTGTGACCTGAGTGTGCCTTCTGGCACATCACCCCTTGCTTAGTCCCTTCTGCTCAGGATAAAATGCAGAGTCCTGACGCAACCCACACAGCCCGACCCGAGGCTGCACCAGGAGCTGTCCACAGATGTTTCCTGTCACCCTGCCTGGTTAGATTTCTTTGTAGTAGTAAAAAACACAACATCAAAATGACCATCTTTGCCATTTTTAAGTGTGCAGTACAGAAGTGTTAAATACATGCGTACTGTTATGTTACGGACCTGTGGAGCGTTCTCATTTTATGACTTAAACCACCCAGTGAACAGTAACTCCCCACACCCAACCCTGCTCCTGGCACCCACCATTTTACTTTCTGCATCTAAGTGTTAGGACTACTCTGGGCACCTCGTGTAGGTGAGATCGTGCTCTTTTTTTGCAGCTGGGTTATTTCACTTTGTGTAATGTCTTCAAGTTTATGTTGTAGCAGATGACAGAATTTCCTTTCTTAAGAGAGAATAATAGAGCCTCCCTGGTGGCACAGCGGTTGAGCGCTGGGTTGCGAAGCTGCCTGCAGCCTCTGCAGTGCCGGTTTGATCCCCGGCTGCTCCCCGGCCACCGGATGAGGGTCCCACATGGCGCGCAGACCTCTCCTGCCGCCCGCTGCTCCCCTCAGCAGTGTACTTCGGTCCTTCTGCCTGCTCTGCTCCCCGCTCTGGCTCTGGTGAATTCTCTCACCCTCCCGCGCTTCTGACTACCCAGTGCTTGTATAAATAAATAAAAATAAATCTAAAAAAAAAAAACCAATAATAATCCATTATATGTGCATATCACATTTCCTTTATCCCGTTATCTGTTGATAAACATTTAGCTTCCATATTTTGGCTATTGTGAATAATGCTGCTGTGAATGTGAGTGTGCAAATATGTGTTTAAGATCTTGTTTTTAGTTCTTGGAATTACACACCCAGAAGTGGGGTTACTAGATCATCTTGCCTAGTTAATTTTTAAGTTAGTTAGGGTTGTCTGCTTCTTCACAGAAATGTTACCCCATAAATCTGAAGCTTGAATAACCACAATCCCAACTTCCTGCACAGTGGCTCACAGGTCACTGCAGTTCCCACCATTTCCTGTTGTCTCCCCAACTTTGGTTGTTTTGTGTGCTTTGTTGTTTGAGAGCCCCCACTTTACCTGAGGTGGCTTTGTTCCTTGTTCTTCTTTTTTTTTTTAATAGAGGCAAGTTTATTTATTTGTTTGTTTGTTTGTCTGTTTGTTTTGTTTGTTTTTTGTTTTTATACATGCACTGGGTACAGTCAGAAGCACGGGAGGGTGAGAGAATTCACCAGAGCCAGAGTGGGGAGCAGAGCAGGCAGAAGGCCCGAAGTACACTGCTGAGGGGAGCAGCGGGCGGCAGGAGAGGTCTGCACGCCATGTGGGACCCTCCTCCGGTGGCCGGGGAGCAGCCGGGGAACGAACCAGCGCCGCAGAGGTCGCGGGCAGCTTCACAACCCAGCGCTCAACCGCTGCGCCACCGGGGAGGCCCTGTTCCTTGTTCTGTTCTTGCTTGTGCACTCTAAGCCCAAACCACATTGTCCTTTCATCAATGAATATGCCAAGCCCTTCTCCATCTTAGAGCCTGGCACCAACTATGTCCTCCACCTGGAATTTTCTTTATGTGACCAGTGTCCCCTCCTCACTGAGGCCCTTCCTGAGCTCCCCATATAAGCCACTCCACCTGTTATTCTTGAGCCCAGCTCTCTGTTTTTTTTTTTCTCTTTAAGGCACTTTGCATTTGGTAATCATTAATTTGTTTACTGGTGTAATGCCTGTTTTAAGAGGTCCATTCTCTGAGGGTAAGGCTGGATGTGCTGTGGCCAGTGCTGAAAACACTACCTGCCCACTGTTCAAAACAAATATATTGTGTGGGTGAGGTTCAGAGTGGGTCAGTAATGGCCTCAGTACCATCTCTTCCCAGTAGCAGGATCATTTGTTTTTGGCCTGAATTTAGCGTGTGCATGGCTAATTCCCATCCTCTGCTGCTTCTCTTGCATTTTTCTTTTTTTTAAAGAGCCTACCTTGTATTTTGAGAAATAAGGTAGTATCTGGGCAGGGCTGTTGGCAGAATGAGGCAGCAGGCATGGTACTTGTCTATTAAGTTCAGGGCCTTGGACTTCTTGTTAGGAGAAAATGTTTTCTGCCAAATTTTCAAACTTGACTCTTCAGTGACGTTAGTTGTTAGAGGTCAGGAGAAGGGGTGGCCCCAGGGGCATAGGTGGACCAATCAGGTGCATGATTCCTCCATGCGAGGAGACAGCTTTCCCACCTTGCACTTAATTTATGTGTTCAGCAAATGTTTGCAGGCACCATGAACCCCTCGAAACTATGTTTTGAGTAAATAGGTGTTAACCAGATTCATAAACTAACCAAGCTGCAACTCTGCCTACTGCCCCCCCCAACACACACCCATGACACACCTGTCCCCCATTTCCTCTGGCAGGGCCAGATTGTGGCACCCCGAGGCTGCCGGGACTTTGGCTGGGACCCCTGCTTCCAGCCTGATGGATACGAGCAGACGTAAGGAGCCCCAATTTCTTCCAGGGGTGTGGGGTTGGGTGAGCAGTGGTATGGGTTGAGTCAACACCCCGCCCGAGTGCAGGCACGCGGATATGGCTTGAGGGTGCCGTTCCAGCTGAAGGCAGCTCTGCTGGGGTGATGCTGGGAATCCAAGTGGCTCAGTCCACGGAGGAAGGCAGCCAGGTGTAGCTGGGAGTCCTAGGCTCTCTGCCCCAGCTCACCTCAAGTCACTATGAATTCAACAACTTCCCCTTTCTGGCCTCAGCTGGTCATATAAAAACCTGACAGTGGATGACCTTCTAACCCCGTTCTGGGTTGGAGAAATGTTAACATCTTGGCAGCCTTTGGTGGGCACCATGTTGACCTCCCACAGTGCTGGATGTTCTCAGTATTTCACTCTTCATTAAACAGGACATGTTGCCCATTATTTGAATGAGGCATTCTGAGCTGGAGGGCCCTTTCGTGAGCTGAGGCTTTTTAGTGCCCAGACTGAACTGAGGTCAGTGAAGCAGCTCTGTCCAAGAATGCTTTTTGGCGACAGGAATGTTCTGTAGCTGCACCATCCAGTTTGGTAGCAACTCACCCTATGTGGCTGTGCAGCATCTAAAATGCAGTTAGGGCCACTGAGGAACTGAAATTCTTTTTTATTCATTTGTAATTGATTTACATGTAACTAGTTACACATTAGGCAGTGCCTGCAGGCCACGCCTGGGTGTGAGGTTTTCACTGCCTGGAGTCTTGGTGTAGAGGAAAGCCACTGACTGCCTGTCCCGCCCCCCTCCTCTTCCCGCCCCACTCACCCCCCTTAACAGTGCATTAGAGGAGACTGTGTTTGTTCTATCAGGCCCCACTGCTTCCTGTCAACAGATGACAAAGCTGATCAAACATGCAGCTCATCCCCCTGTTCCCGGCTTCCCTTAACGTCTTTTGGGCACACCAAACACCTTTAATGTCCTTCCACACTCATTAATATGGATCTCTACCTACAGGGGAGTTTCACGCTGATTTTTAAAATATTGACTCTGGCTGCCAGGAGCTGGTGGCCCCTGCTGCTCGTTGTCAGGGACCCCCCGAGCTTTGGGTCCTGGATGGGGTGGGGAATGCACACCCTCCCTGGACTTGGGCTCTCCTCTGAGCTGCTCCTTGTTGTTGCCCCTCAGGTATGCAGAGATGCCCAAGGCTGAGAAGAACACCATCTCCCATCGCTTCCGGGCCTTGCACGAGCTGCAGAAATACTTCAGCAACCTAACTCCTCCTGGGGCCGGTGATGACCACTGTGGCCCAGGGTCCTGAACCCCTCCGGCCCATCAGACAGACATGCCTCCAAGGACTTCCTTCCGGGGTACCACTTCCTGGGGGTGAGATCAGCCCTGTCTGGAGGAGCAGCTGGCTCTGCTTGGAGAAATGTAGGACAAGGGACATTATTCTCTTGCCCTTGGGGATTCAGTGGTCTTTCCCACAGCCTCCAGGCCTGGGGCCCTAAAAAGACCTGGCATGTTAAACTGGCCCTAGGCAGGATGAAGTTTTGGGGAAGAACCATACAAACAGCCTTAGGTGATTTTACAATGCAGCAAATAAAGTTTGTAAGGTACTTGCTTCCAAAATAAACGGGATATATCTGTGTTGAAACCTGCTCCAGGCGGGCATGTCTCCTGAATCCCCTTCTGGAAGCCTGTTGAGTGGGATGGTGGCAGGGCCAGGGCAGTACTGTATTGAGTGTTCACATGCTGGATATTACATCTTTCCTTTAATCCTTCAACACTCAGATCCTGGGCTGACCTCTTCCATGCCAGCTCCTGGCTGCCCACCCACCCTTTGATGCCACTGCCTCACTGGCCTCCATGGTTTTTGCTGTGGTGGGGGGTAGGTGCTGTGCGATAGTGAATGCTTTTGCTTTATCATTAGAGCAGCTAAAATGTTGGCTTGTGGTTATAATGGCAAGTTGTTTATGGCAGGGCTCACCCTAGGGCCTGCAGGGCCCTCAGGAGGCCTGGCTCAGCAGCCCCAGGCCCTCATTGTCTCTGGTGAAGACATCTCCTGGAGGGGACTGTGGGGACCTAGTCTAGCTCCTTGTCTTTCCTGCACATGTTTCTCTGGTAAGGAGGTGCCCAACCCCAGGACTCTCAGAAAAGCTGAGTTACTCCCAGGCAGCTCTGGAAAAGGGCAGCATGGCCCTGGCCTGGACTGGACAGTTGTTTTCTCTTCAGCTCTATCAGTGCATCTGGGCAAAGTCACTTCTTTGAGCCTGTCTTGCGTGCAAGGCACAGCTGGGGTGTTTCCTCAGGAAGTGTGGGTGGCAGGGCCCAGTCTCCTCTGAGTACTTGGTGGTGGGTGCTGTCTGACTGGGATCAGCTGGGGCTGCCTGCTCCTTGCCTGGCAATTTTTTTTTTGAAGATTGATTTATTTATGCATACAAGAACTGGGGTACAGGCCAGAGGTGGCGGGGTGGGGAAGGGTGAGAGGATTCACCAGAGACAGAGTGGGAAACAGAACAGGCAGAATGCCTGAAATACACTGCTGAGGGGAGCAGCGGGCGAGTCAGGAGAGGTCTGCTGCGCCATGTGGGTGGCTCCCGGCTCCCTGGCCAGGGATCAAACTCGCGCTGCAGTGGCTGTTGATAGCTTTATAGGTTGCATCTTAACCCCTTGCGCCACCAGGGATTGCCTGGCAATTTTAAACAGGACCCTACTTGTAGGGAATGCCCAGGCTTCTGGGGAGGGGTCCCCAAAGAAAAATCACACACCACCTCCGTGAGGTGGGGAAAGGAGCTGGGGGCAGGACTGCTCCCCCCTTTCTTAGAGCTATCGTGGGCACACAGTACACTTTGCCCCACCCTTTTAAATTGGCTCCCCATCCCCACAAACAGCACTGTGGAGAAGCTGCTGGTACCCACTCTCAGCTGCCCAGGAGCAATTGCTTGGAGGGTGAAGTGTCTTGATTGCACCCCAGTCTCCCACTCCAGCATCATCATTCCTTTTGACCTGGCAGTCTGTGGGTGGAAGGCCCAACTCCCTTGCCTGCCTTTCTCAGGTTATTAGGAGTTTGAGCCTCTCCTGCTATTCCTGTTAGTACTTTGGGCTCCCATTCCCCCTGTTCACTGCCCTTGCCTCTTTGGAGTTTCCATCTTTCTGTTGGCTTGCAGGAATTCTGTGTCTCTTCTAGCCACTTGTCCCTTTTCAGAGAGCTGTGGGTGATGTGCTGGGGTGTCTGAGCCAGGAGCTCTACTAGTACTACTGCGCCTAAGTATGCACAGGGGTGGCTCCCCTGAGCCCCAGATCTGTATTGCCTGCTGCCGTTGTCATGCACCCTGGCCAACCACCAAATTTCCAAGCTTGAAACATGGCACCTTCTGCCCGCCACCAAACCAACCCCCACATCCTGCATCTGGACCCCATCCTACTTCCTTCCATCCCCACAGGCACGGTACGCTCACTGCCACGGTGCAGGGTGGCCCTACCCACACCTCCTGCATGTAAAACCTAAGACCCGCCACAAACAGGATAACGAGAACGTCTGCTCTGACCCCTGCACTCCGGTTTTCCACTCGCCATCAGGCTGCTCTGCAGCTCCCCAGGCAGTCAGCCCTTTCAGCATCACCCCCCACCCCGGGCTGCTGTCCCCAGCTGCGGCTCTTCACTGGCCCCCAGCCCTTGCCCTGTTCAGCCCACTTCCCCTGCAGGTCTCTGGCAACGGGCCTAGATCTTCCGCTTCCCCATTTTGGGCTGACATCACACACTCGACAAATATCCGTCCCTTTGATTCTGCTTCCCCAGGGAGGGATTTCCCCCTCCCCAGGGTCCTCAGGTGGCCTTCCAGGGGCATGGGATGGGTCAGCAGGGGTGCAGGCTCACAGAGACAGGAGCGTAGAGACAGAAGCTTTATTCTCTAATGTGCATACAGCGAGTTCCTTACACAATCAAGGAAATGGTTTCTCTCTCAGGCATCTCTTTTATCAAAAGAAAATCCGTCCTGTTTAGCCCCACCCTGGGCAGAAGCTGCCCTGAACAGTGTTCTTAGCCCAAAGCTAGGGGAGAGGGATGGACATACAACTTAACCCCCACAACGCCCAGATGCCCTAGGCCGATCAGGAACTGTGAAGGGGCACAGCACAGGGCAACACCCCAAAGACAGTCACCCCCTCCACACACATAGTCATAGCGCCAGCCTGGGAAGGGCCCGAGGGACAGGGGGGCAGATGTGGCCAAGGCCTGCCAGTCAGGGTCTCAGTGCTCAGCATCCATGGCGTCCAAGTATTTGGCTTCAATGATTTGGGGCAGCAGCTTGTAGCTAGGGTAGGGGGAACAGGTGGGGAACAGGTGGGTCCAGATGAGTGCTGGGCCATAGAGAGGACACCCCCAGCCCTGGCCCACCCACTCCTCCCCGCAGCGGGGCCCTCCTGCCCGCTGGTACCGGATGGGGATCATGGCAATCATGATGAGGGGGAAGATCATCTTCATGTAGGGCAGGCTGCTCACGCCGAAGGCACAGAGCAGCAGTAGCTGCAGGATCTGTAGGCCCGTGAAGTAGTGGATCTTCCTCTGGGGCACGTGCCGGATGTAGTGGGTGGGTGGGTATGAAGTCTGTGGGCAGCAGGGACCACGTGTGGGTAGGTCTGCCTCCCCCGGCCCACCCCCTCGCTCTCAGGGCCAGACCCTCACCTGCTCCTTGAGTAGCAGGGCCATACGCTCAAAGAGCTGGTTGCCGTCGATGGAGGTAAATGCGATGTAGAGGAAGAGGCCGTAGAGCACCGGCTTGGGGATCCACTGCAGCGGGAAGGGCAGCAGCAGGAGGGAGAAGCCCACCAGGATGCTGGCGCCCAGTGTGGTCAGCCGTGTCTCCTTCACACTCACGATGCTGTGTAGTCACAGAGGGCAGGTCACCTCTGTCCGGTTCATGGTGACATGTCCTCCCTGGGTCCCACATAGCCCAGGCTTGCCCACACCCTGGTCCACATGACTGGCCCCTGGCATACTCACGTCTCATAAATGTGCCCGTTCTCCACACGCTCCTCCACCAAAGCCAGTAACCGCACATGCAGCGGGGAGTGGGGGTAGGCAGCGTGGATCCAGGGCAGCCCAAACAGAGACAGCCCCGTGTTGATGATGGCGATGAGCAGGAGGTCCCAGTGGTAGGCAGTGCCTTTCACCAGCCTGCGCAGACAGGGGCACGTATGGACAGGGCCCCAGTGGCCCCTTGGGGGTTGGGCACACACCCCTCCCCACCTAGCCCTGCAAACCTGTTCTCTGGTGCATTAGCCAAGGCGGCCACCAGGTTCTGCTCAATGAAGAAGAGCAAGGAGAGCAGGAAGCCAAGGCCCATGGCACCACCAATGGCCGCCAGGGACAGCGAGTGCATCTGGGCCATCTCAAACAGGCTCTTGCTGGGGTTGTAGCGGAACTTGCTCACTGCAGAAGGGTACAGCCTCTTGCTCAAGCCTGCAGCCACCCCAGGAGCAACTCTGCACACCCCCCACTCCAGCCTGGTGGACTTACTCTTAATTTCCCGGAAGCCGTAGGAGCAGATGAGGGAGAAGATGAGCACCGAGATGGGCAGGGCGCAGTCTGACAGGATCTCACGCATGTAGGGGTGCAGGTAGGGGCTGGGACACAGGTCAGTGTATCAGCATAGCTGGGAGGTTTGTGTCCCCTTCCCCTCGCCCCTTAGGCTCCCCTCACCTCTTCTTGAATTGGTAGAGGGTGTAGCCCAGCCACAGTGTGCCCAGCATGATGAAGAGGCTGAGCACTGCAGTCTCTCGGCCTGCGTTCTCAGGATGGCTGCTTCCTGGGGTCAGCTCCATCGGGCTGGCCAGGAGGCTGGTGTTGAGGGAAGTGTGGAGGCTGGTGTTGAGGCCCAGCAGGCTGACCAGGGAAGTGCTTTCTGCATGGTAGTTCCCAGTGTTAGGGCCATAGTAGTACTTCTGGAAGACTGTGGATACAGGCCAACAGGCCTCAGCCATCTGGGCTGTGCAAGGCTGCGCCCAGTTTCCTCCTGGATGTGGGTGGAGGGGCCCTGTGGGGAGAAAGGGCTTCTGGGGGAAGGAGGGGAAGCAGTGGGGTGGGGCCTGGCCTCTGGTAGCCAGGACCCCATCAACCTGTCCATCCCACCCGCCATTCCCACACATTGACGTCATCCATCTGCTGTATGTGACATCCTGCCTGGCCCGCTGCCTGGCCCGCAGGTCTGAGCAGACCTGTTATCCTGCAGTACATGGAGCTGCTGCCCTGTGCCAGTCATGACTCCCCAGGACGCTCTGGTTCCTGGGGCAACTAGCTTGAATACTTGGCTGCCTCAACCATGGCCCATGGCCCCCCATCTTGGCTCAGCTGCCCCTACAGCAGGTGGCCAACAGCTGTACACTCACTTTTGACCATGCCCTTGACAGCATCCAGCACGAATGTGATGGAAATAAACAGGGCAATGATCTCCTCCGTCGACCTGCCAGGGAGTGATATGTTTCATAAGATGGGGGTGGCTTGTCCTTTTCGGGGGCACAGGGAGTCCCCTCAGCTTCTGCGTGGCTTCCTCCTATCACAAAGAGGACCTGGGTTCCAGGCTTTACCCCAGGGGCAGTGATTTGGTGGGCACCCCATTGCTCTAGGGCTATAGGGTTGAGGAGGCTGACCCCAATCCCTGGCGTTGGTTTCCCTGCTATTTTGAGGGTCCTCGCAGCAAAGGGAAGGCCCTATCACCTCTTGAAGAGACTCATGACCAGGCTGAGGTTAAAGAGGGCATAAAGCGTGAGGAAGAAACTGTTCCACAGGCCCGTCCATGCATAGAAGGCATTGAAGTCCAGATGGTAGTCGTCACAGATGCCACGGATCACTGCAGGCAGTGGGACAGGGGTGGGCAGTGAGGCTCAGCTGGGACAGGGACTGCAGGAGCCACGTCCCTGCCTCAGCCACTGCACCTTGGATGTAGAGGGCCAGGGGTGCGGTGGTCAACAGCACGACCAGCGGCTGCCCGGAGAAGAGTGCATACAAGAGGCCACCAATGCTCTGCCCAGCGATGGTCTTCTGCACATCTGAGGAAGTGGGGAGGTCAGGAGAGCCCGCAACCCCGGGCCCTGCCCAGACACACCCCTGCCGTCCGCCGTCCCTTACCGATGGCCCCGTTAGTGTTCTCATCATTGAGGGACCCAAAAGCGATTGTGGGCAGGAGGCAGGCGAAGTAGAGGAACAGGGTGGTGGTGATGTATTTACCCACACTCTTGTTCTTCCCGATAATGCCTAGGTGTGGGGCACAAGATGGAGGGTTCGTTAGACGGGCAGGACAGGCAGGGCCTAAGCCACAGGCTGGACTCTGTGCCGATAGGCCACAGGGCTACGTACCATCAGTGAAGTCCAGCGGGTACACAGGAAGCCTGCGGGCAATGTCCTCCCGGATGCCCTTCCCCACGGGAAGAAAATCCTTGTGCTGTGGGGGCTGGGAGGACAGTGCCTGTTAGTGCCCCTGCCATGCCCCTCACTGCCCTCCCAGGCCTACCTCTCCCTTGTACCTGAAGGGGTCTTTGCACGCAGCTGGAGTTCATACTGGGTACCGTCATTGGACACTGGCTCACCCGGGACAGCAGGTGTCTCTGATGTACCAGGGCCTCCTTGAATTCTTCCTCTGTGCGGGTTGTTAGGAGCTTCTGGCGGAAGGTGATGTCCAAAAACATGGTGGCGAAGGTGCGCCCCACTTCTGACGCAGTCTTGGTGCTTTTCTGGGGGATGAGAGGGTTATATCTGCAGCCCTTGCAGAGTAGAGGGACCCTGCCCTGCCTTTGCCATTCCCAAGCACGGAGCAGGCACTGTCCCCATGAGGTAGAAGCAGGGTGTGTCCCCCAATTCCAAGGCTGACCACGTCCCCCAAGTGCAAGCTCGAGCAGACCCTGTCAGGATTGCCACCAGGTCAGCAGATCACTCAAACATCCATCTAGCATTTTCATAGACTCCTGAGTTTTTATAATCTCAAGGACTAGTCTTGTTTACAGAACACGAGTCTGCAATCGTGGACCGTGACATGGCGGTGATGGAGGAATGCCTGCCCAGCTGCCCGTCACAGTGCTGTCCACACTGTCTGCTGCTTTGCCTGATTTGCAGGGAGCTTCCAGTCGCCCCAGGACTTCTCCCTCTTGTCTGGCCGAGGTCAACCCTGCCTATGAACTCAATGTCCAACCTGCCCCTCGGCAACCTTTCTTACCTCCCCAACCTGGGTCACTGAGCTGCACCCCCCCTTCACACTGTGTTGTTGCTAAAAGAGAAGATCTGAGAAGGAAAAATCTGCAGCTATGTGTAGTGATGGAAATTAACCAGACTCGCTGTGATCATTGCACAAAATATCCAAGTACTGAATTATTATGCGGTATAACTGAAACTAATACAATGTTATGTCACTATACCTTCATTAAAATAAACAAAGAAGGAAATGCAACCTTTTAGGCATTTCCGGGGGAAACTAGGGCCTGCCAAGGACCTAGCAAGCACCCTTCTGAGGAGCTGAAGGAGTAGGGTGAGAAAAAGGAGAGCCTTCAGAGGACAGCTCTCTCTGGGGTCCCACACATGTGGAAGATGAGCCTCCAAGGAGTACAGCGTAACCTGGAGCCCTCCTCCCCAGGAAACGGTGGCAGCCCACGCCCCTACTCACCATCTTGGGCGGGGTGAGCACCAGAATGACGAAGCGCACCTCGCAGGAATTCTCCCCCCAGTTCTGCGGGCGAACCAGGCGGCTGATGCACACGTGCCGCTTCACCAGGGCCTTGGAGGTACAGCTGCAGGGCCGGGGAGCACACACAGCACACGGCTGCCATCCTTGGGAGCTGGGGTGCTCCCCCCCAGAGCCCACAACTTTGACAACAGAACCCTTCACAGTGACCTCTGTGAGGGAGACTAAAAACCGTGTTGGGGGCCTGTTCACCCCTCTCCCGGGAAGCTGGGTGAGTCAGCCTCTGCAGGGACACAGGCCGCCTGACTCCCATGTGAACACCTGGGGGGCCAAAGGTGGAGGGCTGGCAACTCACGTGATGCAGAGCCACGACTGCTGGTATTGCAACCCCGTGACAGTGGCAGTGACGCCTTGGATGGTTTCCGACAGCAGGTGGACTGAGGGCAGAGTGGAAGGGGGCAGGGGTCAGCAGCCCCCTCCCTAACCTTCCCAGCCAGGGGGAGATAGGCCTCACCTTTACCCCCCATGGGGGTCCCGGCGTCTGTGAAGAGGATGGCCATGAGCAGGTCCAGGTTCCAGTTGGGCTCGGTGTTGTGGGGGTCGTGGGCTAAGCGGTGCAGCATGGCCCGCAGCACGTCGTCCAGCAAGGTGGCTGTCTCGTTCAGGATGATGCTGGCCCGGGCCAGGAAGCCGTCTAGGTCACGGTGCGCCCGGATCTCTTCCTCGAAGTTCTTTAACTTCAGGTACTGCGGGGACCCCACGGGCAGAACCACGACTGAGACCCACTGTCACTGCCTGGTGGTCTCAGGCTGCCCCAGGACCCGCTGCCGGAGGGAAGGCTCGGGCTGGCATGACAGCTCTCAGGAAGCAGCCACCTCCACCTGCAGCGAGTGGCCGGGACCAACAGCCTGGGTGGGGGGGGGGGGGCACTCACCTTTCGGGAGGTGTGCAGGAGCCCGCAGCCGCCGGACGATTCACTGTCAGCTAGAGAAGAGCGGGAGGGTTCAAGGGCCCACCTCTTCAGGTGTCTCTTGGTGGAGTGAGGCCTTCACTGCCCAGTGCCCTGCCCTCCCCCGAGGGCTTGCTGCAACCAACATACCAGCCTGGGTGGGCGGCACCTCCAGGTTGACGTTGACAAAAAAACGGATGCTCTCAGCAGACACAATGGAGGAGTTGACCGTGTCGAAGACCTCATCCCCCAGGCTCTCACGAGTTTCAGAGTTATCATCGGTGTCACACTTGAAGTAGCCTAGACACCCACCGCCACCAGGAGAGACCCGAGACCAGGAGGGCTTGGCCGCCAATGGCACACACGGCAGGGAGACTCCAAGCCCAAGAAGCCCCAAGAAGCCGGGGCCCCTGGAATGCGCCACTTGGCACTCTGATTGGTGAGGGGGGCCAGGAAGGAAAGCGCAGGCCCGGCAAGCAGGTTGATTATCTAGTCCTAGCTCAGCCCAACATTCCTCAGCTGCAGGAGCCAGGGCCTGGCACTGTTCCGAACCCTGCACACCCTCAATTACATTCGTTTCACAAACTCTGGGCCAGCACACAGTACAACGACTCAGCTAAGATGGCCTGGTCCCTGCCCATGCAGATCCCCCAGATTCCAGGGTCCAGACCTGGCCCCCTCCCTGTCTTGCTGCCCCACGGTCTTAAAGCACCTTTCCCCAGGGATGGTAGGTATGGCAAAACACAAAGGCTGAAAGACCCAGGGCAGGTATTAGACAAGGCTCAAGAAGCAGGAGAGCCAGAAAAATAGAGCCAGGGAGTGACAGGCAATAGGACCCCCAGAAGGAGGCGCCATCTCAGGCCTCCACACATGGTGGCTGAGGGGTATGTCATGGTGTCTTGGGGAGTCCCGAGCACAGAGCCTGCTGCCCCTTTCTCCTAGTCTGCCCCTTTGTTCCTGCACCTTCCCCAGGTCACAGGTCCCTCCCATGGGAAGGCTTCTTAGTAACTTGCAAATGTTCCCGTTGTCTTCCCAGAGCCTTGCTGGTCCGCCCCTGTGGAAGGACCTTTAAGCCAGCCCTGCCACTCCTGTTCCCTGGGGCCTTATCCCATGCTCCACTGGAATCTCTCATCCACAGGCCTATCAGGCACACCTGACCTCCAAGCTGAGGGCTTCCTCCTGGGTCAATAGATCCCTCCTCCTCTAGGAAGTCCTTGTAGGGCTCTGCCTCACGCTCCATCAGCCAGCACCTCTTCCTAACTGTCCTGTGGGTCTTCTATGATGCACCACTTGGGGGCATTCCCAGAAAGGGGGCCCAGACCTCACCAATGTCAAAAAACACCTGTGCAGGGACAGGGAGGGTCACAACACGTCTCCGCCGCCAGGCAGTGACTCGCCCTGACTCACTTCCATAGCTGCCCGCCAGTTTCCTCTGCACATCCAGGCCCTGTCCCCCCAGTGCCTGTCCTCAGCCAGGCCCCCTTCTGGGCAGGAGGCACCAGGCCCCTGCTACCAAGACTCCCCAGCCCAGAGTCCAGAGAAGAGCTAATTGAAGTCAAAAGATTTAATTCCCACTTTGATCATGGAGTTCGAGTCTATAAAACTCCTTCCTCCCCAACTGCAGGCCTGCTTTGCTTAAACTGCCTGCGTCCCCAGTCCTGACCTGCTCCACCTCCCTTGTCACCCCCACCAGCACCCACTATTCCCCAGCACGCCTCTCACAGCGCTCCCTTTTCCCCACCCTGGGCTCTAGCTGGTCAATTGTCCAGCTGACACTATCAGGTTCCCACAAATGTTCTGGGGTGCCATACCTAACATGCCTCGGGGGCTCTGAATAAGAGCACATCATCACTCTGTCCAAGCACTGTCCCACTAAACACCCGCTGCTGACCAGGCCATTTCTGGGGCCAAGGTATAGCATGGGTGGCATGAAGTCTGCCTGGAGTCATGGGGGGGTGGGGTGGGGGGCTAGCCTGATGCAAACAGGGAAAACTAAAGCACAGAGAGTTTATTTAGAGGTTCAGTGTCATCACCCCCCCCCCACACACACACACACACGGGGTCAGAAGGCCAGGAACTGAGGGATGTGGCCATACCCAACACTTGGCTGAAGCCCGCTCAGGTAACCAGGGCATAATGATGGTGAGCCATGGGAGATCACCAGGTGGAAAGGGCGTGCCTGCTCCCCCAGGACTGGAGACTTGCCAGGACAGTGCCAACTGCCCCTCTGCCCACACCCTACTTCAGGGGAGGATCCAGAGGCAATGAGCATCGGCAGAGGACCAGGCAGGGCAATGCAGGGGACCCAGGTGGATGGACCAGTTCCCAGAGAGACTTTTGACCAAGGAGCTCTCTTCTCTACAAACACACCCACACTGACACTACTGACCTGTATCCTCCAGGAATCTATTCTGCGACATGATGGGCGGGTGTTCTGCAAGGGAAGCCAAAGAATTGTCACCATGACCTGTCCTGCAGTTTCCAGGTGTCCATCTGCTTAGGAGGTGGAACCACCTCCCAGCTGCTTCCTTCTCACCCATCCCAGGGACTTTACCCAGGCCACGCTGGGAAGGAAAAAGCAGAGGATAGTCCTAGGGAAGGATTTCTTAAGGAGCCGGGGAAGCCTGCCTGTTACTTCTCAGTGCATCTGCTAGGCGCAGCCCAGGTGGAAAGGGTAGAGGAGAGAAGGAAGATTTTCTTTGCATGTTTTCTCCAGGAGTTAATAACAGTATCCTGAAAATTTCTGCAGGATTTCCTGACTGTAGAATTCAGCCATCAGGCCCAGAGGAAGCAATCCTGCCAGGTGAGATGGCAATCCTTTGTCTCTCCCTGTAACAGGCAACCACCCTCTCTCCAGCCTCGGGCTCTGGGCTCCGCTGCCAAGTCCCGGTCCTGGGCTGGAGCCTCTTCCCAACACCTTGCTCCTTGCTCTCAGGTTGGTCCTTGGGGCCATTAACACTCATCACACGCGCATTCGCCCCCAGCCTCAAGAGCCAGGGTCGCACGGGGACAGACCCAGCAACTGCCTCCTCCCCTAGGTGCCACCCACGTTCCAGGCCTCCCGGCAGGAGGCGTGGTTGGGAGAAGTGGGTGGGGGTTAGCTCTGCGTGCTCCCCACGTCGGGCCCCGAAGGTTGAGCCGCGAGGAGCTAGGAAGGAAGCGACAGGAGGGGCCGCGTGCGCGAGAGGAAAGCGCCTCCATGCTCCGAGATCCTGGGGTGCGGGGTGGGGGTGGTAGAGGATGCAGTCCGACGCGAGCGGCAGGATCCAGGGCTGCACCCAGAAGGGAGGGGTCAGGGCAGTAAAGCTGGCAAGCGGGGCCGCAGAGGCCACAGGGCTAGGGCAGCGAGGGCCTGGAAGGGTGGGGACGGGGCCGCCCTACCCCCCTCCCGGGCTTGCCGCGTGCAGGTAAACGGTCTTACAAGCCCCACCGTGGCCCTCAGGTGTCACGGCCGCAAGGAGAGACCACTCGGCCACACAGAGCGAGCCAGCACCCCGGGGTCTGCTAAGCGTGGGCAGGTCCCCCGGGCAGGGCCAGAAGGGGTCCCGGCTGACCGTGACAGGTTTCCGCGGCGGCCGCGGGCAGCAGAGCGGGCGCCGCCGGGGGTAAGACGCGAGCGCCCCGCCCCGCCCACCGCCCAGCTCCGCACCCCGCCACTCACCACCTCATTTTTTCAAAAACTCAAGAATTTCAGGGCGGCGAGAGCAGAGTATTAGATCAGCGCGCAAAGCCCAGGAAGCCGTCCCAGGTCCCACAGACACAACCGCGTGCCCAGCCGGACTCGCGCCCCTCCGTCGCCAAATTCACAGCCGAGTCCCTCGGCCCCAAGAAGGAAGCCCCAGGGCCTCTCGCCGCCGCCCCGCCCCGCCGCGCCCCGCCGCGCCCGCCCGCCCGAGGCTGAGCCCCGACGGCCTCCCGCTCGCCCGGGGCTCCCGCACCCGCCGCACGCTGGAGACGCGCCGTGCGCCCGGGGGCCGCCGCACACAGAGCGCCCACTCCCGGGCCCTCACCCCGAGCTCTGGGACCCCCAGCTTGGAGCCGGCGACACACCCCCGCGCCCGCCCGGGTCCTAAGGCCGCCAGCGCCCCGCCCCGGGCCGAGCCGCCGAAGGCGGGGTCCCGCCGGGCGCTCACCGCGCTCCTGTCGACCCCCGGCGGGCTGCTCCTGCGCGCCCGCGGCGACTCTGCCGGACGGTGCGGACCAGGCGCCTTCGGGGCCGCGCGCCCTCGCAGGCGTCGCCGGGCTGGAGGCGGGGCGGGGCGGGGAAGGCTCTGGGAAGGTCCGTGGCCCCCGGACCACGCAGCCGTGCCCCGCCGCGGGTCGGGGGAGGCGGCCCTGGCGTCCGCTTTATGCGCGCGGTGGGTCCCCGCCCCCTCCCCTCGGCCGGGCCCAGCCCCCCGCCGCCCCGCCCCCTCCATTCATTCCCGTCGCTCGGCGGCGAGCCCTCCTCTCCCCGCCTCCTCGGGACGCGCGCCCCGACTCACTAGACGGGCCGGCGCGCATTCCGAGGCCACGCCCGGGCCCGCCGAGCCCGCGGCCCTCCCACTTCGGCGGCGTCGGGTTTGCTCGCCGCGCGCCTCGCAGTTTGTCTCCTGGTCTCGTCGCGCGTTCGCCTTCTCCGGGGTCTAGGTCTTTGGTCTCCGTGTCTTCCAAGATGGCTCCGGAGCGGGGCGCTGAGGTCGCGCCTTCTCGGGCGCCTCGTTTTCTTCGAGTGGTGCGTGCGTGTGTGGCGGGGGCCGCGGTCGTTTCTTCAGGAAGGCACTAGGGCGCAAGGGTAGGCGCGCGCGCTGCCCTAGGTTTTGGCAAACTGTGGTACTGGTGACTTCTCGGCAAGTGACTCAACGTCCCTGGGCCCCGAACTGATCTGGAACTCGCCGCTCCCACAGCGTAAACCCTGCACCGCCTCCACATTGGCAGCTGGAGGGCTTGGAAAAGGGTGAGCGGGACAAGGAGAGCAAGAGCCCGCCTCGGCAATCCCAAGAGTTGACCGAGTGAGCTGGGCAGCGATTTCCCCTCCCAGCAAGATAAGAGCGCGTTAGGAGGGAAGTCCCCCGGAGCAGGGGGACCGCTGGGCTACACGCTCCCCACTGATCTCCAACGAATAGCTGGAGGTTGGAAGTTTGCTTCTTTCGTGGAGGGAGGGGGGCGAGCAGGGCTTGGAAAAAGATGGGGTCATCCAGGCAACCCCTCCATTCTGCTCTTGGGTCTTTTTAAGATTTTTTTTTTGCATAGAACTGGGGTGTAGGCAAGAGGTGCGGGGGTGGGGGTGGAGATGGAGGGGGGCTAAGAAGATCACCAGAGACAGAGTGGGGAGCAGAATAGGCGGACCTACTGAAATACACTGCTGAGGGGAGCAGCGGTCGAGACAGGAGAGGTCTGCTGCTGCGCCATGTGGGTCAGCTCCCTGGCCAGGGATCAAACTCATGCCCCAGTGGTTGGTCATAGCTTGATAGCTCTGGGACTCTAACCTCTGTACCATTAGGGGGGCCTCTTGGACCCTTCTTTGGACATCCTCTAGCTAGACACCTGGCCAGGACACTGACTCCCTTAGTCACTAGGGGTGGAGGAAAGTTAAAGGGGGGAGGGGAATGGAGGTTGAGGGAAAGCTGCAGAAGGACAGGGGACAGAGCAGGATGGGGAGGGGGTGTTGCAGAGGGTGGACTTTTGAAAAGCCACCCCCTTGGCCTGCTCCCAGCCTCTTCCATCTGGGAATGTCTAGGCTTCTGGGTCTACCTCCCTGTGTCAGCTGGCAAATCCCAATCATTTGAACCTTCTTAGCCACCTGGTTTGGAGGGGCGGCACCTTGCCATTTAGCTTACTGAGCACACAGAAGCCCACAGCCAAGGCCTCCCTCAGTGATCTATGGACCTGACTCCCAGAGAAACTGACACTGTGACCTACGCTTTCTAGCGTCCCTTGCCAGGTTGCCCCGAAGTGAGCCCCTGACCCCCACGCCTCTGCTGCAATGTGAGAAGCTGGTTCCTTCAGTGCTCCACCCACCACCTTCCCTCTATGGCTCAGAGGTTGAGGGCAAACACAGGTCCTAGGATGCCCCACCTGTGTTCCACTGTGTTGTCACACAGACAGTTGAGGACCCACACATAGGTGGGGACTTCTGCTCTCCTTCCCTCCCTGGGGGCTGACTTCACTGGGCTTGAGCAAAAACCATGGGCTCTGTGTTCCAAAAGGAACTTCATAGCTTTCCAAAGTACTTTCACCATTACCCCTGAATCCATTGATGCCTGTAGATTTTAGAGTCTGGAGTGAGGTGTAACTCTATAGTATCTCATTAAAAATAAAACCCTCCCTTAAATGAACTCCCCCCCCCCACCCCCACTCCTCAGCTGCCCTTCAGAGTCATTCTCCAAAGCATTCTCTCTGTTCTGGAGCCTCTTCCCCACACAGGCCCAGCTTTTGTCTCCACCGCTTTCCCGAAACTGCTCTTGTCAAGGCTGCCTTGCCTCAGTTTTCTTGCCAGTCCTTCTCCTGCCCCCTCGGCAGTGGCTAGCACTACCAATCCCTCCTTTTTCTTGTAACCTTTGCTCAACCCCATGAGTGAGGATTTGCCACCTGTTACTGCTTATTTGTGGAAACTCCATGTCGGCTCTCAGCCAGGCTGTGGCTCAGTTGTCCACTAGGTCAAGTCCCTGATGCTCATGGTGGTGTGAGTGGACAAGGCAACACGCCAGTCTCTTACTGACTTCCAAACATTCGTTTGGACTGTCTTGCACCCTGAATACCTCTCCCCTTCTTCCTTTTGCTTTTGATGCAGGGGAGTCCAGTATGAGATCGGTGAGTTTGGTGGGGGTTAGGGGAGGGAACATGGCCACTTCTCTCTCCTGGGGGACTTCTCCAGACCCTATAGTTGGCACAGAGGAAGACTCTTTAACGAAGCATTAAGTCTCTACTAGTTGCATCTATCCCTATTGAGAAAGCCCCAGGTTCGTTTAGGTGCAGCCAGGAGGGCAAGATGCCCAGTGGAGGGCCACCAAGGAACTGCTCCCCTAGGATGACATCTCTCTACGCCCCCCTCCCCCAACCCCAGTCAGAATTTAGCATTGGACTGAGGTTTATGGCTCTCGGCTCACTGGTTCTATGTGGCAGGGAGATTGTCAGGCAGGAAGGTTCTGGGCTGCTCCATGGCCTTCACATGTCAAGCCCTCTGACCTGGGTTCCAGTTTCAGCTTCTCAGCCAAGAAAGTTCTGGAAGTGAGTCACCAGCAAACATAGGCTGACTTTTGCCTGTCCCCCTCCAGGGACTGAAGGAGCCACTCACCTACCACTCTGCTGTGTGTGTGATGATGCCCGATGGCTTCCCCAGGCAGGACCCCTCCAGGCAGACACACATCATATTATCCCCATCCTCCTAGAAGCTTGCTGAAATGCACATCCCTAGGCTAGGCCCAAGGATGCCATTGAGTAGGTCAAAAATCTGTATTCCCAACAAGCTCCCCAGGGCATGCTGAGGAACTGGACAGTCTTGGGACAAAGGGCTCAGGGCTGGCTCTACAATGCCCCACCCTCTTCTACTCCCAGGCATTTAAATCCCTTTGAATCCCATCACAGTCACCTAAGGCTTTCTGGCCCTGAGTCCAAGCAGCCTGTCTCCCTCCTAGCCTTCCTTGCTCTCCTTGGCTCTTCACGTACCTTGTGTCCTCCATCCATGTCTCTGTCCCTGGTTTAAGGAGCTACCCAAGATCTTGCCTGAGGTTCACCTTTCAGGGCTGACACTGCCTGTGGCCCATTTCAGCCCCTCCCTCAGGCTCCAGGCAGGGCAAGTTAGAGGCAGGAACAAGGCAACACCCTCAGGCAAGACCTCCAGCTCCTTTGTGTGTGGGGGGGTGTCTCATCATTTTTATCTATAAAACAAGTCTAAGTCTTGTAAGCTAGAAAATTCCATGAATTTTTGGTTATCAAACCATCTTTCCTTTTCCTGTTGTCCTTATTCTGCTATTATTTGTACAATCACTCAGGCATGACATTTCAGAGTGAAGATGTAAAGTTTCTTAAAAATTTGAAGCTAAGAATAAATTTGAAGCCAATAAAACATCCTTATTGGAAAAAGAAAAGCAGTAGTAACTGGGATAAAATGGAAATACATTCATACTTGATTTGGTTAGCATTTTAATTTTTACAGATTGAAAGTCACTTATTAGTTGGACATAAAATTGATTATCCCTGATGCAATTTTTTTAACCAAATTATTTTGGCTGGTCAATTTAGCAATGCAGAGCCCTGGGAAAACGCAGGAATCATTTGTGGCTAAACAAATTTATTTTTCTTCAAATTTTTGGAGAATGAAACAAAAAACCAGTTTTTGGAATTGTTTCAAACGTTGGGGTTTTTTCCACTTCGGCTTTTTCCACTTCTACCTTGAGGTCATCCCCTTCGCTCCTGTCTAGTTAGTCATTGGGTCTTGCCAATTGTTCCTTCAAAGCCATTCTCTAGTTGGTCCGCTTCTCACCCCACCAATGCAAAGCAGCAGTGCACCCCCACATGACAGTCTACGTGATCTTGCTTTTTGTTTAGGCAATAAAGAGATTCTCAAACAGGCTCCATGGAATGCTGGTGTCCCTGCGTGCCAGAGGCTCTCCAGCAAATAATGAGGACACCTCTCAGTCTGCAGAGGGAAATGATCTTGGTGGACAGGATGTTTTCGACTTAAAGTGCTTCTTCCCTTGGTTAAAAGTCACTACGCCACAACAGAAAAACAGTGCTTGTTGTATCACTTGTATTAAAAAAAGACAAATAGAAAGCAAAAAACTTAAAAAAATCAAGTAAGTGTCTGTAACAAAAGCTCAAAACAGAACCAGCCAGGAGGGTGTGCAATGCTGGTCCAGGGGAGCAAGCCCTTCTTTAGGAGACCCAGCTTCTCAATGAGCCTGCTGCTGGGGGCCCTTAGAAGTGCAGTGGCCTTGGCTAGGTCAGTCAGACACCTGTCCCCGCCACTACTGTTGCTCCAGTGGGAATGAGTCCCCTTCCCATAAAGAACTTATAGGTTCCTTTAAGTCCTCCTATCTCTCAAAAATCGCCCAGCCTGGTAGCAATTCTTTGCAGGCTATCCTCAAATCTCCGGTTTCCCAGAAGTGCAAGAAGTTAATACCTGGCCCAGCAGGACGGGAGGCAGGGGGCTGGGGAAAGAGGTTGGGGGTGGGGGGCTGCCGGCTGCCAACCCGTGCGCCTCCAGTTCTGCCCTCCCCTAGGATGCTGCCTTGCCTTTGGTTTGTACATTGCTAAGTGATCACATAGAACCTCCAAACCCAAGACCACCACCACTCGGAGAGAGGCTGCCTGTAGTGGCTGCACCCTCCCCCTTGGCCCGGCTCCCACATCTTCCCAGTGGGGGACTTCCCTTGTCCGGAGGCCATTGCGCTGAGCCTGGGACTGGAAGCAGGGTCTCTAAGAACTGGGGGCCTCATGTGGCGCCCCTCCCTATTCTGCCCTTTCTCCAAGCGCCAGGGTCCTCCTCCCAGCACCGGCGTGGGATGTGAGCCGCGCCCGCCCGGCTGCGGACGCCACCTGCGGCAGGAAGGGAGCCCGCAGGCTCGGGGCGTCCGGCACCACTTGCCTACGGAGTGAAACCCGCAAGGCTCCTTTGGGGCTCAGGCGCTCGGTCAACCTCGCCCTAGGAGTGCCCGCAAGTGCCCGGGTGGGAGCTATGGAGGGAGGTTTCGGAGCCAATGCTGGTAGGGGCACTTACTGGACCCTTCGAGCCCTGGTTGTCCCCCATTTGTAAAGCGGGAGGAGCGGCCGCCTTGCAGAGCTGTGTCCTGGGTTACAAGAGCTGATCAGCCTGTAAAGCAATGGTTGACATCTCAGCCTGGCCGTGAACCCACAGGGGAGCCCCAAAGTCTGGCACCTGGGCGCATAGCGGCTTAGCACAGGGACCTTGTTGTAAGGGTGGACTTTTTCTCTGGAGTCTGGGGGGCACCCCCCCATACCTCTGCACACCCTGCCCCCCAGCATCTCATATGGTGCTCATGCAAGCCTCTCCTTGGCTCCTCTGGGACCCCCAGAAAGTGCCCACCGCCAACCCAGGGTGATTTCAAGTGAATTTTATTCTTCAAAGGCTGCTCTAGGGCTTGGGGAGGGGAATGTGAGCCCCAAGGATCCTTCTCACAGCAGCGCCTGCAGAGGTACCCCGGGAGAGACAGAGTCCCAGAGGCCAGCCTTCTCACCAGCCCCTCTTGGGAAAACTCAGGTTCTCCCAGTCTACAGGGACAGGTAAGCAGCAGGCCTTGCTTGTTCAGTGATAGTTTATTGGTCCTTAGCATTACAACTCAGTTACCAAGGTAAATGAACACACAACTGCAGGTAAAAACATGTAAAATAATATAAAAATAAATTGAAAGCTACTTTTATATATTTACTGAAGTAGTGTAATAAATACTATAAGCAAAAAGCTTCAATCACACAATTCAGTTTCACTGAAGTTACAGTAGTGTTTGTAAATGTTTTAAAATTTAAGTTACAAATATTAAAGCACTGAAAAACTATTATAAAAGTGAATTTTGGCACGTAAGTGAGCTCTTATGTCATTAGTAGTTGACAACCTGGGACAATAAGGAAGTCATTTCTCACCTACTTTTTGAGGTAAAACTATCCAACTAGGTCAGCAACACAGCTGAAATACTTCATATATTTTGTTTATAATCTTTGAGTTTAACATTTCCCTTTTGAGAAGCTCCAAGAGCAACCCAGAGCTTATTACTGTGCAAAAATTCTCCAAAATCCTAATGAAATTTAGGAGGAAATTTTTCTTGTGACCTGCAGGACCCACTGTCCATGGCTCAGGTCACAGAGCCCCCAGGACTCCAAGGAGCCAACTCGACTTCTTGCCTGGGACCCCTTCCTTGGGTAATCCCCTTTTCTCCAATTTCTACCGCCTCCTTCCAATTACAAAAAGAAAAATCCCACATCAAAACGTAAAAGAACCCATAACTTCAGCGACTTCAACATTATCACACTCATTCTGGGTGGTATAAAACTGAAGCTGCTAATAGGAAAGTTGGCAAAAAGCATGTAAGCCCCTGGAGGACTTCTGCCTGTCCTGGGAACCTTCACCTGATATCGTTGCTGGGTCCCTGGTACATCCACCTTTAAGGTCAAATCTAAAACATGGTGTCATGGCCCTACGCCTGGAGACAGCCTAAAACCCTGCCCTCCACCGGGAGCACCCACTGGAGGAATCAAGTGGATGGTCTTCTCAGTCAGAAGACAGAGGGCCCTCAGGTTCCGGAAGGGGCAGTGCCAGGAAGGAGGAGGCATCCTCCTGGCTTCAGTCCTCAAAGAGCTGACATTGCACACTACTAGTGTGTCTCTTCACCAGGGGCACCATGTGTGCCCTGAGGAATGCCCTTTCGCCAATGTGCCCCTCTCAGACTCCTGCGCAGGCTGAGGAGCACCTATGGAGGCCTCAGCCAGTTTTGTTTTAGCTTTGAAACTTTATAACGTTTTGATTTTTCTCAATCACAGTTTCATATTCAAGTTGAGGTAATCACAGTTTTCCCTCTGAGAGGAGAGGAATTAGGACCGTGGGGCAGATTGGTGAGAGAGCATTTCTATGAATAAAACGATCAGAAACCAAGACCACCACGTAGTATACAGCCCCACGCAGTGGGAAAAGACCCGCTTTTACGGGCGGGCTCCGACCCCTCTTTAAAAACTCTTTTGTGCAGCAGCCAGGTAATGGCTCCAGCCCCTAGATCTGGAGCATTCACTTACAACTTCACAGCAACCTAGAGGAAATGGCCTATGGTTCCCCCTATCCCCACCCCACCCCCCTTTTCTAAGGCTGCTCAAGTATGAGTTTTTAGAAAGAGCTCGGTAGAGCTAAAGGAAGCTACAGTAACTCATTGCTTATTTAATCAATTGCACTTAAGATCTATGTTATTGATTCTGAGGCAGAGGCAGGCGCTGCAGATTCAGCCTCTGGCCAGCCAGAAGTGAGGGGCAACCACACTGGATGCCACAGCTGGGCCCTTGTCACCAACACCTTTGGGTGCTGGGACTGGAGCACACGGGCCTTTTCAGAAGCCTTTCTTCACACAAGATTTCTTATTCAATGGTATTTGGAGTTTTGTTCATTTGGCTTTAAATAAAACTGTTGTGTCTAATACATTTTACTGACAAGCCTTCTCCTCTGCTCTGCTACTTGCATGCAGGCCTCTGCATGACCAGGCACACACACAATACCTGTGCTCCATCCTTCCTGTCTGTCCTCTGCTTCAGGGGCCTTTCTCAAACACCCCTTTACATTACTAGAAACTTTGCTGGTTTTGCCTATGTGCTTTTTCCTAAGGCATGCAAAAAATATGTGAAATTCAGAAAGCATTTACAATCTAGGCAGCTAAGGCGCTAAAGTCCTAACAGACATCACCTAAATATCAGTACTTGCGACCTCCTCTCCCACTAATTCTGGAGGTCAGGCATGGGACACACTTCTGCTTTATGGCCCAGCTGAATACAAAGCCCCTGGAAGGAATTCTAATTTGGATATTGGAATTCTTTGAAATTTCTGGTCCTCAGCAGCCAAAAAGTCCATGACCAAGAACAATGCTTGAGGAGCATGTGTTTCCTGAAGTGTGCCTGAAAACCAGACCTTCCCTGGCTAAGCTGAAGGGAGGGTTGAGAGCTAGAGACTGAACTCCCTTCAAGGAATCCATGAGCGATTATAGCCTGGGCCTAAGACTAACGAGCTGCAGAACTCTTCTCAAATGCAGGCAAAGCACTAGCAAGAGGCCTGAGCAGCAGGTCTGCACTTGTCCCTGAATTAGGCAAACCAGAGTGATGCCACTAGGGAGCTCAAGCCCAATCCCAAAGGGGACTGCTTATGTCAATTCAGAAGCCACACACTTCTGGAAAACAACATGCCTTCCCTCAGTTTAGTCTGCTAGGAAAATGGTCTCATTTTAGAAGCAGCTGTTGATCTCAGCCCAAGCTGCTGGCTCTGTGGCTGGGGCTTGTGTTCTCCACCCCCAGGCTGTAGGGGCTAGCTCCTTCAAGGAAGGGGCCTGAGCAGGGAGGCAGGGACTTCACTGGGAGGAGTACTCTCCTGGGGCTATGTCTGAGGCGTGTGGCCTGTGGTGACCTAGCTACCCAAGGGCAGACAGAGATTGGGCAGCCAGGGTTCTGTCCTGCCCCAGCAGCTCCTCTGTGCAATCCAATTGCGTCTCCCACTCATACAGTGCCTCAAGAGCTCAGAGATGCGACACCAGAGACCCAGAGGTCCTGGTCTCCCAGTGCACACAGGATAGTCATTCCCTAACCCCCCCCCCCCAATCAGTGGTGCAGGTGATGTTCTCAGAGCTGGATAGAGAATAAAGACGACATGCACTCAAGTCAGCACACAAAGGCCAAGGAGAACAAATGATGGTCCCTCCAGGAGACTGGGGTTAAGACACCCATTTTGTCCATCTCCAGGGTGGACACTCTGCAATCTTCCTTTAGGGCCTCTGCTCAAAGAGGTCGTGATATTCCTGCTGCTCCAGCTCCCGATTATATTTTTCAATTTCCCGGTTGGCTTCTTCCACGTAGTCATTCATGAACTGGTCCATGACTGCCATCTCATTAAGGAAGATAGCACTGAGCCTTGAGGACAAGAGGGACTGCCCAGGATCTGTGGGCAGTGAGGTGGGGGGACACTGAGTGTCCAGTCCACACAGGGTACCTGACCGGCAGTACCACAGACCAGACAAGACCAGAACTGATGCACCCTTCCTGAGCCCCTCTGCACACAGCAGCACCCCGACTCACCTTTTCAGGCCCAATCTCTAACCTGTAAATTATGAACCGCGACTACAGAACTCAAGATGCCACCACAGCTGTATCTAAACTCATTAGCAGCAGCAGCAGCAGCTCTCTGTCCGCCTATGACCAGGCAGGTGAGACGCTTTCTTTTGCCTTTTCCTACTAAACCTGTCCTTTTAAAATGTTTTAAAAAATAAACTACAGCTCACAGAGTAATATCAAGATATCAATAAATGAAGGAGATATCTGATTTTAATGACTTTAAGAGGCCAGAATGAAAAGTCTGCCTCTCTGTGCCTTCTTGTGTCTTCCCAGAATCTGGCCTGTTCCAGGGGTTCACACTTCCCCAGATTCCAAGGATACGTGGGTGAAAATCAGTCTTGTCACCAAAGAAGTTAACAAACTGGGTGCCATTATAAAAATAGCCTGCAGGTAGGGGGTCCAGGTGGCGTTTTACCTGTAGGAAAAAAGAGTCCTGTTAGAGTTATCTAACCACTTTCTATCACTTGCTCATTCATTAAAAACAAACAAGTCTATTGCCTTAGTCAGACAGCCCCACTGTGCCCAGTGAAAGGCTAGATGTGCCAGGGAATTAACACCTCCCTGCCAGCAGCCCTCAAGCAATGACTGACGGAGGTTCCCCACCTCCCCAGGAGGAAGTCAGGAGTCCCTAATAAGATTAAGCTCCAGTTGCCCACAGTGGTACTGGTTTGATAACACACCCTTTGTTGGCTGTCTCCCCTTCCCTTCTCCCTTACTTTCCCACTTCCCTACTAGTATCTTCTAGAATCACTTCCAAAATAAGCTCCCTGCACTCAAATCTTTATTCAAGGTTTGCTTCTGGGAAATGTACATTAGGATTGTCTTCTGAAGTGCCCATGTTATCCTCCCCAGGAACACCCTGCAGATGTTCCTCAAGTCCAAAGCAGGTGCTCCTGAAGTCTCAGACTCCTGTCCCACCTGCTTATTCCTAGGACTGGCTGGCACAGCCTCTGCTGGGGCTGGGACTTCTGTGCCCTTTAGCCTTTACCACCAAATCTGTCAGGACAAGTCCACAGTGGGGATAAGGACTGGGGTAGAGTCCTCAGATTTGAAGGGCTCATCAAGGGGTTTCTTGTTCTGGCCTCAGGATTTCCCCACTGCCTATGAGCAGTTTCTGGATTGAGACAGTTTTATACTGGGCTATCACTGGTTTAATTGTGGTTTATCTAGGATAGAGGAGTGGGAGGAGAAAAGGACTTGTGCAGTTAGTTGCTTGTTTGAACAGAGTGGCAAAGCAGGGCTCCGTGTCAGCAGTTCCTCCCACAGGCACTGGTTCTCCTTGATTTCACACCCAGCTCACACCGGAGGTCACCCCACCCTCTTCCTCACTGAGGCTGCAAGGTCAGATGAATTGAGGTTTTTCTTTACTCAGCTTCCCTCTGTGACCTGACAGAAAGCAAGGCCTCCAGCATGCCCTACCACTGTCCCCTTACTCATGTCATCCTGAAAGACAGGAGCTGTGCAAGCCCAGAAGGACAACCTTGGGAAGAGTTTAGGCCCCCTGTGCAGAGTACTCACGTGGATGTTCCTGATCTCTTGCTGGGTCAGCATCCCCCTGGTTTTCAGGGCTTTCCTCTGAGGCTTCTGTGCAGAAATAGAAGGAGGAGTCAGGTCTCATCAGAGCTGATGATATACACAACACAGGGGCGGGCTCAGGGCCAAGGGCCAGTTACATGATTAAGATCCCAGCTGAGGGGAAGCACAAATGCTGACATGGCCTAGACAAAATATCCTGCCTGTGTGCCCTTTGGGAAGACCACCTTCCATCACAGAGCTTGCATGCCAGGATGCATGTTGCCTCTTTGCAGATCTTAATCCTAAGTGCTACCAGTGACAGACATGGAGCAAAGGGACAACCAGAGGTCCACAGCCAAGTGCCATTTAGGTGATCATGCAGGAGATTATTCTGTTTAAGAAATATATAGCCTGCAGACAGCCAATTCCCAGTATGAAAGAAAGGACCCTATGAAGGGCCTAGACACCATCTAACTCTATTTTAGAGTTCTGGATGAGCTTAAACCCTTGAGGCTGTGCTGAGAGAATTAGTACCCCAAGCCTGCAGTATATTGGAGGTCTTTAAGTCCAGTTTGTTTTCATTTTCTTTGTGGTCTTGAGCTAAAGATGCTTGTGTGAGATGCCTCTCCCCAAGTTCCTGTCTCCAGGGCCCTATGCTCACAGCCCTCCAGGCCTGGGAGTCTTGGTTTGCAAATAGCTCTAAGCATATCTTTGTTTCCTTTCTAGAGAGAGAATGAACTCAAGCACAGGAAGATTCTGGGCTCAGAATAGAGGACAGTGTTTGTATTGGGATCAGTCAGGAAAGACATCTTGAGTTTTATTTATTTATTTTTTAAAGATTTATTTATTTTATTTATACAAGCACTGGGTACAGACAGAAGTGCAGGAGGGTGAGAGAATTCACCAGAGCCAGAGCGGGGAACAGAACATGCAGACTGACGAAATACACTGCTGAGGGGAGCAGCGGGTGAGACAGGAGAGGTCTGTTGTGCCATGTGGGACCCTCGCTGGCGGCCAGGGACTGAACCTGCACTGCAGAGGCTGCAGGTAGCTTCGCAGCCCAGCGCTCAACCACTACGCCACCAGGGGAGGCCCCATTTTGAATTTTAAACACCGGCTTAACCCAGGGTCCACATGGAACAACTAGGTCTTACCTAGGTACTAGGTAGCCACTTAATAACTCTAGTCTGCCTTGGGAATAAAACTGGAAATGGGGGGCCTCCTGGTGGCACAAGGTGTTAAGCACCGTACTATGAAGCAATCCTCAGCCTCTGCAGCACGAGTTCGATCCCCGCAGCTGGCCAGGGAGCAACGCACATGGCGCAGCAGACCTCTCCTGACTCTCCCACTGCTCCCCTCAGCAGTGCATTTCAGTCAATCTGCCTGTTCTGTTCCCTTCTCTGTCTCTGGTGAATCCTCTCACCCCCCACATCTCTGACCTGTACCCCAGCTCTTGTATGCATAAATAATCTTTAAAAAAAAACCAAAGAAAAAAAACCTGGAAATGGTTATTAAAACAAATCGGCCTTAAGTGGGCTGCCTCCCACTCTCAAGTGTCCCTGAAAGCACTGGCCAACCCCATGAGGGGAAGACCAGTGGGGAGGTACCAGTGAAGCAGTGGGGGGCTTCTACCATAGGGCCATTAGCTTCCCCAAGGTGTGCTGGTTATATTTGTGCCAGGTCTACTTTAGCTTCAGAAACTACCTGCTTGGCTGACTGACGTAGCCAGTCCTTGACACTCTCTTCTTTCAGGGAGCAGCCAATGAACACGAGGTAGCACTCCTGCTGTCCACTGCTGTCTTGAGTTGTGCTTCTGGAGTCAGGCGGTGGAGTGGGTCCCTCCAATACTGGAATGATGCTCAAGGAGTTGGCCAGAGTGTTGTGGCAGACCTCCATGGTCCTCTCAGAGTCTGCAGGAGAACATGTTACTCCTGAGATCCTGACCCAAAAGGGTAAGGTCACACTAAGACTGCAACAGTGCAGGTGGCCAGGGTTGAACTCATGAGACACATGCAGGAAGGAAAATTGACACGACTAGCTGCAGGCTGGAAAGGATGAAGTAAAAGAGGGAGAGCAATGCCCATTTCTAACCCAGAAGGTGACTGCAAATGAAATCTAGGAGCTAGAGGGCAGGCCATGAGGGGAAGTAGGCTTGGTCCTTCACTGCAGACCAGGAGAACCCATAGAAAGGTGGGTCTCTGGCAGAGAGGGGTAAATGCAAGAGCCCAATGGTGTAAGATTCAAAAGGGAGGGTTTCTGAGCATCTGAGAGGCAGCCATTGTCTGCAGGGCACCAGTGGAAGCTATGGATGTGAATCATGAGACGTGAGCACTCCACAATGTAGGGCTCACCAATGCAACCCCACAATTACCTGAAAACTTCACTTTGCCCAGGATATGGTAGATGTTTCCAGAGAAAGGACTTGGCTTAATGGAGGACTGAATTGCTGGTGGAGAAAGAACAAAAGGCTGTCACCCACCTGGGAGCAGAGGCCAAGTTAAGGGCAGCACAGCTACCATGAGTTAGGGACAGGGAAGGCCTTGCTCTAGGATCCAGGCTTCACAGGTTCTATTCCCTCCAGCAGTTTCTCCCCAGTGGCTCTGCCACTCTCCCCAGGAGAGGGGGAAACTTTCAATCAAGGAGCAATCAAACCCTATGGCCACCCAAGATCAGGGATAGGGTCTTCTGGGTTCTTAAATCCTCCTGCCTGCTTTCAGACTGGAGACCACACACAGAATACTAAACTGGGGCAGGAAGCAGGGACTACTCTGGAGCACTATTTACCAGTCTACTTATTCTTCTGTGATATGTTCCAGTCAAGGAATTACCTTTACACTTGGCCACAAAGCGGTTCTTCTCCAAGGGACGACCAAACCATACACAGATCTGAACCATTAGTGGAAAGACGGATCCAGCATCAAATTTACCTTCATACCTTAAGAGATTTCAAACATGTTAAGTACAAGTAATTGGGACTTGGAGAGTTATTATAAGGACAACTTTGGGTTGAACTAAACTTACCATTGTATTTGAATTCTCCCTTACTTGTATGCCATTTTGGGTACAAAACGCTTATTTGTAAGTGGTGAGTGAGACTGGGAAGAAACATGTTTGCCTCTTTAGAACAGGGCTTTCTGAGAATGCAGGTCTTACCGCCTTTAGACTAGCTGTTCTTCGAAGTCAAAGACCTCATCTATCTTTGGTGGGTTTTTTTTTTTAAAGATTTATTGATGCATACAAGAGCTGTGGTGCAGGCAAGAGGGGCGGGGCAGGGGGTGAGAGGATTCACCAGAGACAGACTGGGGTACAGAACAGGTGGATCTATTGAGATACACTGCAGAGGGGAGCAGTGGGCAAGACAGGAGAGGTCTGCTGCACTATGTGGGTCACCTCCCTGGCTAGGGATCGAACTTGTGCTGCAGTGACTGCAGATAGCTTCATAGTGCTGTGTCCTAACCCCTTGTGCCACCAGGGAGGCCACTCATTTATCTTTGAAGCCTAGTACCCAGGGAGTTCTTCCTCAGGATCTCCTCTTGCTCCCTTCAGGGTTCCAACTATTGCCCACCATCTTGTTGATGGCAGCTTACCAGACCATATATTTGTATGTGTACTCTCTCTCCATAAGGAACTGATGGGTTTTCTTTTTTTTTAAGTAATAAAAAATTGTGTTTACTTAGAAGCATTCAGAATTTCAACAAAACAGTTGCAACTTATTTTTTTTTTCAATTACAGAGTGGCATTCACTTAACAGAACAATTTTTCATATAAACTGCATCAGAGACAACTGAAGATGAAAAACTACCATTACCAAATATACATAACTCATTTGTGCTGTGCACCAACAGAACATGCTCTACATTCCCAGGCCAATTTACAATCTCTCTAGTGAGCCAGGCAAGGTTAGGGGCTACTGAAAAATACCACCAGGCCAGGGATGTCTAAGCACACTTTCCGTGGTGTATTAACTAAACAAAAAAAAGACAGTCTACAGTTTAAAAACAAATCTTATGCAGACCTACACTTCATTTTTGTTTCTTTAAAAGGAGTGAGTTGCATACAGAGTGTTAAAAGCTTTATAGGCAAGGAAAAAAAAATGCACCAGAACCAAACCAACTATTCATCATTATTATCTTCTTCATCTTCCTCCTCTTTCTTGCTTTTTCAGCCTAGATGACTCCTTTTTTGGCCTTGACAGGTTTTCCTTTAGACCGGTATGTAGTAATATCCTTTTTGTAATTTTCCTTTAGCTTAGTGGCCTTCTTTTCATAGGGCTGCTTCTCATCTGCAGTAGTGTTAGTTTCAGTTTCTTTGCAGCATCACCAAATGGATAGGCCAGGATGTTCTCCTTTGGTTTTGTTGTTTTTTTTTTTTTTTTGCTATACTCAGAGCAAAACAAGAAAAGGGTAATGGAGGCCTTGGGGAGCATCAGGATCCTTGAACTTCCTTTCTTGTTTTCCCTTTAGGAAGGTATATGTTTTCATTTCTCTTCCATAATGGGCCTTGCCCACCTTTGCCATGTCATCAAGCTTTCCTTTCTCTTTAGCAGACATGGCTTTCTACCTGAGCACTTCTTACAAAATTCCAAGAAGTTGAGTGACACATCTGGGTGCTGTTTCTTGTGCTCTTCCTGGCAAAACTGCACTAAAAACACATCTGATGACATTCTGCCTCTCGACGTCCCAGGATCTCCTTTTGTCCATTTTTAATTATTTTTCCTCAGCAAGGCACAGTGTTGCCCAGTGCCTAGTGACTCTCAGTGTCTCTACGGAGCTCAATGTACTGAAATTGATTTTTTTTCCCCAATTTTGAGTTATAATGCTTGCCACACACTCATAAAAACACAACCATTATTTGGAGCATTTAAAAAATTAACTACTGGGCTTCCCCGGTGGCGCAGAGGTTGAGCGCTGGACTGCGAAGCTGCCTGCAGCCTCTGCAGCGCCAGTTCGATCCCCGGCCGCAGGCGAGGGTCCCACATGGCACGGCAGACCTCTCCTGTCTCACCTGCTGCTCCCCTCAGCAGTGTACTTCGTCAGTCTGCCTGTTCTCTCCCTGCTCTGGCTCTGGTGAATCCTCTCACCCTCCCATGCTTCTGACTGTACCCAGTGCTTGTATAAATAAATAAAATCTTTAAAAATAAAATAAAATAAAAAATACTTCTTATGCAAAATTTCAAATATGCAAAGGTAGAGGACAGTATAATGAACTCCCATTACCAGGCTTCCAAAGTTATGGTTTTGTCATTCTTCCTTCTGAGATACTTCCTTGAGATGAATCTCTAAGATCAGAATTCAGTCCAGAAGAGGGTATAGCCATCACAGGTAATAACTTACACCAATCCCACTAGTAGGTGAGTATACCAGCTTCACAACAGTTCTCCCAGTAATGAAAGCATCTATATTTTTGGTGAAGTGTAAGAGGTGCTTGTCAAAAACAGCAGTGAGCCACTGTTTAATGTTTCTGAATATTAGTGACTTGAATTCTGTTGCCATGGTTGCCATTTACACTCTTAAATCAACTGTCTCCATCTATACGGACTGATTTACTTTTCTTCAATATCTAAACGAGCTGCCCAAGTATATTAACCCTTTGCCACATTTGATACAAACATTTTCCTCCAGTCTACTGCATTTTTTGTTAGTTTTCCTTATTTTAAAATAGTACTGTAATTTTGATTTTATATTGTTGAAATTATTTTATTCTTTGTGATTTATTTAAAATAAAATTGATGGTATAATAGTTTTGAGATTGACATTCTTTTCATTCTCTCCCTATCTAAACAAGTTATGTGGATATCAAGGGCTTCTCTGACTGCTCTGCTCAAAGCCCAAGTCCTTGAAGAAATTTGGAGGGACCAAGGACAAACACAAGGTTTTCTCTCAGACTAGAAACAAGTCCTTCTACCAAGGAAGGCAGAGTGAGGTCTATGAGAATAGAGGACTGTGGGAGGGCAATGGCTAAGTCTGTACATCACTGAGCTGAACACATCATGGAACAAAAACCTGTTCACTACAAGGTGGGAGGAGAGTAATACACAGGATGAGTAGGAATCTGATGACTGCCATATTGCTAAGATTAAATAATCTGATTCTTAGGCATGATCTCAGAAGGGAGTGCCTGTAGGGTGATTTTAAGGCCCCACCATTTCTGATTCTCTACAAGGACTGATCTTCCAGATAAAGGGAATGTTTCAAACTCACTCACAGAGCTCTCTAATGAACCTCTCATACCTGCTCTCTCCTGGATCAGCCTGCCTCCAGGAAAGTCTGTGCCCTGAGCCAGGTTCACTTATACCATGGCCAGAATGAGTCAGTATGGAATGGAGAAGGGTTGCTTCCCTAGGCACCAGGTGGAGTCTTAGAATCACACCTGGAGGTGTGGGCAGCAAAGGATTAGTAGCTGTAGATACTGAAGAGGAGGGTTTCAGCCCAGAAGTTCCATTTCTTTTTAGTTAATATATCGCTGTCTTGCTCAGGTTAATAAATGGTCTATTTACCAACTGTTTAAGCAAGCAAATTGGAGGTCCCCTCTAAAAATGTGCCTGAAAACCTCCAATTTTATGTATTACCCTGTTTGTTTTTTTAAAGCATAGTAAATTCCAGTTTTTTTGTTGGTACAACATACTGGTGATGAAAGGGGTGTTGTGGAGGAAGTAAAGAGGTGCCTAGGGGAAGTGAGTAAGGATAATAAAGATATCCCACATCAACATGAGAGATTAATTTTGGCTAAGCTTTACTGATTGTGTTCCTCTGAAACTCCAACAGAATAGTTACTAGTTACCCATTCTATACAGGGACAGGACAAAATGGTGGTTAAGAGTACAGGCTTTGGAGCCACATGTCCTGGGGTTAAAATAAAGTTTTCATTTACTAGCTGTGTGACTCTGGTCAAGTCACTTAACTTGCTATTTCAGTTATCCCTAAAATGGAGAAAATAATGGAACCCGCCTCAAAGGCTTGGTTTGAGGATTAAGGATACATATCTAGAACCTGCAGAGTGGCACTGTCCAACAAAACTTTCTGAGATGATGGAAACGTTCCGCCTCTGTACTGTCCAATGTGGTAACTATTAGCCACATGTGACTACTGAGCATTTGAAGTGCGGCTTATGTGGCTGAAAGACTGAAATTTTTCATTTTATTTAATTTTTATTAATTTACATTTTAGCAAATAGACCAATGTGACCAATGCACTTCTTACCATACTGGAGAGTGCAGTCTTAGAGCAATGTCTAGTACACAGTAAACACGCAAGTGATGCTGGTGTGGTATGATTACAGTGTACTCTGCACTCTCTTTACTCGTCCGCTCCCCTCTGGAGGCGAGGTTCATTGGCTGGGAGGCAGCCAGGAGAGAAAAGACACTGTATGGACAAGAGACACAGGGAACCAACCTATCAGTCAGGAACCTAGAGGACTGACAGTATTCTTAGGACTGACTCTCTCACCTGGGAAGGTATAAATCCTTGGTTTCACACTAGCCACCTCATCCTCACTAGAGGCTGGAGGAAACACAGGACATCATTATGCTTGGTGCTCACATGATGATCCCTCACCTCCACACCCTGCCCCCACCAACAACCAGCAAAAGTCCTAATTTGGAGCTCAAGACTTGGAGCACTGGGCTCCTGGAAAGACCAAGACATGGTAAGACCAGGTGCAGGGACATGGCAGGCTGTTCTGTTGCCACTGTCAAACTTGCAGAGTGCACATGGTATTTTTACTTTTTTCCCCCTTTCACTGTTGTTAAAGAAATCATTGGGTATACAAAGAAATCTTAACTACTTTTCACTGATGATACTTGCCAGCCAGGGTACATTAAATATCGAGATCGTAGCATCGGCGGACTTGAAAAACTATTTTCTGAGAGAATCAGCTCAATATCTTCATTCCTTGGAAAATACACAGAAAAGCCCAGGTTAATTAGGACTATGTATCTTAAGCTACCATTCTGCCTCCTCCCCTTATCCTCTATAATCACATACAAGCACACATGCATGTATTTCTTCCTGTCAAACCACATGTAAGTAGGCTGTATGTTCATGTTATTTCACCTCTAAATACTTCAGTGCACTTCTCTTTTTTTAAAAAAAAATTTTATTTAGTAGAAGGCCAGAAGTGTGGCAGGTAAGAGGATTCACCAGAGACAGAGTGGGGAGCAGAACAGGCAGATTTATTGAAATACACTGCTGAGGGGAGCAATGGGTGAGACAGGAGGGGTCTGCTGTGGCATATGTGGGTCACCAAACTGGTTGGGGATGGAATCCAGGCCATAGGGGTGATAGCGCTGAGACTTCACCCCTAGGTGACCAGGGAGGCCCCTTTCAGTGCACTTCTTCAGAACAAGGACATTCTCTCACAGAACCATGATATTACTGTGACATCCAAGGAACTTCATTGTGTATGCTAGCAGTACTGGCATCACCTGGGAGCTTGCCAGAAATGCAGACTCACAGGCCTCACTCGAGATCCAGTGCCACAATTTAATAAAGCCCCTTAGAGATTCCTGCACACATTAATGTTGGGGAGGTTTGACCTAATATACATCCTTTTTTTTTTTTTTTTTTTAGATTTATTTATTTATATAAGCACTGGGTACAGTCAGAAGCACAGGAGGGTGAGAGAATTCACCAGAGCCAGAGCGGGGAGCAGAGCAGGCAGAAGGACTGAAGTACACTGCTGAGGGGAGCAGCGGGCAGCAGGAGAGGTCTGTGCACCATGTGGGACCCTCCTCCGGTGGCCAGGGAGCAGCCGGGGATCGAACCGGCGCTGCAGAGGCTGCGGGCAGCTTCGCAGCCCAGCGCTCAACCGCTGCGCCATCGGGGAGGCCCTACATCCATTTTTTAATTTCCTCCTTTTTTTTGGGAGAAGGTGTATAGGAGCCAATCAAAGATTGCACGTTATAGTTGCAATCTTTATTTTCTTTTAATCTGGAACAATTCCTCCAACTGTTTTGGTTGTTTCTCATAGCATTGACTCTTTTGAAGGCTATGAGTCAGTAAGCTGTCATGTATCCCGCAACATGGGTAGGTTTGATTGTTTCCTTATGATTAGATTCAGTTAAACATTTTTGGCAAGATTAACAGCCAGGTAATGTTGTGTCTCCTACAGCATCACATGAAGGAGGCACATGATGTCAGTTTTTCTGTAGTGTTCTTGCTAAGTCTGATCACTTGATCAGTGACCTTGCCATTGTGAAGGTACTTTCCCTCTTTGTGAACAGTCATCTATGAAGTGACACTTCGAGATTGTGAATGTCCCTTTCCACAATAATCTGTCACCCACTGCTTTTAGCATCTACTGATCATCCTTGTCTAAATCAAATATACACTGAAGGTTACAAAATGGTGACTTTCTACTTCATAAATGTTTATTTATGAAGCATTTATTTATTCATTAAGCATATTATTAAGCATTTTTCTGCAGAGAATAGTCTCAGTTTTCTGCCCTGCCCATTTTATTTTTTAAAAAGATTTATTTATGTATGCATACAAGAACTGGAGTGTACGCCAGAGGTGCAGGAGTGGGCGGGTGAGAGGATTCACCAGAGACAGGGTGGAGAGCAGTGGGCAAGACAGGAGAGGTCTGCTGCTCCATGTGAATTAGCTCCCTGGCAGAGCCAGGGATCAAACTCGTGCTGGCAGTGGCTTGATAGTGCTGTGTCTTTAACCCCTGAGCCTCCTGGATGGCCCTGCCCTGCCTATTTGAAAAAAAAAAAAATTACAATGGACTCATTTCACTCCTTGCGCTATAATCCATTATCATCATTGCTCTCACTTATGCTCACATTGTCCCAAATTTGGCTAATGGGAGCTTCTTAAGCTGCCACTAATCTTTAAGCACTTCCTCACTTATATGCTATAAAATGTGCCAGGCTCGCCTTATCCTTTCACTGGTATCTTACAATGGGGATTGGTACTTAGAAACCAAGATCTAGAGGTTTGGGTGTTTATTGCTACTGAAGTATTTGTATTTCTGGACCCCTTCAATGGAAAAAGCAGGGAAATAACATTTTTTTTTTAAAGATTTATTTATTTATGCACACAAGATCTGGGGCACAGGCTAGAGATGCAGAGCATGAGAGAATTCACCAGAGACAGAGTGGGGGGACAGAACAGGCAGATTGACTGAAGTACACTGCTGAGGGGAGCAGTGGGCGCGACAGGAGAGGTCTGCTGCGCCATGTGGATTGCTCGCTGGCAGTCCGGGGATCGAAATTATGCTGCAGAGGCTGCAGATTGCTTCACAGAGCGGTGATTAACCCCTTGCTCCACCAGGGAGGCCCCGGAAATAATATTTTTAAATATAACGAGTTCATAATGTCCTCCAATTCAAATCCTGTATTTGCAGGTTTTCCACTCCCCTTTCCTATTCCGTATTTACAATCTCACTTCTCTAATCATTCATATTGGTTGGAATCAGGGTTCCAAGAAATTTTTGAAAAGATTTTCGAAAATGAATCAGGGTTCCCACAATTTTTTTTGTTATATATATAGATGGATTCACTGTCTTGTTTATGTTTAATTTTTCCCTCCTTATAGATTTAATTGTTGAAATATAAAATATTCCCATTACTTACAAGTAAAAACCATATTAAAAGTAGACACCTTTGGGCCTCCCTGGTGGCACAAAGGGTTAAGTCTCAGCACTACGAAGCTATTAGCAGCCACTGCAGCACGAGTTCAATCCCCGGCTAGGGAGCTAACCTACCTGACACAGGAGATCCAGTCTCCCCACTGCTCCCCTCGGGGCAGTGTATTTCAGTAGATCTGCCTGTTCTGCTCCCCACTCTGTCTCTGGTGAATCCTCTCACCCCTCCCCTTTCCCCTGCACCTCTGGCCTACATCCCAGTTCTAGTATGTATAAATAAATAAATAAACCTTTAAAAGTAGGCACCTTTTAGCATCTTTTTTGAGCAAACAAGATGATTATGATCAGATAGTTTTTTTTTTTTTTTAAAAGATTTATTTATTTATTTATGCAAGCACTGGATAGTCAGAAGCAGATCAGGCAGAAGGACCGAAGTACACAGCTGAGGGGAGCAGCGGGCGGCAGGAGAGGTCTGCGCGCCATGTGGGACCCTCCTCCAGTGGCTGGGGAGCAGCCGGGGATCGAACCAGCACTGCAGAGGCTGCGGGCAGCTTTGCAACCCAGCTCTCAACCGCTGCGCCACCGGGGAGGCCCCGATCAGATAGTTTTTTAAACACACACACACACACACACACACACACACACAATCACTCATTCTCTAATTTCATCTTGTAATTTGGACCTAACTTTAGGGAGTAAAAAGGTAACATCTATTTTTTCTGTGCCATATCTCTCACATCTTAAAACAAGAAACATTTAGTCTTGACTTCCATCTATTAAAGGATGAGAATGTGAATGGGTATCCCAGAACAGTAGGGGATAGTGACACATGGGGTCCTCTTGGTGATTTTTACATATAGCATCAAAAGCACTTCAACAACTGCTTAGATCTTAGACACAGTAGAAAGATTCTGTGGGTTATAGCCAGAGTTCTGTATCTGAAAAAGTGGTTGGACATGCAGAGTAAAGAGAACTTGGTAGGTTTACCTGGTGACGATCCCATTTTCTGCAAGAATGAAGGCTGCAGTAGGATTCGCTGCCCTGATGAGGCTCTGCAGCTGGACAAGAAGAGGGTGTCTCTGCTCTGTGGTGTGACTGGTGAAGACCACGTTACTCACTAGGCCTGGGGAATAAACAGAATGAATGGTCCAGTCTTCAGTGTCCTGACTGGGGTTGAGGGCTCACATAAAAACATGGGCTCTTGCTCCCTCTCCTGATCATCCTTTCCAGTATGTCCCTCGTGTAGACAACTCTCACCCTCATAGCCATCATTCTGTTCCCCTTTCTGTCATTACCATCACTTGGGGTAAATGGTCTCAATTCTGCAGGTGCCTCATTTCTGAAATGCCTCTATCTTCTTAATCTGCTTTCTAGTGGATAATGGAGCTTCTTCAATAAAAGACCCTTTCCGCATCCCCTGTATTTAACCTAATCAGTCATGCCCCTGACCTTTATCAATTCAGAGCACAGACATTTAGCAAGCACTAACCATATGTCAGTTGCTATCCATTAGATTCTCAAAGAGTGCACAGCGAAGGAGGAGTCACACACACAGACCCACAATTCCAAGTAAGGCCTTATAAAGATATTCACATAAAGACTAAGGAAGAGGGGCCCATATAATGAGAGGTTGTAGAGATGGCCGTAATCACTCCCAACTTTTTTGTGAAAATATATTAGTAAAAGCCATAAGATAACAGAGAATATAGGAATCAGGGAAGTTATGTCACCCCCTTTGCTAACTTAATTATAATGCCTCTCCCATGCCCCCATTCCTATTTTAACAGTTATGATCATAGTGTATATACCATTTCAACTCTAAGATCACTTGCACTTTTGTTATGCAACCTCTTCTATTCACTGCTTAACACTGTGAAAATTACAAGCATATCCAAAAGTAGGAAAAATAGTGTAATGAACTCCCATGTGCCCATCATCTGGCTTCATGATGACTGACACTTGGTTAACTTGGCTAACTATATTCCTTTCATACCACACCCAGCTTTTTCACTTTTCCTCTCCTCCCACACTGGATGAATTTTATCCCATACAAAATATTTCAGTGTATCTTCAAAAGATAGGGACCCTTTGGGTCTCCCCAGTGGCGCAGCGGTTGAGCGCTGGGTTGCGCTGGGTTGTGAAGCTGCCCGCGGCCTCTGCAGCGCTGGTTCGATCCCTGGCTGCTCCCCGGCCACCGGAGGAGGGTCCCACATGGCGCGCAGACCTCTCCTGCCGCCCGCTGCTCCCCTCAGCAGTGTACTTGGGTCCTACTGCCTGCTCTGCTCCCTGCTCTGGCTCTGGTGAATTCTCTCACCCTCCCGTGCTTCTGACTGTACCCAGTGCTTGTATAAGTAAACAAACAAACAAATAAATAAATAACTTAAAAAAAAAAGAAAATAAATTTTAAAAAAAATTTAAAAAAAAAGATAGGGACCCTTTAAAAATATTAATGAGGGGCCTCCCCGGTGGCGCAGCGGTTGAGCGCTGGGTTGCGAAGCTGCCCGTGGCCTCTGCGGCGCCAGTTCGATCCCCAGCTGCTCCCCGCCACCGGAGGAGGGTCCCGCATGGCGTGCAGACCTCTCCTGCCGCCCGCTGCTCCCCTCAGCAGTGTACTTCGGTCCTTCTGCCTGCTCTGCTCCCTGCTCTGGCTCTGGTGAATTCTCTCACCCTCCCGCACTTCTGACTGTACCCAGTGTATGTATAAACAAACAAACAAATTAATAAATAAATAAAAACAAAAAAAAAATAAAAATATTAATGATCAACAATAAATTTTTAAATACAAAAACTGTCTAGTACCAAACTTCTTGGCCTGTCTACTGGGCTGCACTTCCTCAGTGCCCTGGAGTGTTCTGGTCACCATCAGGTCTTCACTCTTGCTGTTCATCTGCCTGGAGTCACCCTTTCATTCCTTTTTGTTTGGGCAACTCCTTCCTTAGGGTATAATTTGTATAGTGCCTCTTCCAAAAAATTCCCTAATCCCCCAAGATTGGATTAGAGCAGGCATTGGATAAAGATTTGCTGTATAAATAAATGACTGAATCAAGTGTAATAAAAGATACATGCAACCTGACCTCCCAGGCAGTTGCCTTAGTAAGTTGTGGGAAACTGCATGCCAAAATTTTTTCCCACTTACAAGTTTCAGCAAATCTCATTCATCAGCCAGCTATCTGAAAAGGCCCCTACAATATGAAGCATATGCATATTTTTGGTACAAAATCATAAGGTATGAAAGGATAATCAGTAAGTTTCTGCCTCTCCCCTCTGGTACCCTGAGACCCAGTTCTCTTCCTCAGATACAAACCAGATTTTGAGCATGCTTCCTCCAGCTAACCATATACAAGTGTATAGGAACAGACAGAGTCAGGTTTTCTTAAGAGCTTCTCCCACTCTCAAAACCTCTATGTATGATTTAGTTGTGGTAGCAGTACATGGCAAAGGAATTCAAATGGAAACTATATCAGTGATTTGCTTAATTTTATTTTTTAAAAGATTTATTTTTTGCATACAAGAGCTGGGGTGCAGGCCAGAAGTACGGGGGTGGTGGTGGTGGTAAGAGGATTCACCAGAGACAGAGTCAGGAAAAAGAACAGGCGAATCTACTGAAATACACTGCTGAGGGGGAGCAGCGGGTGAAACAGGAGAGGTCTGCTGCACCATATGGGTCAGCTCCCTGCCTGGGATTGACCTTGTACTGCAGTGGTTGCCGATAGATGCCCAGTGCTGAGACTTAATCCCATGCACCACCAGGGAGGCCCTTGTTTATTTTTAAAAGGTTCCTCACATACCCTTTCTGTTCAGAAGCTTTAAAATTAAGACAGACCATCCTCAGCAGTGTCAGAGTAGCTTCCTAATAAAGTTAACACTAGCAATGCCTGTGCTGCTATTCCAATTTAGAAAGGTCACCTTGGAGGCTGCCAGAGAGCAGTGAGGACACCTTGGAAAGCCCTAATGCCAGAATCCCACACCTATATGCAGCCACCAGAAGTGACTGGGGCTTCTGGAAACTGAGTATAAGGCAAGGGTAGGAGGCCAGGCTCAGAATGTGGCACAGTGGGGAAGCAGGCAGGATTCTAAAACACGCAGCACATTCCAGAGATGGCAGAAGCAGGAGTAGGACCCAGTAAGAGGTCCATGAAATACTCAGGGGTGGAAGGCAAGAACAGTGGTGGATGGTGCAGAGCCGAGAAAGGCCAAGTGAAGACCTATAAAAGTCCTAGGACTCAGTTTAGTATCAGCTTGGGCAAAAGAAACCATAGTGTCAGACTAGTGCAAATATGCCAAGCTGAGCAGTGTGCCCCAAGGTCACAAGCATGGGCCTGGCTTGCTTAGGCAGACTGGGGGTCTTAATTTCTGACAGATATCTTGTCCAAAGTCCTGTCTGCCTCATGAGTACCATACAGACAAACTCTATGGGCCTGGAATTCTAGGTCAGGAATGGGACAGATAAAAGGGGCTTTGCTTTACAGGGAAATAAGCAAAAGGATTATCCCCAACATTCCTTAGGCCAGCTATGCAAACTGCCACCTGCCAAGAGGAAATGCCATCTTTGAGGCAGGTACTGCAGTTTCTGGAGCAGAGGGTGAAGAGGCCACAGCAGAATTTCCTCTTGCTTGGGCCAGCAGTTTTATTCTGTGTTAGGAGTCGGTATCCACATTTGGCCATGGCTCACCAGTCTGGGCTATGAGTAAGTAGGCAGCCTGGCCTTGGTGGTCCATTCTCAAGAGCAGAGAAACATCCCTGAAATTGGTCTAACCATCCCAGTCCAGGCTAAAGGCTTCCATCAGCCTAGGAGAAAACAAACTTTTCTGTATATAAAATACTACTACTTTTGTCTATGGATAGGTGCTTCTAAAAGCAGAGCAAGGAAGTAAAATATCTCTACTCTGCCTCCAAGCCAGCATTATAATGAGCCTTGCTTGCTATTTAGGCAGTGAGATTACGTCCTAATCCTGGGATTTCTATAATACACATCATTTTGAGGCTGAGACATAGTCCTTTTCTCATCGTAAAATAATCCTCTTTTGTAAAAGCAACATACCAGGGAGTCTGACTCACGAACAGGAGCAAAGGAAGGCAATATGGCCCCTTGGGACATGAAGTGTTTGTCTACTGGTGGTGGATCCCACATCCAAGAGAGCCACCAAATCTCTGAGGAAAAAAGATATATTTGCCTTTTTTTTCTCTTTCTTCTCCAGACAGCCCATGTCTATGGTGAGCCAGGTCAGATCAATCCATAAGAACCACAGGCCCAAATGCAAAGGGAAATTATTTATCAAGGCACTGTCATTTTACAAGCCTCTCAGAGTTCAGAAAACAGCACGTGGCCTCAAGGTCATCTGCTCCCATCTGATCATATCCCTTCCTTTATATAAGCACAGAATTTGATACAAGTTGCTTTTGGATGATGAATTGGAAGGACAGTGCCAAGAGAATGCAGTCTGTCTTGGTCTAAAAGGACTTTCCTCTTGTTATAATTTTGGTCACCGTTTATGGATAGTGAGGACAGCATACTTCCTCAAGGCTCTTTACTAGGGTAACCCAACTGTCTGTGCTTTTCCCACACGCAAAAAAAAAAAGCAGAGGGGCAAAGAGGGAGAAAGTGCCAAGGAACCAAGGTACCCTAAGGTGGTAAAAAGCACATGGGACAAGAGACTGACTATAGTTGATACCTTTGACTTTGACCATGATTTCCAAATCAAGGAGGACCAGAGGGTTCTCCTTGGTTATTTCCTGGACCTATGTATTCTCTGCTTTCTATTCCAAGGATAGGTACTATCGACCTCCCCAATCTTTGAAGTTAGGAACCTAGAAGTTCCAATTTATGCCCTACAGCTAGTCTGTCACCAGATTCTATTGACCCAACCACCATAAAATGTCCTGAATCTACCTGGGTTGTATACTGTGGTAGACCCAACCAATCTCCATATACTCTGCTTCTGGGCTGCAATGTCTGGAAAGCAACAGAGTCTAAAAGCTAAACATGAGACTCCCTGGCAGAACAGTCCAACACAAATCCCTCCCTCCAGCTGCAGCGCCTCCTGCTCTGTGCAGCACCCAGCTCAGCTGTTTCACAAGACAGCAGCTCTGGGATGCTCTCTTGTCTTCACTCCTCTGGATGATCAATGGGATCAGTAGGGCAAAACTGTGCTGGGGACACGTCAGTTATTTTCTTCTGTCTCATTTCTACTTGCTGGGGTGTTCAGGAAGTCCAGACCCATGTCTTCTGACAACAATGAGCATTTTATCACTACTGCAGCAACTTCAGAATTTATTCTGGGTCTTCAGGTACCATAATTAATATGACTAAAAAGTGCTGCTTCCAGGGTTGCCAGATTGTAGGAAAATGCAAGATAGAGTATAGAGAGGATGGGTAGATTTTTCAAATGTTATCAAGGAGGTGTGGAAAGGAGGGAACTAAGAGAGAAGGCCCTACTGGGCCATACTCTGTACTCAAGGGACAGGAGAAATGCATCACGATCTTGCCAATGCAGGGGCTAGGAGTACCTATTTAGTCCATTCATATTTCCAGGGCAGGCTTAAGCCCAGATCAGAAGGGGTGTTGACAGGGCAACTGATCATCATTAAGAGACAACTCTTTGGAAGTAATCTGCTTATCAAATATGATAAAAGTGAAAGATGTTAAAGTTTCCCCTGGACCAATTTTGTTTTAGATTTCAGAATGGTAGGTCAGAGCAAAAAGATAAGCCTGTTACATTTACACAGAATTTGAAAGGCATGCAAGCAGGAAGTAAAGCATATTGCTTACCTTGTGAACATTGGTCAAGACACTTAGGAAAGAGAAATCTGGGGAAGGAAAGAGAAACATTTTGAAACCATTAGTGTCTGATTTGTCATTAGTTATTTCCCACAAAAAACATGAATATCATTGATATACAAGGTGACTAAGTATGGGGCAAGTGGCAGGCAGCACTGAGCATTAAGGATAGTCATGGCTATACAGAAGGTTTTCAGAGCTTTTAGGCAGAGCGCTCTGAGCCAGGAACTCCACAGAAATAGAAGTACCTTTGTGGTCAACTCTTAGTAGAATGTTGAAAAAGGGGGGATGATGGGGGCAGGGCAAGTTCTTTAGACAAGGGGAAATGGAGAAAGAGAACTGCGTTTTCGTTTTGTTTTGAAAGAAACACTGTCCTATAAAGGGGAACTCTCAAGGGAAAGTGAGGAGCAATGCACTTGCCTGTCAGGGGCCTGTAGCACCAAAGTTGCCATGCCCTTTATGTGCACCTTGGAAGCCTGGCTCCCCTTCTGAGTTCAAATGGTGAATAAAACACAGAAAATTGATTGGATCACAAATGAAGTAAGTGTGGGTGACTGTGCTTTAGAGTTCCTAAAACATCAGCATTTTTCTCGGGGAAGAAAATTAACACTAGTGAGAACAGCTGCCTTTTATTGAGTTTCTACTATAAGCTGGGCACTGTGGAGGCTGTTTACATTACAATCTTGTTCTGTTCTCACATCCATTCTGTGTCCTGGGTACTTACAAGTTAAGAAGGGGTTTATCATGGCTAGTAGGCTAAGTGCTTCTTTGCTCTAGGTCTTGCACACAGCTAGGAAGTGCTAGGGTTTATAAAGGGACTAGGGTTTATAAAAGGACTTGGGTCTTTCTGGCACCAGAGCTCCTGTGTTTTCTTCCACTACAAGTGAGGTGCTTGCTAAAACCATCTTTCTAAATTGTTGTTGGGCTGGCTGGCAGGTATTAGTACTGTTTAAAACACCGGTGTAATTTCTCTCCTCAAATTTCCCTAAGGGTAGCAAGTCCCCATCTTTTTATTTGATTTCTGAAAACAGCCAGACACATATCATCTGGAATCAAATTTGGTGGATGAGTGAGCTGGATGAAAACCACCTTGGGTTGTGACTCTGGTTCTCTTGTCCTACTCCCTCATGGCTTCTGAAGGAGTCCAAGGAGGAACCCCTATGTGCCCTGAGCAAAGTCGAGAGTCCTGGATCATGGGAAGTGACAGTCACACCATTCTTGTATGCATAAATAAATAAATCTTTAAAAAATAAATCTCTGATGGAGATGGGTCACTGACTTCTCTGCACTCACAGTCTACTGAATGGCCCACTGTACATAGAATATATTTCTGGAAAGTGTCCTTCCCATTGAGCGCCTGTGACTGGAGCACCTGCCCTTCAGGTCCTTCTCAGGGCCCAGCTGTTTCCTCACTGCACCCCACCAGATGTAGGAATTCACACCAGACATCAGACAATGATGAGCAAAGTTCCCCCTGAAGGCATCTTATCTAGTCATAGGTTGGACTCTCATGTTATAAATCTCTGATGGAGGGGCCTCCCTGGTGGCGCAAAGAGTTAAGTCTTAGCACTATGAAGCTATCCCCAGCCACTGCAGCATGAATTCGATCCCTGGCCAGGGAGCTACCCACATGGTGCAGCAGACCTCTTCTGTCTTGCCCGCTGCTCCCTCAGCAGTGTATTTCAGTAGATCTGCCTGTTCTGCTCTGCACTCTGTCACTGGTTAATCCTCTCACTCCCCGCACCTCTGGTCTGTACCCCAGCTCTTGTATGCATAAATAAATCTTTAAAAAATAAATCTGATGGAAATGGGTTATTAAGTTGCTGACTTTAGGATCTAGACACATGGACTTGGACATTTATGAGATTTCCTAATACGAAATGCAATTTCTCCTATCTTGGCATCTTTGGCATCCCCGTCTTTTAAATTCAGGTGTTGGCTTTCTTCCCTAATTCAATTAGAAATTACTGTTGCTGCCTTATGATTCTTGTAAAATGGTATTCATCTTTTATCATGACACTTTTTACTTTATATCATAATTATACATGCAATCGGTGTGGCATTTGGAAAATTATTTAAATTTATGAGCATCAGCTCCCATGGTAATGATGCCTACGTTAAAGGGGGGATTTTTTTTAAAGATTTATTTTATTTATTTATGCATACAAGAGCTGGGGTGTAGGCCAGAGGTACAGGGAGTGAGAGGATTCAGCAGAGACAGAGTGGGGAGCAGAATGGGCGGATCTACTGAGATACACTGCTGAACAGCAGGTGAGACAGGAGAGGTCTGCTGCGCCATGTGGGTTCATGGGTTAGCTCCCTGGCAGGGGATCAAGGTTGTGTTGCAGTGGCTGCCAATAGCTTGATAGTGCTGAGATTTAACCCCTTGCACCACAGGGAGGCCCCTAAAGGGGGCATTTTTAAGATTAATTGGAGGGTAAAGCATCACTATGCCAGAGAAGACAGATATGGTAGTGTGAAAATGAGTAAGTACCTGATTTACTTTGATTTAGTAATTTAAAATTCTTGTCAATCAATAAATGAGAATACTGACCTAATAGGATTAAAAATAAGGGGCTCACAAATTCTGTGTGCACAGACACAAAAATGCAGACAGAGGACAGTATCAAGAAAATAAAAGATAAACCACAGAACAGGAGAAAAATTTTGCAAATCAAATAGTTGATAAAGGACTTGGATTCAGAATATATGAAGAACTCTATTATCAAAAAAAGAAAACCCAATCAAAACGTGGGCAAAGAACGTGAATGGACATCGCAACAAGTGAGACATACAAGTGGCCAATAAGCAAATGAGAAGTCGTTCAACATCATTAGTATTAGGGGAATGTAAATCAAAACCACAATGAAATATCATTTCACACCAAGACAGCTATAATAAAAAAGCAATACTGGGGCCTCCCCGGTGGCTCAGCGGTTGAGCGCTGGGTTGCGAAGCTGCCCGCGGCCTCGGAGGCGCCGGTTCGATCCCCAGCTGCTCCCCGGCCACCAGAAGAGGGTCCCACATGGCCCGGCAGACCTCTCCTGCCGCCCGCTGCTCCCCTCAGCAGTGTACTTCTGTCCTTCTGCCTGCTCTGCTCCCCGCTCTGGCTCTGGTGAATTCTCTCACCCTCCCGCGCTTCTGACTGTACCCAGTGCATGTATAAACAAAACAAACAAACAAATAAATAAATAAAACATGCCTCTATAAAAAAAAAAAAATAAAAAAAAAATAAAAAAGCAATACTAAGTATTGGTGAAGATATGGAAAAATTTGTACCCTCATCCACAGCTGATAGAGATGTAAACAGTATAGTTGCTTTGGATAATAGTCTTCAGTTGCTTAGAAAGATAAATCTATAGTTACCACATCCAAATATGTAGAATAACCACATTAGCTCTTGCACGCAAATATTTATTATAGTATTATTTATAAGACAAAGGTGTAAGCAATTCAAACATTCATCAACTGATAAATGGACAAATAAGATGTAAGATCTTCATACAGTGGAATATTATTTGGTTATAAAAAGGAATGAAGTACTGGTATATGCTAAAACATGGATGAACCTTGAAAACACTATACTAAGTGAAAGATGTCAGACACAAAAGGCCATAAGTTATATGATTCCATTTGTATGAAATGTTTAAAGTAAACAAATCCACAGAAACAGAAAGTAGACTGGCAGTTGCCATGAGTTTGGAGGAGGAAGTAATCAGGAGTAACGGAACTGTATACTTTTATGGTAAATGAGTTATATTTAAATGAAGCTATCATCCATTAAAAAAGCAATATACAGGGCCTCCCCGGTGGCGCAGCGGTTGAGCGCTGGGTTGCGAGGCTGCCCGCAGCCTCTGCAGCGCTGGTTCGTTCTCCGGCTGCTCCCCGACCACCGGAGGAGGGTCCCACATGGCGCGTGGACCTCTCCTGCCGCCCGCTGCTCCCCTCAGCAGTGTACTTCAGTCCTTCTGCCTGCTCTCCTCCCCGCTCTGGCTCTGGGGAATTCTCTCACCCTCCCGCGCTTCTGACCGTACCCAGTGCTTGTATAAATAAATTTAAAAAATGAATGAATAAATAAATCTTTTAAAAAAATAAATAAATAAATAAATAAATAAGCAATGTAGATACATAGTATAAAATTTGAAATGGTTTCCCCATCATCTAACATTTGTTTCCAAGGACCTGGCCATTTCCCACAAGTTGAAACCACTATTAACATTTTGGTATATATCCTTCTAAATATTTCCTATGCATATATAATTAAACATTAAAAAAATACATAGGGCCTCCCCTGGTGGCGCAGCAATTGAGCGCTGGGTTGCGAGGCTGCCTGCAGCCTCTGCAGTACCAGTTCCATCCCCGGCCACCGGCGAGGGTCCCACACACACACACACAAAAAAAAAACACATAGTTTTGGCAATTTGCTTTTCTCACTTCACAAAATATTGTGAATATTTTCCCATGTTAGCACATAAAAATCTACTTAATTTTTAAAAAATCCTGCATACATTCCATTATAGGGGCATTACAAACATTTTTTTTAATACAGATTTTTAAAAAAGATTTATTTATTTATGCATACAAGAACTGGGGTACAGGCCAGAGGTGTGGGGGTGTGTGTGTGTAAGAGGATTCACCAGAGACAGAGTAGGGAACAGAACAGGCAGACTGACTGAAATACACTGCTGAGGGAGCAGCGGGTGAGTCCGGAGAGGTCTGCTGCACCATCTAGGTAGCTCTCTGGCCGGGGATCAAACTCGCACTGCAGTGGCTGCGGACAGCTTCATAGGTTGCGTCTTAACCCCTTGCGCCACCAGGGAGGCCCGACCTTACAAAATTTAACCAGTGTCTTACTAATGCACATTTGGATTATTTCTGGTTCTGTTCGATATTGTCAACAGTGTTGTTTTTGAACAATGCAGAGCACATTTGCCATTTTTCAGGCTTCCTAGGGCCTTCTGAAACACCTTTCTTAGGCCTAGGCTCGGGAAGACAATTCCTCTTGCAAAAGGCAGGAAAATGCATGCATTCTATGTGACCTAATTTCTACCAATCAGATGGACCACAAGACTCCAACTGGCAGTGAGGAAGGTCAGTGAGGGAATGTATGGTAAGCAGACCCCATTTTCTGGCAGAGGAAGTAGTTGAAATATCCCCCTTTTCCACCTTATGGGAGGTTTGCGTGTTGCTCCTGACTGTTTACTCAGTACTGGCTGAAACTCTGGGCCTCCCGGAGACTCAGCAAGCTTTTTAATGCCCTTCAGTAAATCCTTTCCCATTTAAACATACTGGAGTATGCTCTACTATTTGGAATTAAGAATTCTGCCTGAAACAAATACTCCCGTAACTATCATTGTCCATCAGTACAAATATAATTGTATAATAAAATTCTAGTACTGGAATGACCAACTGTGTCTCCAAAGAGATGGTATCATTTTACATTCTTACCAACAGTGTATAAATATCCCTACCTTGTTGCTTTGTAATAAACCAAGTGGCTTAAAATAATGATGATTAATTATTTTGCCTGATTTGGTGGGCAGTTATTTTGGCCTGGGGTAGCTCAGCTGGGGCTGATCATCTAAGATGGTCTCACAGGCCTAAATGGGGGTCTCAGCTCTGATAGCAGAAATGGGGTGGCTAGGCCTCTTTCTCCACATGATCTCTCCCCCTCTCACAGTCTTATCCAGGCTTCTTCAGACAGTGGTCTCAGCCACCAGAAGCAAGAGTGGGCAAGCCCCAATGTGTAAATGCTTTTCAAATCACTGCTTATTTTTTCATGCTTCTTGATGTCCCAGTGGCCAAAGCAAGGCAGATGCCCAAGACCAAATTCGAAGGATGAGAAACAGATTCAACTCTCCAGTTCCCGATGGGAAGGGCTGCTTTTGCTTTTACCACAGTTGACCATGTAAGCATTTCTCTCTCTCTATTTTTAGCACATGGGCTGAAGAGTGGTCGCTTAATTTTTTTAGTGGAATGGGCATAACTTAACCTAGTAACAAATAATTTAATAACTTTCCATTCTTTTTTTTTTTTAAAACTAGCAACAACAAATGTTGGTGAAGATATGGAGAAAAAGGAACTCTCCTGCACTGCTAGTGGGAGTGCAAAATGGTCTAGCCACTATGGAAAGCTGTGTGGAGATTCCTCAACCTACTAAAGATAGAGCTTCCATATGATCCAGCAATTTCACTCCTAGCTATTTACCCAAAGGACACAGAAACATTAATTCAAAAGGACACCTGCACTCCTATGTTTATAACAGCACTATTTATAATAGTTAAGCTATGGAAACAACTCAAATGCCCAAAAATAAGATGACTGGATCAAGAAGATGTGGTACATATATACGATGGAATATTACTCAACAATCAAAAAGATAAACTCATGCAATTTGCAGCAACATGGATGGAGCTGGAAGGGACCATGCTCAGTGAAATAAGCCAGAAAGAAAAAGAAAAATACCGGATGGTCTCACTCATCGCAGGAATTTAGAAAACCTAAATAAGGGACCAGGAAAAAGACTAATTATAATAAAGAAAAAATAAAAATCAACAAGCAACTGTAGACCAGAGACACACTAATGGGACGGGGGTGTGGGGAGGAAAGAAAGGATTAGGGTCAAAATAAGGGGGGTGGGAACTGAATGGGGAATATAACCAAAATGAAAATGCATATATTGTGCAAAAATGAAAAACGATATAAGAATTACATAAAATGAAAAAAAAAAAAGATTTATTTATTTATGCATACAAGAGCTGGGGTATAGGCCAGAGATGCGGGGAGTGAGAGAATTCACCAGAGACAGAGTGGGGAACAGAACAGGCAGACTGACTGAAACACACTGCTGAGGGGAGCAGTGGGCGGGTGAGACAGGAGAGGTCTGCTGCACCATGTGGGTAGCTCCCTGGCTGGCTGGGGATGGAACTCATGCTGCAGAAGCTGCGGACTGTTTCATAGTGTGGCACTTAACCCCTGCATCACCAGGGAGGCCCAACTTTCCATTCTTGATCTAGGTCCCATAATTCTCTTATTTTAGTCCATGTGCACCCCCATGCAATAGAACAGTCCTGTAGCCTACGTGCATGGGCTAATAAATAGTTTATCAATGGAGCATTAGTAAATCACTATAGTCAATTACTTTCTGGAAGTCAGAGTAAATTTGAAAATTTGTCAGTAATATGTATAATTTGAGAAATCAGTAATTTTGATTTATTGATATTTTTGAGCTCCCAATATGAAAAAAGAAGGATGTACTCACAATTTGTATTACTTAATCTTGATTTTGTTACTTATATTTTATGTATCAGTCATAATTCACACAATTTTAATCTTATTTCTATATTTAAAAAGATTATCTTCAGTTCTTGCATATATTTGTTATTAATTAACGAGTTTAAATTTCCTTTAGGGAAACTTATTGCTCACATGTTGGTGGCACCTACATATTCAACAGATATTTCATCAGCACTTAGTATTTCCTAAGCATAGAAATGGTTTCTATACAAACAAAGGCTAAATCTGTATCCTATAATTCCTCTAGTGGTTTTCATTTCTTTGTCTATTTTCTCTTCATTTTTTTCATTTTCTCATGCTTGAAACTCTGACACAGACTTAAGTATTAGCAGCGATTATTTCTCACTGCTTGGACAGATTTTCATTTTCATAGTGATTTTACTATAATCTTTATTTTCTCCCTAGGGCTCTAAAGTTCAGTTTCTACCTGCTTTTATTAAATAAACTCATTCCCCCCATCTTTCTTTTCTATTTAACAGCTTTATTGGGGTATAACTTACATGGCATAAAATTTATTCATTTTAAGTGCACAGCTCAATGATTTTTTTCAGTAAATTTATAGTTGTCAACCATCCCACAATTCAATTTTAGAACATTTCCATCACCCCAAGAAGATCCCTCTTACCCATTTCCCCAGACCTTTTTTATATCTCTTCCTTATTAAGCTCGCCCCACAACCCTGTTAGTTTCTCTTCCCTTCATATTTTTCTGACACTACAGAAGAGTACTTGTCTGGGCTAATTCTTTTGGAGCATAACCTTTATGTATTGTTTGCTAATTACTGCCTTTCCCTATTTTTCTTTATGGTAGTGTGTCTCTGGTAATACCTAATCATAAATGAAACCTCTTCTTACTATTAATTCACCTTTAAATAAAAACTTGAGAGACAGAATAGTAGAAAGAGTGGCATTTAAAAGTCAATACGAAAGTCCAAATGTGATGTAACATGATGCTCAGCATCACTTGCCTAACATATGTCAGAAGGGGAAAAAGACTACCTTGGCTTTTTTATGGGGAAGCAGAACCCAGGTCACAGGTGAAGAGAAGGGAGAAATAATGAAGACATGTCTTGGGACATAGAGGTGATTAGGGAAGTAAACTCTAATGTAATTTATATGAGAAGTCTGAAGATATCAACTTGAAACTCATGAAGGGAGTTTTTCAAATGAAGATCTAAGGAGCGATCAATTAGCCAGAAAGACCACGTGATTATAGATGTGGGTTAACTCCACTAGGCGAAAGCATTTGCAAGTCAAATAGCTCCATGAAGGGGCAATGAAATGCTCACAACTCTTCCCTAGTGAAGGGTGCTGTAATGACAAATAGGTACTTTCAGATACTGCTGGGGCAGTATAAACTGTAAAAGCACACTCAAAAAGCAATTTGGAAATGTGAATAAAGGATGAAAAAACCAACTGTGCAATTAATATCTTTCAGGTATCTAGTCTAAGGAAATTATCTGAAATCTGAAAAATCTATATGGATAAAGAGGTTCCGACAGCATTATTTATAATAGGGAAGAGCTGGAGACATTCAATGTTAGTAACAGTGGGGAAATGGTTAAGACAACTAGGTCCATCCATACACATAATGGTTATATAACCAATAAATATGTTAGTATCACTGTGATACATTTCAATTTTTGAAGTATAACCTTCATTTATTGTTAGCTAATTGCTACCTTTCCCTACTTCTCTTCATGGTAGTGTCTCCGGTAGTACCTAGCTGCATGTGAAACATATGAAACCTCTTCTTACTACTAATTCACCTTTAAATAAAAACTTGAGAGAATAGTAGAATATGCTAACTTACATAATGTTTGTGTTAATCTAAGAAAAAGTATGTAAAATTATGCGCACCACAACTGTAAAGAAACATGCACTAAAAGGATCATAAAGTAATTCACAAAAATTATAAATACATTGAGTTATCACCCAATTTTCTTTGTTACTGTTTTGTTACTTCCAAAGTAAAAAAAAAAATGTTAGTAATGAAAACGAGTGTCATAAGTGAGGTAAGACGGTTTTTCGGTGGCTTATCCACATGCAAAAGTATCTCTGAGATATTCCAAGTGCCTTGGGACAAGGCCCTTCTCTAGCAGTCAAGAGGAAAATGAAAGACTACCATTCTTTCTTTTTGGGAGAAGCTATTTCAAGTCTCACTGACCTAGAAGTGCAATATCTCAAGGCACAAAATAAAGTGGAGAGAGGCTTTCAATCCAAAGGGGTCTTTCTGAAGACCCAGCATGTTAACATTAAATGAGGACTGATGCACTCCAAAAGACAAACACATATAAAGAAGCATCTTGTGGCAGGTAGAAGAAAACTGCTTTCTTTACACTTAAACCACATCCTGTGGCTAGAGATGGTCCCAAGTACCCACCTGTGCTCCATGTAACAGCTTAGGGGCTCCACACACACCGTGATGGCACCAATGGTGAAGGAGGACTTGACGTTTGAGTCTGGATGGGTCTGCAGGGCCTGGACAACGTCAATGACATCAGTGTAGCTGGAGGCAAAAAGGGAAACAGTTTACTGACTGGGACTGTAGCATGGCAAAAGACATACTGAGTGGCTAAGTGAGGAATGGTGGGAGAAAAAACAAAAGGGGAAATATGCAATTGGATTCCTTGGGGTCACTCCACCTCGTGATTTTTTTTTTTTTCCACATTTTAGAAGGACAGGTTTATTAGGAAAAAGAAAGGACAAGATGCCTGCACAGATATAAGTGGGCAAAAAGAGCTTCCACTTCATGATTTAGAACCCCTGCTGTCCACCGTGTTCCTGAATTTCCAAGGTTCATTAGTCCTCATAACTGCAAGAGGAGACGAGTGAACTAGCAATCACCCTGCACAGACTCATGGCCACTTTAAGAGAGGCTACTTTATGTGTGGAGGACATTGTTCTGATTGACCTAGCTATCACTAAAAGGTCCGTTCTATGGAAAGAAGGCAAGTTCGATGGGCAGCCTTGCTTAACATATGGGCCTGAGTCCTAGCCTGTGCCTCTGAGAGCCAGTGGGGTGGCTGGGGTATAGGAACAATTTATTTGAGGTATTTTCTGAGTTCCTACAAGCAACTCATCTGTAAAACAGCACTTGGCTTTATCCCAGATTACAATATTAGAACCCCACTCCCAGGTCTGCCTCAGTGCTGACCAACCAGCAGTACTTCTACCGAGAACAAGGTATGCTATGTTGAAGATCTCCCCCACAGGGCCTGGTAGTCAGAGTCTTCTGCTCCCTGATTCTCTCCAAGGCTTCCCCCACTGCTTGCGCATAGTGTGTATGACCACACAGGGTTTGTCCCACTGGCTCTGTAATAATGAAGGTTCTGCAGTATCCAGGTGGGCCTGAATGCCGGAAGAGCCCCCATACCACAGTCACTGCCGGGTCTTTACAGCTATACACCTGTTAAGTGGGTGACACTCATATACTGCTTCAAATCTCTTTGTTGTCCTATCTGATGGACTTAATTCTCGTGACTAAGTGTCCCAGTTTTGTTCTTCAGCATTAGCTTTTCCGCTCTTCTAAGAAAACGTTTAGGGGCTTTTACCCTCCATGTTTTATATGAGGGGTAGACACTCTCATTTCTTGAGGTAGAAAAGAATTTAAAGATTTATAAACCAATCCTGAGGATTTGGGTAATTTTAATACAGTAGAATGTCCTATATAGAGAGTGGGGAAGTCCCAGGTTTTTGGAGCATTCCATTAATCTTCATTAATTTTAATGGGAAAAGGTTAGACTGAAAAATAGGCCCCGGGCTCCTCTGTGAGGCCAAGGCATCTAGGTAACATCGCTGGGTTCTGCAGTGGAGGCCCTTGGACATTCAATTTATTTGCTAAGGGGGCCCCAGTTAGGTTCGCCCACTCTTCTCAGTCTCTGTCTGACAATCATCCTCAGTGTGACCTCAAGACAGAATGAGGTTGCAGAGGAAGCCATGACTCCAGCCGTCAGAGCCTGTACCAGGTCACTTTAGCTAAACTGCTAAGCTGCATGACGAAGGCAAAAACCTTCATGTTTGCTTCTCTTTTGTCAGCACTCTCTATTAAAAATAACAACAAAACAAAAAACCAGCAGGATTCTATCTTTCTTTCCTCTAAAACAACAGATAATCCATTCAAGTGTCCTTTGGCTCTGTGTTATGTTTGCAATTTAAGCCTAAAATTTGGCCACCTGTTTTACATTAATTCAATTTTTGTTTTGAGAGATACTTTATTTTAAATGTAGATAAAGAATGAGTTTACAACAATCCAGAATATAAACAAATACAGCCCCTCAAATTCCTTAAAATTAATTTTGAAAATTCAAAATTTCTTGGAGTTTACTTATTTGTGTATGTGCACATACTAGGCACTTGTATAGCTTCCCATAGCCACCACCACAGTCAAGCACTGAATAGTTTCAATACCACAAGGATCCCTCATGTTGCCCTTTTATAACTACACCCACCCCTTGCCTGCACCACCCCCCCATCCCTAACTCCTGGAAATCACTAATCTGTCCTTTGTTTCTGAAATTTTATAAATTCAAAACATACTAATTCAACTTTTAAAACAACTAATAGCTCCACTTGATGTCCAAGCTCAACACCATTACCCTCTCTGCTGTAATAAATCATAATGGGACCAGGTCCCTCCAGGGGCAAAAGAAAAACTACAGGTTTCCCCTCAAAGACTCCTATATATGAAGATAAATGTCTCAGTCAGGGAAAAAGGTCATCAACTTGAGAAGCCTTGGCTATGTCCTTTTACCAGCAACCTCAATACTGGGCTCCCAAGTCCAGCCCCAAGGAGATGGATATGCTGATGGACATGCTACAAAGGCGGGTTCGTGTGTTCCTGCTAAGTTGCGAGAGTGGGCTCAGTTATAAAAGTAGTTTTTTTAACAAGACCCATAGCAATTAGTCGATATTCTCAACTAGATATACTCAAGCTCGACTTGAGTCATTCAGGAAATTTATTTGTGGTCCTGAGGTCCCTAGCATACTACGGTTGCAAGTGGGCAGAGGCTTGGTGTGAGATTACAAATGTGGGTGAACCATACACTACCATGGCGGTCCAGAGCCTGGTCCAGAGCAGCCAGGAAAGCCAAAATTTTTACTGAATCGTAGAGTCAGAGACAAGGAATATCAACATTCCTTGAAGTGATGGAAGACAGACCTCAGCTGCACGTCAAGTTGCCAGTTTTGACTCCAGGTCCACATCTCCAATGATTCTCAACTCTGGCAGAGTTGATGCATCCTAATGATGGTGTTGGGCCAATCCATTCCTTTCCTTTGACCATTAGAAGTGATGGAAAACCAGAAAAAAACAAGTAACTTCAAGCCCAGACTCTTTCTCTGAGGCTTCCATGACCTCAGTCCACAAGTAGGACAATACAGTCGACAGAAGGGAAGCCCCTGGCAGGTGTGAGAAAAGATCTGAAGATCGAAGGCCTGGTAGGTGTGTACACTCCCGCCTCCTCCTGCTTCAGGACCACTGGCTGGTCTTCCTTCAATGCTCACCATCACCCTACAGAACTTTGGATCTGGGCCTATTCTTTACTGGAAACAATTAGCAATTGAAAATACTCATTATTACTAGCACAAAAAATGTAGCATAACACAAAAGCACTTTGTGAAAATGCCAGAAGCTTCTTTATTACCAAGCATAATGACACCAGTAAAGAGCACAGCCCATGTATTCCTGACCTGGCCACGTTCTCCTGTGGACTCAGGGTGGTGTTGGGCCTCCTTCCTTGGAAGCCCTTAGAATAGGTCAAGGGAAGATGCTTGCAGCCAGAGTTCCTGGAGCAGTGTTACACATTCTGTCAATCTTGACAAGGAGCTCCTTGCCAACTGAACTTACCACACTCCTCACTGAGAGGCCCAGGAAACCCCACTGAGCCAGCTACCTGGGGTTGGAGATTGCAGCATGGGGGCTGGCACTGCAACTCCATAGGAGGATGAAACACATGAAGATCCCTTGCCTAGATGGTAAAGAAAGAGGTTTTGGGGCCTCTATTGTTATGGGAACTTATAAAAGAAGTTTGTCCAGAAAACCTCCTCCTAATCCCCCACCTTTTAGAGATATGATGATGTTGAAACCAAACTAAAAACCTGTGTGCAAGTTACCGCAGTCTAGGCCACAGGAAGGCAACAGGAATCCTTGCTCATCTAATTTCCATCTGTGTAGCACAGACACTGCTCATGCATATGTGGAGGTTGTTCTGTACCCCAGATTAGCCACACATGAATAGCAATAAATAATAGTAACAGCAAAGTCATCACCCTACTCCTCTGTCCCAAGAAGACTTCCTGTGCTCACCCTTGTAATATCACCAGCAGTCTGGTCTTCTTTCGGATATAGACTGACTGGCGGGCAGAGCGGTTCTGTTGGGCCTCCAGGGCGCTTGAAAGGTATCTCTGGAAGTGCGCAGCATGAAAACACTCGGAGCTGTCCATGACTTGGCGGTACACCATCCACCTAGAAATAGCAAGTGCAATTTTAGCTTGGGGGCCACCTGATGACCTGCCCTGTGGGCTCAGCCAGTGGATTTACTTTTGACCAGTGTTCACCCAGACATTTTGCCCAGTGATCTGTACAGGAGAAAGCAATCCTGGCACCAAAGAAAAAGGAAGAGGGCACTGGTTGGTTGGGAGCCCCATATCCTGAAGCCACATCTATCACAGCTTTTGACAGGGTCTTGCCACTAGACTTCAGCGCTGAGAGCAACTTCTGACCAGTCACTTTCTGAAGCACCATTCAATACAATGGCTTCAATCTGGTGCGAGGCAATTTTTTTCTAAGAATCAGAAATGGGAGCCTCCCTGGTGGCGCAGCAGGTTGAGCACCACGCTATGAAGCTGTCCGCAGCCTCTGTAGTGTGGGTTCGATCCTGGCCGGCCGGCGAGAATCCCACATGGTGTGCCAGCCCTCTCCTGTCGAGCCCGCTGCTCCCCTCAGCAGTGTATTTCTGTCATCTGCCTGTTCCCCTCCCTGCTCTGTCTCTGGTGAATACTCTCACCCTTCCGCGCCTCTGGCCTGTACCCCAGCTCTTGTATAAAAATAAATAAATCTTTAAAAAAAAAAAAAAAGGAAACAGAAATGGACAGGGTGAAGGATTCAGCCTGTTTATAGAATAGCAGTAATGGAAATGGGAGAGGAACCAGCTACCTATTTAGTTCTTAATACAATATTTCTCCAAAATTCATTTACTCAACCCCCCAATCTCCTACCCTAAATTCCCAACTTGTTAGTCAATTTCCACTTTCTTAATTTCTCTATGACCTCCCACAGGATGTGTTACTTTTAGACCAACTAGATAGTAAATGCCTGGATCCGTCAGCAAGGATTGTTGAATAGTCCACCATCCAGGTGGAAGTGCGTAAATGATTTCCTCAGGCGCACCTGAGCCAACATGGCCCAGCTGCACCTGAACTTCTGCAGTTCCCTTATGGTCAGGAGAGGATCATGACACATCCACCAGCTCCAAAGTTCTTCTAACCCCTGTGGTCATGAATTGCCCTGCTAAGTAGGCCCACTCCCAGGTCTCTGTCCTGGTCTTGCTGCTACAATGTTCTTTCCTAGACATCCAGAGGGTTCATTCCCCAAATTTCCTCAGGCCTTTGCTCAATGTCTCCTTCTCAGTGAATTCTTCCCTGAGCACCCAATTTAAACTGGAATCCCTTCCCCAACCCAGCACTCTCACTATCCTCTCATTTATTTTCTCCATTATCTTCCATTTCTTCATTTCAGGTCACTTGTCAGTTTTTCCAAACTAGAATGTAAGCTCCATGAGATTTTCTGTCTGGTTTGTTCTCAGATGTATTTCCCCACACTTAGAATGGTGCCTGGCACACAGGAAGGGCTCAGGACAAATGTGTCAAATGAATGCATAGATGGGTATTTACTGTATAGACCAGGTTCACCAAAGGTCAGTACATGGTGAAGGTGTCCCAGTACCCAGGCAGTTCCACGCACAGAATTCCTTTCCCCAAAGCAAGGGCAGCAGCCATACTAACCTGCCATATTCTTTATGCAGAGTGACCAGAAAAGCACAGAGTTCACTAGCGCGACAACCAGGGAGGCCGGTTACAATGCTGATAATTATCTACGAGGAAGAAAAGTGGCATGGCTTTGCGATTCAGCTGAGAGGCAGCACTGTGTGAGAGGTTAAAAGAGGTGACTTCTGGACTAGGTTCTCTGGGTTTGACTGACTTTTTCTTTATCCTCCTATCCAAATTTCCCCATCTTGGTTCTATTTTTCAGCACTCCGTCTCTCAAATCACAGCATGCTTGCTTACAGTCAGCTACCTTCTTACTTTAAGGTGACTGCTATAGCACCTTTTAAATAAAATATAACATGATCATTTTCAGGCTTTTTAAACTCTTGCCTTAGGAGAAAATGATGTTTCCAATTGTTTAGTGCTTTTATTTTCTTTTGCAGCTGTTGTCTAGAATTGCTTGGTAATAAATGACTTCTTTGAGTATATTACAACATACAGTTCCAAAGAAATGGGAGGGGTCAAGAGGAGGGGAGAGGATTAATATCCACTCTTGGGAAGACAGTGTTTATAAAGTATCATCTTACCCTAATGATGCCAGCAAGGCCTGACTAATAAGGCCCTTTCCTTATTAAGCTCAGTGTGTCATCCACTGCCAGGTAAGTCCTTGTCACAACCAGAAAGAGCCAATGACATGAGATCACTGAGCAAGAGTTTGAAGAAGCAAGGGGGTGGGAACAGCAAGATGCCAGGGTTTCATCAATCCCAGCTTGGCCAGGGTTAATGCAGACACCTGTACACAGTCATTGTACAGCGCAGGTTTCATGTATATTGTTACATCAGTATCCAAGGAGGTGGAGAGTCTTATAAAGGGACTCCGCCTGAATTACTTTTGTTAACTGACACCAAAGATCCAAGGGCAGGGTATCAGGATTATCTGCCTATGAATTCCCAGCATATTTGGTGGGCTCCTCTACCTTTTCGTTTTCTACTCTGTGAGGAGGGTTGATTTCAGCTTGCTGCAGCAGGACAGGAAGATGGACCCTCATTACAGGCTCCTGACTAATGCTGCTGATGGCAAAATGCTGGAGAAACCTAGAAAAACAATGACAAAGCTATTATGTTACCATTACCAGCCTCACCTGAATGTGCCTATTCACATGAAAAACTTATTCAATTGCTGAAAAATAAACCTTAGAGAGATTCCCCTTAGAGAATAAAATTGTACATGGTGTGTCACTACTATCTTTACAGATCCCTGAAAACCTATAAAGAAAAAAAAAACTTAGAAAAGAGTAACACCAAGTTTTCTGACATTTTAAAAGCTAGGCCATTAAATACTTATAAACAGAAAACCAGAGCTTACCAGTCCAATTCTGGGAGTTTGGCTGAGAGCAGCTTAAGGGGACTCCGTTTCTCCCCAGCAGAATGGCTGAGGACACTGAAGAGTTTCTGTGCACTGGAGTGTCTAGATTATCAAAAGTTCATATATTAGAACTCTACCTCCCTACAGCACACACATACTTTAACTTAACTCATTCTGATGCTTGCAAGCCAGAGTTCCGTGACAGAATCAGCAATTTCAAAACAAGCAACCGCTGACTTAAACAAAAATGTGGTGTTAGTGTATGATGACTGGTGTGGCCACACAGGAAGTTTGGCCTGAACCCCTTGGTAATACATGGCACTTCTTATTCATGGTGGGCTTTATCTCTTTTGACTTCTATTTCCCCAAGGTCACTGGCTACCTGCAGGTTGGCAGCACTGAAATGATAGGTCGGCCCTTTCAGAAGCCAAGACCCCTATGTTACATAACAAGCCATCCTGCAGAGAGCAGACACACAGCTTAGGGAAGCAAGCACAAACACTGAAGGCAGTCACTTACAATCTCTTTTGTTCCACAGATAATCCATCTCCCTGGATCACTTTTAAAGAGAGCACTGAGTTAGCCTGCTGTTGCCAAGGGGAGAAGACCTAAACAAAACAGAATTTGAGCAAAGAACACTTTAAACCCAACAACAGGATATGGAATCCACATGGGGATTTGATGGTTGTTGAAAATCTAGACTGTCAGTACTGAGAAAAACCATCATAACAAACAAGTTTGCTTCAAAAATAGATGCCCGAAGCAATTCTGTTCTGTATTTTTCAAAACCAGAATTTCTTTCTGAGTTCCTCTCCCAGGGATTCTGCTCCTTCAGAGGCCAGGAAGCATAGAGGATGGTGTCCAATAACACTGTTCTGGCAGCAGGGAAACGGTCTTCCCAGGTACTAGGGCCAGAGAGAAGAAATAGTTCAAGCAACTCCTGTCTAAAGGCAGAAGAGAATCTAATGGGCCGTTTCTAGGTCCCTAGACTGAAAGGACAAGCACAAGGAGGTAGGAAGGACCAGTAGGCAATGAGACACATACAGACTGGCCTGAGATGCCACTCTACAGCCAAGCCAGTGTTATCTCCTCCATGTTCTGCAAATTTGTTTTGAGGGAGCAACACTGTCACACCACTCCAAACATTTCTACTAGTCATGAGGGTAGGCATGTGTTTGACTTTGACTAGTGTTTGGTCTCAAAGTAGGTCATACAATTTTTGCTAAGTCACCTCATTCATACAGCTGTGCTGAGTGCCTATAATGTGCATGCAGCCTGCCAGACAGGACTATTCAAAGGGCAGGGTCTGTGAACTATGAGGGAAAGCCTGGGTGGGGTACACGGCTCTGATCCAGTAGGTAGGGCCCAACAATTCAATAAAGGAGCTAAAAGGAAAACGAGTCTAATTAGGATTTAAACGGAACAAAGGTTTTTCTTAGAAGCTAGAAGTCTTTTTGTTCAGTTGCTTTAGGCTCTCACCCTGCAATGGTAAGAGCACCATTCTAGTACCCAAAGGGATTAGAAGCAGTTACCCCATCATCCCTTCCAACTCTTCATCACCTCATTATTAGCCTTGAGACACTGCCTTAAAATTGCTAGGGTAAAAAACAGTAGTTATTTTGCTAAAAAATGATTGATATTACCTCTGTGTAAAATGCTTGGTATATCTTTGATTTGGGGAAAAGTGCAATCATCAGAAAATTGCTTGATCCATGGAATTGAACTGGGAGATGGGGAAGCAATGAGCTTTTGAAGTCTATCAGAAGGGCAGCAACAATACTGGTGGAATCCTAAAGAGAGAAAGAGGGAACAGTGGTGAGAAAAGTAATTTGCATGATACCAACCGCACAAATGCTGTCAAAATATGTATGATGAATTCAGTGTAATTATTTTCACATTATGTGGTTTACTGGGATTTAATTATAGATGCTTTTTTTTAAGATTTATTTATTTATACAAGATTTATTTATTATTTTTATTTATTTATTTATTTATACTAAGATTTATTTATTTTTTTTTAAGATTTATTTATTTATACAAATATTTATTTATTTATTTATTTATTTATTTATTTATACAGTCAGAAGCGCGGGAGGGTGAGAGAATTCACCAGAGACAGAGCGGGGAACAGAGCAGGCAGACTGACGAAATACACTGCTGAGGGGAGCAGTGGGCACGGCAGGAGAGGTCTGTTGCACCATGTGGGACCCTCGCTGGCAGCCAGGGATCGAACCTGTGCCGCAGAGGCTGCGGGAAGCTGCAGCACCAGGGGAGGCCCAATAGATGTATTTTTCTATTACCACTTACAGATGACATAGGAAAATATAGGTGTCTTTTTCTCCTAATCTGAACATTTTATCTCAAAATTCTTTCTAGGGTATTAATCCCTTTTCAGATATATGATTTGTGAGTATTTTCTCCCATCCTGTATAGGTTGTCCCACTGTGTCCTTCAATGAACAGAAGTTTTTAATTCCCCCTCTCCCCCACAACCTCTGCCCCAACATTGGAAGTTTCAATTTTGATGAAATACAATTTATACATATTTTTTTTCCTTAAAGATTTATTTATTTATGCATACAAGAGCTGGGGTGTAAGCCAGAGGTGTGGGGGGAGGTGAGAGGATTCACCAGAGACAGAGTGGGGAGCAGAACAGGCAGATGTACTGAAATACACTGCTAAGGGGAACAACAGGTGAGACATGAGAGATCTGCTGCACCATGTGGGTCAGCTCCCTTGCCGGGGATCAAACTCATGCTGCAAAAGCTGTGGACAGCTTCATAGTGCTTTGCGTAACCCCTTGCGACACTAGGGAGGCCCCCATATTTTTCTTTTTTAACCTGTGTTTTTGGGGTCATATCTGAGAAAAGGATGGAGGGGGTCAAGTGGTCTAGGGAAAGGATGATGTGTGCTTTGATGGTTGGAGTGGTATGGCAAAATACATCTGAGGAGGGATGAACCTTTTCCCTTAAATCACATACAGAGTTGTCAACCAATGTTACGTCAATAAAGAGAGAAAAAAAATGAAAAGGCTCTCCTCTCCTCATTGAATGGTCTTCACAAAAATCATTTGACCATACATACAAGGGTTTATTTCTTATTTCTTTTTTTTTTGTCAAGGGTTTATTTCTGAGCTTTCTTTTTTATTCAACATTGGTCTACACGCCTGATCTTAGGCCAACTCCACATTGTTTTGATTACTATCGCTTTATAGTAAGTTTTGAAATGAGGATGTGTTAATTCTTCAAGAACAATTAGATTGTTCTTTTTTTTTTTTTTTTTTAAAGAGGCATGTATCTTTATTTATTTATTTATTGTTTGTTTGTTTGTTTGTACATGCACTGGGTACAGTCAGAAGCGCGGGAGGGTGAGAGAATTCACCAGAGTCAGAGCAGGGAGCAGAGCAGGCAGAAGGACCGAAGTACACTACTGAGGGGAGCAGCGGCGGCAGGAGAGGTCTGCATGCCATGTGGGACCCTCCTCCAGTGGCCGGGGAGCAGCCGGGGATCGAACCGGTGCCGCAGAGGCCGCAGGCAGCTTCGCAACCCAGCGCTCAACCGCTGCGCCACTGGGGAGGCCCTAGATTGTTCTTGAACAACCCTGAATTCAAGAAAAATTTCCAAGATTGTTTTGGCTATTTGTGAGTCCCCTGAGATTCCATATGAATTTTAGGATGAGTTTTTCTATCTCTACAACAATTACAATTATGACTTTGGTATGAACTACAATGAATTTTTTCTGTTGTCTTAACAAAAATAAATCTTCCAATCCATGAACATATATATGTCTTATTTAAGTCCTCTTTCTATCTTTAGCAATGTTTCATAGCTTCCGGTTTACAAGTTTTTAACTTCCTTGATTAAATTTATTCCTAATTATTTTACTTTTTTTTGATGTCCCTAGGAGGTCATTTCTGAGGTACCATTGAAGGCCTTCTTCAGCCTAGTTTCTAGTCCCCTGTGGGATGAGTTAATGGGACTGGGTAGCTGCTGGGATTTCTGACCCAGAAGCCCTTTCTAGCAAAGCCCTTGACAAGGTTGACAAGGCTTACAAGAGACCTGAGCAGTTTCTCCATGACTTTCCTGCCTGTCTCAAGCACAGTTCTGATTCCAGACATCCTGACTCATGGCTTTCCCTTCAGAGAGTATTTTTTTTTTTTTAGGGTCCACCTTTAATTTTTTAATTTTTTTTTTAATTTTTATATTCCCCATACAATTGCAACCCCGATTTTGACCCCAAGCCCTCCTTCCTCCCCCCACCAAGAGTGTCTCTGGTTCATAGTTGTTTGCTGATTTTGATTTTTTTCTTTCTTATAGTTATTCTTTTTCCTGGTCTATATTTAGGTTTTCTAGATTCCTGTTATAAGTGAGACCATCCAGTATTTTTCTTTTTCTTTCTGGCTTATTTCACTGACCATGATCCCTTCCAGTGCCATCCATGTTGCTGCAAATTGCATGTGTTTATCTTTTTTGAATGGTGAGTAATATTCCATTGTGTATATGTACCACATCTTCTTGATCCAGTCATCTATTTTTGGGCATTTGGGTTGTTTCCAAAGCTTAGCTGTTGTAAATTGTGCTGCTATAAACATAGAGGTGCAGGTGCTCTTTGGAATTAATGTTTCTGTGTCCTTTGGGTAAATACCTAGGAGTGGAATTGCTGGATCATATGGAAGCTCTATCTTTAGTAGGTTGAGGAACCTCCACACAGCTTTCCATAGTGGTTGGACCATTTTGCACTCCCACCAGCAATGCAGGAGAGTTCCTTTCTCTCCACATCCTCGCCAACATTTGTTGTTGCTAGTTTTTTTAGTATGTGCCATTCTCACTGGTGTGAGATGGTATCTCATTGTAGTTTTGATTTGCATTTCCCAGATTGCAAGTGACGTTGAACATTTTTTCATATGCCTGTTGGCCATTTGTATTTCCTCTTCGGAGAAGTTTCTTTTTAGCTCTTCTGCCCATTTTTTGACTGGATTATTTTCTTTGTTTTTGTTGAGTCTCATCAGCTCTTTGTAGATTTTTGTGATCAGTCCTTTATCATTAGTGTTGGGTGCAAAAATTTTCTCCCAGTCGGTGGGGTTTCTCTTTGTTTTGGTTATTGTCTCTTTTGCTGTGCAGAAGCTCTTTAATTTGATGTAGTCCCAGGTGTTGATCTTTGCCTTCACTATCACTGCTTTGGGTGATGAGTCTGTAAAGATGTCTTTGAGGTGCATGTCATTTAGTGTTTCGCCTATATTTCCTTCTATGTATTTTATGGTTTCAGGTCTTATGTCTAGTTCTTTAATCCATTTTGAATTGGTTTTTGTACATGGTGTGAGGTAGTAGTCAAGCTTCATTCTTTTGCATGTAGCAACCCAGTTTTCCCAGCACCATTTATTGAACAAACTTCCTTTGCTCCAGTGCATATTCTTTGCTCCTTTGTCAAAGATTAGTTGACCATAGATCTGTGGGTTTATTTCTGGGTTTTCTATTCGGTTCCATTGGGCCATGTGTCTGTTCTGGTTCCAATACCATGAAGTTTTGATTATTATGGTTTTGGAGTATAGTTTGAAATCTGGGAGAGTGATGCCTCCATTCCCAGAAGGGTATCTTACTGAACATCAAAGTCAGCAATTGGTAAAACACTTACCCCATCATAGAACGAAATGGAATTCATGTGATCCTTGGAAATGATGATACTTCCATGATGACGGTGAGAAAACAGAAGGCCACTAGAGAAGAAATGCACTTTCCCTGGAAGGGAAAAAGAGCCAGTCAGACATGGAGAGTCACATCCTCGGGGTGGGAAGGGAGGGGTCAGATTCCATTGTCATTCCTGGAGGTATGAGACATGCTAGAGAGGTAACTAGAGATCAATGTCTGTAGAACTTAAGTTACATGATTTTTATGCTTAGCCCTGTGCTCTGGAGAAGTCAATGTTCCCTCCTGGAGCCTCGAAGAGAAATGAAGTATTAGACAGTTTTTACGTAAGACTTAAAATGCCCAAAAATAGATGACTGGATCAAGAAGATGTGGTACATATACACAATGGAATATTACTCAGCATTCAAAAAAGATAAACACATGGAATTTGCAGCAACATGGATGGCGCTGGAAGGGATCATTGTCAGTGAAATAAGCCAGAAAGAAAAAGAAAAATACCAGATGGTCTCACTCATAGCAGGAATCCAGAAAACTTAAATAAGGGACCAGGAAAAAGAATAACTATAAGAAAGAAAATATCAAAATCAACAAATAACTATGAACAAGAGACACTCTATGGGGGGTGGGGGGGCGGTGAAAGGAGGGCTTGGGGTAAAAATAAGGGGGTTGTAATTGTATGGGGAATATAAAAATAAAATTTAAATTAAAAAAATAAATAAAACAAAAACAAACAAACAAACAAACAAAAAACAGTGGATAGTTATTAACTGATGGGAAGAGGCAAACTTCACATTTCCTTATGGTTCTTCCAAGGAAACACACTAAAATGACTTTAGGTATGTCTCCTTCATTACTGAGTTTGTAGATATTTCCTTTTTTGGTAGAGGCTGATTCATCTCTAAAGGGACCACATCTTTCTCTTAAGTCCTAAGAAGGAGCACCAGTGTCTGGTGAAGGGAGCCTAAGGATCCTTATGCCCAGTGAAGGAGCATCTGAGTTAGCAATAAGTGGTTTCTACAGATGCTGGGGGTCTGTGGTTCTATAGTTCATAAAAGCAAGATGTGTGGGACATGGAGGGAACCAACATTCTGGACAGTTTTATTATACTCATGGTATCTATGTATATTATCTTATCTGCTGTACCTTTATAAGACAGAATCCTAGTAAATGTGCTCTTCTGTGACGTGCTTACTTCTGTCAACATTCTGTTCCCTAGTAGCCCATGCTGTAGGTAAGATGCAGCTGTACAGTTCATTTGTGCTCAATGCTGCAGAGAACATTCTCTTTAAAAGTACCCCTCTACATACGGCACATGTGGACACAAGGGAACATGTGGATGATGCAGAATGAAGGCAGCAGACAGCGATGACCACTGGAAGGTGAAAGTCAGCTTGGTCACCAGAGTCTCTGGATGAGTTCACTGCCCCATGTATTAATAGGCTGGCACCCCTGTTCCTCACTTCTGAATAACCTCTATTCAGTAGTGGAACGGAAACACTATAGAAGCTATAAATCACTTCAGGGAGAATGAGTAAGCTGCCCAAGTGCCAACCATTTATTGAAGCCTGCAGGGAATAGCAGATAATGGTCAACTGCTATTCAACAAAGGTGCAAAGACAATTCAAAGGAGAAAGGAGTGCCTTTTCAGTAAACAGTGCAGAAAAAGAAACAACAGCCTGTTTTTCATATGGAAAACAATGAACATCTATCCACACCTTGTACCAGACATTCTGCCCATTCCTACCAGCCACAGTGGAAAACCTCATATTTCACAGGGATGCCAGGCAGAGAACTCAGAAGGACTGCCTCAGTTGTGGGTTAAAATTAGGTCTAAATTAAAAGTTGCTCCTTCCAAATAAAGTTTAAAAGCCCAGATAACAGTACTAGAAAAAAATGTATATTAACACTATTAATATAACTCATCCCACATGTTCAACAAGCTAGAAGAAAGATTTGCATATTAACCAGAGAAATGAAAGACGTAAAAAAAATAGCTAAATCAAACTTCTAGATATGAAAAATATAACATCCGAGGAGAACAATACATCCGATGAAATTAATGACATTAGATAAATGCCGAGAGTTTAGTACTCCAAAGTACTACTGCTTCTGCATTCACCTAGTTTGCCCAAGTGGCTTGCAGGAACTTTAATCTGACATGGGCCCCCTGCATAAAAGCTCAAGCCCTAGATAAGAGCCCACAGAATAACAAGCGAATATAAATTTTTGATATGACTTCCCCAATATTCCTTGTGATCAACAGTTTCCCTGCCTTCCCTGTGTACCCCTTAGGTAAGATCCCTGTGGAACTTATCAAAAATCCTACTCTTTAGGGGCCTCACTGGTAGTGCAAGGGATTGAGTCTCAGCACTATGAAGCAATCTGCAGCCACTGCAGCATGAGTTCTATCCCCTATCAGGGAGGTGACCCACATGGCACAGCAGACCTCTCCTGTCTTGCTGCTGCTCCCCTCAACAGTGTATTTCAGTCAGTCTGCCTGTTCTGCTCCCCACTCTGTCTCTGGTGAATCCTCTCACTCCCCTGACCCTGCACTTCTGGCCTACACCCCAGTTTTTGTATGCATAAATAAATAAATCTTGAAGAAAAAAATCCTACTCTTTTGATTTGAATTGATCAATCTGGTCTTAACCTGGGAATTTTAGCAACAGACCCTAATAAAGATATGTGTCCTAAAGCCCTGCTCCTCTCTCCACCTAAACCCTGGCTGACCTTCCTGTTTAGCCCCTTGAGGCTTGCTTGCATGTACTTCTTCTAGCACTTATAATAAATTTCTCTACTTCAATTGTTCTCTAGGCCTCTTGTTGAACCTGGCTCACCACTTGGCACTCTGTTCTACTTTATAAATGTTAACATTAACAACAATGCAGAAGAAAAGTTTATAAGTAAAAATACACAGAAATAGAAACTGCAAAATAACACAGAGAGAAAAGATTGTGGAACAACTTCAGGCAGCCCAAATATATGTAACTGGGGTTTCCTAAATGAAGAGAAATACTAAAGAAATACTGGCCAAATTTTTTTAAATTTGAGGAAAACTATACATCCATCATTCCAAGAAGCTAAATGAATCAAGTACAAGCAACATGAAGAAAACAACATGAAAACACATAAAAGTCATCGCTTACCATTAGTGATAAGAGGAATAAAAGATCAAAGTAGCCAGAGTGAAAAAGATTCCTCACAGTGAAAGGAGCAAAGATAAGGATGGCAACAGATTTCTACCAAGAATCATGCAAATGACAAGACAGAAGTATGGGATATCTTTGAAGTACAAAAACAAACTGTCAACCTGGAATTTTTGCCAAGTGAAAATATCTTTCAAAAATCCCGAGAGGTGGGACTTTTGAAGTGGCTTTGAGGAGGCTGGCAAATACACTACCTCGAAAGCAGCAAAATGAAACTGAACTAATGGCCAAAAATAATTGTTAAGGGATCTGGGAATGAACAAAACTGAGAAGCATTTGAGAAATATTGAAGCTTGGTGAGAACAGTAGAAATCTGGTGTTCTGGCCTGGGGCTGTTCACAACTTCCCTTCAGCAACATGGCACAAAGGTCTTTAATTTTTTTATTTTATTTTTTTTAGATTTACTTATTTATACAAGAACTGGGGTACAGGCCAGATGTGCGGGAGGGTGAGAGACAGAGAGGGGAACAGAACAGGCAGACGTACCAAAGACACTGCTGAGGGGAGCAGCGGGTGAGGCAGGAGAGGTCTGCCTTGCCATGTGGGTTTCTCCCTGGCTGGCCGGGAATCGAACTGGTGCTGCAGTGGCTGTGGACAGCTTCACAGCGCTGCGCTCAACCCACTGTGCCACAGGGGAGGCCCAGTACGTAAGTCTTATGAGGGAGAGGGGCAGGCCTGCAGAAGGCAGGAATAACACAGAAAAATCTATACTAAGGGATGTAAAAATGATGGCAAAGTGGCAAACATTTGGGAAAGATCAAAATCCTAACTAGCCAGAGAGGTGAACGCTGGCAGGCAGAAGTGGCAGACCTGGCAGAAATGTAGCAGTAAAATCAGGGGAGACAACAGATGGCAATTATGGTTCTATATGCAGCAAAAAAGACATGTTGTAAGGAATCCTCCCAGTGCTATGTGTATGGAGAGAAGTGTAACAGTGTTCACGAAAGTATTTTATACAATATCAAAAGATTATAAACAACCCAAATGTCCATTAAGAATCAAAAGGATAAACAGCTCATTTTCATACAAAGGAAGCTATGAAGCCACAAAAGTGAATGAACTATATGGTTACATAGAACATTGTATGGTTACAATGAACTATATGGTTACATAGAACAATGTGGACAAATCTTAGGAACAGAACATTCAGCAAAAAAAATAACCAACATGAAAATGCATACGTTGTGCAAAAAATGAAAAATGATGTAAAAAAATATATAAAATTAGGATGGTCTCACTCATAGCAGGAGTTTAGAAAACCTAAATAAGGGATCAGGAAAAAGAATAAGTATAATAAAAAATAAAAATCAACAGGCAACTATAAACCAGAGACACACTACAGGGGGTTGAGGGGGAGAGAGGAGGGACTGGGATCAAAATAAGGGGTGTGCAATTGTATGGGGAATATAATAACTAAGATGAAAATGCATACATTGTGCAAAATGAAAATGATGTAAGAAATATATAAAAAATTAAAAAATATATAAAATTAAAAAAAAAAGTAAGTCTAAGAAGAACACAGCAAGTATGATTCTACTTGGATTACACAGTTTGGGATATAGGCAGATGTGGTGAAAGTCTAAAACATGCTACTGAGGATTAGGTGCGGGGCAGCCTGCCTGACCAACATCAGCAGAGTGGGAAGTGAAGGGCACACATTCTTGGTTACATAGAAGTGAAGGGGCAAGAATGAAAGGGAAGTTTCCTAAGAAGAAACCTGTGATAGTACATGTTAGTAACTGGGGAAAGGGAAAGGTTGCTGAATTGCAAGTATTTCAAAGTAAAAGTAGTACTATTTTTCTTATCCTTATGCAATTCTCTGCACTTTCTGCTGAAAATCAGAGGACATGGACTACCACTACCTTGCACTATGACAGGCAAGAGTCTATCTTGATGGGACACTGGATGTGAAGCTCAATCATAACAGTGCATGCCCAAGAGCTTTTTAAATGCCTTCAGGGGATGCCACAGATAGATTTCAAGGTCACCACAGTCTAAACCAGAGGCAAATTGGGTCTCCCTGGTGGTGCAGCGGTTGAGCGCTGGGCTGCAAAGCTGCCTGCAGTCTCTGCAGCACCGGTTCGATCCCCAGCCGCTGGGCGAGGGTCCCACATGGCTCGCAGACCTCTCCTGCCGCGCCCCGCTGCTCCTCTCAGCAGTGTACTTCGTCCATCTGCCTGCTCTGCTCCCTGCTCTGGCTCTGGTGAATTATCTTACCCTCCCGCGCTTCTGACTGTACCCAGTGCTTGTATAAATAAATAAATAAATCTTTTAAAAAAAATAAATAAACCAGAGGCAAATTCATCAAGATATAAATGAACTTAAGTATCAGGACGCCTTACCTGTTCAAGTCCCCTTCCAAGGCCCTGAGAAGAGCGTGAATCATTTGTATTATTACTTTTCCTTAAGAGAGTATTCAAGTAGTGTAAACTGCAAGTCCCACAAAACTGACATGAGTCCCAAAGTGGTGAAACACTTAAGAAATATAACCAGAGAGAATTCTTACTTAAATTCTCTGCTCCTGTTTAATTTTCCTGCTTCAGCAAACCATCTCCTAATTTGACTACATTTCCCTTAGGAACTAAGAAAGTCTGAAATCAAAACTCTCAAAGAGTATGACTAACAAGGCCCCAGAAACCCCTGGCTCTGCCCTTTATTCTTATGTAAAGACCTCAGGATACAGTGAACCTTGTTGGATAACTCAATACAATGGAAGATTATTTTTCTAACAAGGCTATTTGCTTAAAAGGTGCAAATCAATTTTGGCAAATACCCTTGCTAAATATTACAACTGGCTCAACTATGACAGAGCACAACCCCCTCTGTATTGTGTCTACTGTTTTCAAACACTATACAATCTTGCCAAGGCTGGCAGCACTGCCGTACACTCCCTTGCCTTCAGAGAATAGTTCCTAAGTGCCTGGTTGGAAATGCAGAGGCCACAGTACAGGCCTGATAACATAAGCTGTAACCACCCCAGCATTTTGTAGACTGAAAGCCAGAACTCTTTGTGCTTTGTTTTCTATGTGAATGAAAGAGTTGAAGCTGAACCAATGATCTTAGAATAGGGAAAAGAATTTGCCACCAGACAGAATATTTTCAAGAATAAGTTACCCAGAAAGAGGATTTGCTTAGCAGAGGTTGAAGAATTTATGGAGTAAGTCACAACCCCTCCTCCACAAAAAGGCTATGTCCAACAGGGAAAGAACAGAACTCATAAGAAAGTGTTATTTTGAGGAAACCAAAAAGGAACGTGGAAAGAATCCCCACTAAATCCATATAAGACTATCAAGGCTCTTGATAATTTATATCAGCAGAAACACTGCCAACTTGAACTGAAAGGGACAGAGTCTGAAATGAAAGCAGACTAGCAGACCCTCCGAATTCTAGTGGAAAGCAGCAGTCTGAAAAGTTATTTAGCCACAGACAAAGTACCACCTTCATGAAAAAGGAAGGATAACTGAGGTGAAAACAAGAGCCCACGGGGCAAAACTAAGAGTTTAGAAGGCAAACCAAGAGCCCAGTGGGCAGATCTACGGGCCAAGGGGGACTACTTCCAGGTCTTGAAACCTAATCCTGAACTGGAGTTTGCTCACCTGAATTTCAAAACTGCCTTGGGGGCCTCCCCTGGTGGCTCAGGCGGTTGAGTGCAGGGCTGTGAAGCTGTCCACAGCCTCTGCAGCGCCTGTTCGATCCTGGCCAGCTGGCGAGGGTCCCACATGGCGCTGCAGACCTTTCCTGTCGCGCCCACTGCTCCCCTCAGCAGTGTATTTTGTCAGTCCACCTGTTCTGTTTCCCGCTCTGTCTCTGGTGAATCCTCTCACCCTCCCGCACATCAGGCCTGTACCCCGGTTCTTGTAAAAATAAATAAATAAAATCTTAAAAAAAAAAAAAACAAACAACTGCCTTGAGCTGGTAAGTCCCTTTTGTCTTCAGTTTCCCACCTTATTGAACCTGGCTGTCTGTAACCATTATCCTATGCCAGCACCATCTTATATGCTGGGATGGTTGGGGGCAGATAACTTGTCTCTTTAATTCACAGATGGGAAAGAATTGTGTCCAGGAGCTGTACTTAATGGAGTAAATGAAAGCTTCATCTATACCTGATTTATGATATTGATGACGAGATTTTAGATTTTTGAGTTGATGAGATTTAAGACTTTGACCTGTTACCTTCATAGGATGAGGACCTTGGGGAAGGGGGTGGGGGTATGATTGTATCTTACATGTGGGAGGGACATGAACTGCTGGGGCAGAAGAGACTGTGGTAGGTACAAATTTCACATGTCCCATATGACCTTCATCTCCTGATGTTACTCCTGTATACATGTAATGTTGTTATAAGGCAAAAAGGAGATGATATGAGTGGGCCCCTTTGAATCAGACTAGTTCTCTGTAAGCAGAGTTTTCTCTGGTTGGTAGCAGAAGAATTCGAAGAGATTAGAAGTGTGAGAGAGATTCAAGGCAAGGGAGGTTCTTCACTGCTGAGATGCAGGGGGTCAAAGGGAAAGGACCTTTGGGAGACACTAAAAATGTTCTAGCTGACAGCCATAAAATGGGGGCCCTCAGTCCTACAGTCCCACGTAACTGAACTCCACCAACATCCTGGAAGAGCTTGGGAGCTGGTTCTTCTCCAGAGCCTCCAGATAATCCTGGACTGATGTTTTTTTTTTTGTTTTTTTTTTTAATAGAGGCATGTTTTATTTATTTATTTATTTGTTTGTTTTGTTTATACATGCACTGGGTACAGTCAGAAGCGCGGGAGGGTGAGAGAATTCACCAGAGCCAGAACGGGGAGCAGAGCAGGCAGAAGGACTGAAGTACACTGCTGAGGGGAGCAGCGGGCGGCAGGAGAGGTCTGCAGGCCATGCGGGACCCTCCTCCGGTGGCTGGGGAGCAGCCAGGGATCGAACCGGTGCCGCAGAGGCCACAGGCAGCTTCGCAACCCAACACTCAACCGCTGCACCACCAGGGAGGCCCTGGACTGATGTTTTAACATCAGCTTTATGAGACCCTAAAGCATGATTTGAGTCCCACCTTCCTGGAGTTCCGACCTACAGAATTGCGAGGCAATAAATGCATGTTGTTTTAAGCTATTAAATTTGTGGTCATGTTACAGAGTGATAGAAAATTAATCCAGATTTTGTTTAGGTCCATTTCTGTTTGATGTTGGGACTGGAACCCATGCTGAGGGCAACCCTCGGCAGCAACTGAGGACCAGGTGGAGTTCTGGGGCCGGCCCTTCTTAGCACAAGTTTCCTCATCTGCAAAATGGGTGGGTCAAAGGAGAAAAGCTAAAAGAAAACAATTCTACACAACAAGGCTTTTCAAATATGAAATGTGCAATTAGTCAAAACAACCACATGGATACGTGCAAAGGAGGGACCCAGATACAGCCTAGAATAGAAAAATCATAGCTGCTCACCTTCCTCAGGCCAGGACTGTGGGTTGCTGGAATAAAGATATGCTCCTTCTCCGCCTGTTAGAAAACTGCCCAGGAAACATTCATCCCCCTTTAAAAAAACAAACACAAAGAGCAGGTGATTCACAGCATAAATATTTATGGAATCAAAAGTTCCACCCAAGTTTGTCCATCTACAAAAGCTGCTGAGTTAGTCTCAGATACCCGACTTCTTCCACGGCCTTGGCAATGCCTGGCTCTTTGCTGGCATCCCTGACTTGTGCTCAGAAAAAGAATGTTAAGATTCTCTTTCTCTCTCTCTCTCTCAGAGCTCTAGTGTAAAGAGGAAGAATTCTCAAAAGGGAATTGAGACAATGGTACAAATCCTTTAAGTTAGCTCTAGGATGAAATACTAATATAAACTGTTACATTTTATTTGGAGGTGATGTTAACATTAAGAATAAGAAGGCTACTTACCTTCACTGCTTGCTGGGTTTGCTCAGACAATTTTACTTCATTATCTTCCACCTGTTTCCAAAAGGAGTATGGATTTTTAGGTTACTACTTCAAGGGCAAAACTCAACTAGTTTTCCCTAGGTTCAGATATTTCCAGAAGACTTAATCGGGCAGTTCTTCCACCAAATCCAGGACTCTTAGGCCCTGACAACTGGAAACTGGCTCTTGGTCATTAAAGCTTAGGCTCCAGGGTCACAGGAGGCTCACTTACTAGGACCTGAGATTCACTTAAATGAGCCTATGATATGCAGAGAGGATGTATTAGTCTCCACTTACATTTCACTTCAGAAAATAAGGACTGTATTTTAGGGATAAAAGAAAGAGAACATTCTAAAATATTTTCAGTGTGTTCTCATTTGAACATGTTTTACCAGAAGATGACTTTTATTTTTCCCTATCCACATCAGAATTGAGAAACAGAATACAAACAGATTCTACAATAGGTAGCCCATTAGTAGATTCACTGCTATTAAGACTTTCTGGGTCCCAAGGCACCAGGAGTTTCAGACTAAGTTCCACCGATGAAGATGGGACCTTTCTACATGTAGAGACACTGCTGTAAAAATTCAACAACCACCATTCTGCAACAGAGAAGGGAGCTATACAATTCATTCTTTATTTTTCTATGTGACGTTGGCCAGGTTGGTCCATTTCTAAGCCTGCTCATTATCTGTAAAATGAGGTTTTAATTTCTTCCTTCCACAATTTAAGAGGGACCCAAGTAATTTAGTTCTTTTCTTTTGGAACTTTTCCAACAATATGAAAGAGTTAAACTAGATTTGTTTGTACAAGAAAGAACTAAGATTAAAAACTACCATTCCTGAACAACAGCTAGTTCAGGATCTGACACCCCGCTAAGGTACCCAATGAAGAAGCTCTTCCTCAAATGTTCTTGATTTCTCCATGTTTATGTCCACTTCTGCCTGATAATGACACTAACCAGCCAGGAGCAGAATCTGGGGATGGCGGCTGTCAGGACTATGGAGCTGGTTTCTGTAGTAACAGTGCCATCTGTAGGAAGACCACAGAGATGCAGGTTACCGTCCACCACCTAAGTCTACCTTGCAGGCCCAGATTGCCAATACTCTTCTGAAATTTTCAGGCTTCTCTTGTTGGCAAAGAGTCAGAAAATGAAAACTTAGGTATCTGGGAACAGGGATAATAATGAGGGGCTGAAGAATGGCTTTCTCATGATTAACTTTATCATTTTTTACAACAAATAGAAACATCTACATGAAGACTTCTGGGGACTAGTCCTTTTGGTATTACTTTTAATTTTTTTTTTTTAAGATTTATTTTATTTGTACAAGGTGCTGGGGTACAGGCCAGATGCGTGGGAGGGTGAAAGGATTCGCCAGAGACAGAACAGGGAACAGAACAGGCAGAATGACGAAATACATTGCTGAGGGGAGCAGCGGGCGAGACAGGAGAGGTCTGCTTCGCCATGTGGGAGTCTCATGGGCTGGCTGGGATTGAACCTGCACTGCAGAGGCTGTGAACAGCTTCACAGTGTGGCGCCTGCACCACCAAGGAGGCCATACTTTCAATTTTTTATCAAAGTAGTACAGGTGTACATCAAACAGAACATTATCAGGTTCTCCTACCACAACAGGGTATTGTCACTTTTTTGCCAACATAATGGGGGTGGAGAGAGAGGAGGAACTGATCTCATCACTATTTTAAGTGGCTTCTTGACTACTAGTTAGGGTTTACATATTCGTATATATGTGCATGTGAAGAGATATAGACAGATACATAAATATGTATATAATTATTTTTCTACTCTGGTGAACTGCCTGTTCATAATTTTTGCTCGTTCTACCACTGAATAGCTTGTGTTTTTCTTATTAATTTGCAAAAGCTCTTCATAAATCTGGATATATTTCCTTTATTATAAGTGTTCTAGTTTTTTTTTTACCAGTTTACTGTTGACCTTTGACTTAGCTAAGGTTTATTTTGTCAAAAACATAAAATGTTCAAGTTTTGCTTTCCAAAGATGGCATACACTTACCTTTTTCTTTAACCAAGATCTGAGATGTCAAAAATGATTCTGAGAAGACCACAGAGCCTAAGCATCCTCTTCCTCCCAGCAAGTCAGGAATGTCATAGACAGTCATACAAGCCTGTTTCAAATGAAAAACCAGAGTTAGACCAGTTGATAGTCATAAATTTTCAGGGCGAGACTCCCTAAGAAACAGATCACAAAATCTTGCTTTAAGATACACAGCAACAGAGAACTGGAAAGTTTTAGAAAGGAAGACCCATTATCCAGAAATCCATCTCAGAACTGGGAGCTGACTTCAGGACCACCCAGGCAGCAGGCATGCATTTGGCTAAGTTACCCACACCAGCCCAACCAGCTTCCTATGACCAAAAGCTCACTGAAATTATGGCCTAGGCAGTAGCCACAGAATAGACTCAGGCATAACTTGAGTCTGTCCACACATACAACCAGAATGCTGGCTAGATGTCCACCATTCTCTCCCCATGTTCTTCTCCGGAGATTTGCTAATTTGATGCAGTTTGAGGGCACTCAGTGAAGTGACTTTGTGGAGAAGGGATGGGGCTCTATGTGGAGAACTGGACTTGGAGACTTTTTTTTTCCCAATGCCTAGTATTGTTCCTTATTCCTCACTCCAGCTACACTGGTACACAGCGACCTGGGATTGGGAGATGGTCTGCCCTGGAAAGGCTGGGGGGCCTGGTAAGCAAAGCCTTGAGGAAAGGAGGAATGGAGCAAGTAACAAAAGTAACAGAGAAGACCCCACTGCCAGAATAGCTACCATTTACATGCCCAACCACACACATGGTGGGAAGAGGAGGAAACACGCAGAGAGCTTCTTCACATTAGGATGCAGTGGGGTAAAATGGAAGATGGGGTAAAACAAGAAACTTAGAAACTGATTTTCCAAGGCAATGCCATCCTACCCCAGGGACCAGTATTTCGGCATCTTGAAACCATCCCCGTAGCCCATCAACGTGCCCTTTGCACATGGGTCAGAAAGCTCTGCTCTGAATACTCCACTGGAGACTGAGGCCCCAGTTTTATTTGTCTGTTTATTTTTACAGGTTCTGTTAAGGGCATCAACATAGGTGTTAAAACACAGAGAAGCCACTGAAAATTCATCGTTTTGTGTGGAGGTCGCTTGCCCTCAGTTCACATACCCACACGAGGTCAGAGCAACCTCAGTCACATGGGGGAAAACTTCCCCAACCCCTCCTCCCACCCTCAGCTAAAACTCTGGACCTGGGCGAGTCTAAGCATGGAGCAGGGACATGATGGGTCTGGCACAGGCTCAACAAGGCTGTTACTGGGACAGTCCTGAGAATAAACCAGTTTCCTCAGTTAAGGGACAGGCTGCACAAGACTCCTACCTCACCCATGTACATGTCTCTCTAAGGACCATTACTTGTCAGCTGACGTGTAACAAATTTGCTTACCGTTTTCACAAAGTATAAGCTATCCTCACTGTCCAGAGGCACAATTCTAGAAAAGAAATAGGATTTTTTTCCCCCACAATACTCTTTTTTTCTCCCCCGCCACTCCAACTCAGCAGCAACCCACAGACCCAGGTTTCTCGTGGGGATTTACAAATCAGAGCTTCATGTATGCAAAGTAAGTATGTACGTTACTTGGATGAAATAATGGCCACCCTCCATCCCCATTCCTGAGTCTTTCAGTTGGAAGCACTAAAGGTAGAGGGGCTCAGCTTAGCACAGGCAGTGTTTGCTAGTCTTGGCCCCAACCCTGGAGTGATGCCACTGCCAGATGTGGAACTGTGAGAAGTCATCCCTGCCAGCAGTTATAAGGTAACCTCTCTTTTCTTTTTGCTCATTAAACTTGCCCCAAATGTGGATGCAATACAATCATATACTTACCTTCCCTGATTATTCACAGCATGTATATGAAAAGACATCTTGGAACTGTAGACCAAAAACAACAAAATATAAGTCAGTGTGTGATGCCAAGAAACCAAATTCCTAGGCCGTCTAGACCTTGAGAAATGGCCAGACTCACAGTTTCTACCATGTGCAAGCAAGATGAGGCCCGGAGTAAGCCTCTTCTCATCAGTGACTGTCTTCATATGATCAGGGCCTCTGACCCTAATGGCCTTAACATTCATGTCCCCAGCTTCACCTTTCTATCCTCTGAACTGGAGTTTGTCAGTCTTGGAGGTTCTGGTATTAATCTGTCTCCCATTCAGCCTTAGGGTTCCTCTACCTTTGGCTCCTTGGCCTTTCAAATAAAGCCCTGATCATGAATGATTCTTCTTCTATGGTTTTACTGGCACATTTTCTCAAAGGTAAGGCAGAATATAACATACAAGAAAGAAAAAGGTCTTTAAAAAACAAACTTTAAAATAATTGCAGGAAATATAAGTCACTGCTTACCGTAGGGCTGCCTTAAACTGCATCAACTCAAAGGAATCTAACCCAGATCCCAGGGCCTGTTCTGCCTCCTCCTTGGCCTGGAAAAACAATCACAAAACAGGGACAATTAACATTCACAAGAGAACACATCACTGACAGAGGAGCCCCCGCTAACACTTGGCCAGGAGAACACTTACCCTTTCATCTACATGATCACTTGGACGATATAAATTGATTTAAGTGAAAACACTGTATTAAGAAAAATAGGTGCCTGTTTCTTCAGGCTGGGTTCACAGGAAACATGTTATTCAGGCAAGTGGACACTAGAACTTGATCTGCCAGTGAGATGTGACCAGCTAGGATGGTGCCATTGTGAGATCTAGGAAAGTGCCTTCTTTTTCCCCTTGACCCTGGTGCTGGGGGAGGGACTACTGCCCACAGAATTTATTCTACTCAAATAGCTAGAGTCACAGAAGATGAGTAAAACACAAAGGTGTGAAAACTGATATTGAAGGATCAGTAAAACTGATTTTGTTTTACATGTTTTCAGCTAAAGGATAGAGAAAACCCACTTCAGTACCAGAGATTCAAGTTCAATGAGAAGGTGAGATGGCAAGGAGCTGGTGACCATAGCTACAGTCTCTGTCATAGCTACATCATACACAACCTTTCTAATGTCAAATGGCTTCCTTCAGGAAAGGTCCTATTGGCATTGGGAGGCATCAAGCCGACTCTTCTCATCTCCTTATTGAGTCAGATATAGGAATGCAACTCAGCAGGGCAGGTTAACCGCAAAACAGCAAGGAAGATAATGGTCAGAGAACAAGAACACGTGCTTGTCTAGGAAAGGCAAGTCAGATCTTCTCATCTTTAGCTGTTTTTTTTTTTACACTGAATTATAGGAAATCAAACCATGTAGCTCAAAACAAGCTTTTCCTAACTTTATTAAAATTCATAGTAGAACCTGTATTTTTCAACTTTAAAAAAAATTTATTTATGCATACAAGAACTGGGGTGTTGGACAGAGATGTGGGGGAGTGAGAGGATTCACCAGAGGCAGAGTGGGGAACAGAATAGGCAGATCTACTGAAACACACTGCTGCGGGGAGCAGTGGCGAGATAGAGGTCTGCTGTGCCATGTGGGTCAGCTCCCTGGCCGAAGGATCAAACTCATGCTGTAATGACAGCCAATAGCTTGATAGTGCTAAGACTTAACCCCTTGTGTCACCAAGGAAGCTCCATTTTTTTTAACTTTTAAAACCTTAAAAAAAACTATTAAGTAAAACAGTATGCGATGGAGTGATTTTTTTTTTTTAAACACATCCAGATGTCTACAAAGAAGTGCTGATGAGCTGTCATTCAGAAGACAACCGCAGCTCGGTCACAGGCAGCACAAGCTCAGAGTTCTCTGAGGCATCTCTGTCTGGTGCCAGCGCACCAGCCATGAGGCCCAGGCTCACACAAAACTGAGTACTACAAAATGCCCAAAGGAAAAAACAGATGCATAGGAAGTCTTACATTAAAATAATTACTAGTACAAAGAGAGAAATGTGGTATTTAAATTACCTTTGTTAGACTGGAAGTTTTAGCATAACATGCAATGCCAGCCAAAACAGCCTCAATAACAGCAGCATATACCTGAGACAAGAGCCTACTTTAGAAACAAAAAAAAAGGGTTAACTACAGCATCACAAGGTTTCACCAAAAGCTGCATGCACATAAATGACATTCCCTTAGAAGCTGATCTTTAAATAGAATGAGGAAAGTGATAAATGGAACTGACTGATTTCTAAACCTTTAAAAAGCCATGTGCTCCATCTGATTTATACTTTATTCTTGCTAATTCATGATAAGAAAAGTCATGATCCAGAGAGAAAAGTGGTGTGTGCCCCTGGCCATGCTGTGTGCAGGAGCAGCCCCCAGGGAACCTGATCCTTTCAGGGCCATGACACAGACTTGCCCCTTTTCTAGGGACTGACCCCACCACACCTCCCTGTCATCTCCACCTCAGGCCTGCTTGTAATAAAGACTGGGGCTGCTGGAATCTCGGGTGGCAGATCTCAGGGGCCAAAAGAGATTACCTGGTTGGGAAGTTGGGTTCCACTACATTCATATTAACAGCTGCTGGACATGTCCAAGCAGTTTGCCTGATCTTAAGAACAGAGGTTTCTGAGGGGCTCTCTCCCTTCTCCCACACCCATAATCTTGCTCTTTCTCTCTGACTTCTTACTTCCCAAAGTCATTTCAGGAAGGTTCTTTCCTATGCCATACCGGGACTACCATGAACATCCCTAGAAAATCTGAGTCTGATTCTCTTTAGGGCAGGGTTTCTTACTTGGCATTCTGGGCCAGATAATTCTTTGAGGCGGGGTCTGTCCTGTGCATTATAGGATGTTTAGCAGCACCCCTGGTCTCTATCCATTGAAGGCCAGTAGTATCTTCTAGCTCTGACAACCAAAATGTCTCCAGACATTGCCAAATGTCCCTGGGGCTAGGGGAAACGGCAGGAGTAGTAAGACTGCCCTTGGTTAAGATCCCCTGTTTAGGGGAAGAATCCTGGGATCTTATTAGGATAATTAGATAGAGAAGAAACCATCCACAAGGCCCTGAAAGGGAGGTGCCTGGCAAGGAACTGATAAAAGCCTCACCTAAGCATATATCTTTTTAAATCTGTAAGAATACTGTAACAGGTAAAGGAAGGTGACAGGAGTTTAATGCAATTGGGGACGTTCAGATTGGTATGGCCACAGACTTGTGACAGAAGTTTGAAAGCAAGAAGGAACACAGAAAAATCTGGTCTAACCCTCTCATTTTACAGAAGCATGTAGGACCTCTGGAGGGGGACTCAATTGTCAGGTCACAGAAAATACTGGCAGACTCAAACTCAGGTCTGTTCTCGGCCTGGTGCTTTTCCACTGTGCCCTATCACAACGCTATCTCCTCCAATTTCTTCCTTGGCTCTCATACTACACCTCTACAATGCAGGCAAGAAATGTGAGTTGGGTAGAAGAAAAAGGGAGAGAAAAAGTATACGTAACAAAGTAGTATTTCCAAGGATCAACATATCCTGAAGATTGTTAGGGCAGAGGGGTGCATCCTGGCAGTAACAATGCCAATGAGCTTGGTCACTTCCACATGAGACCAAAATCCTCATCTGACAGTAGGGGTGAAGCTTTATAGAAGCCAACCTCAAAGACATAAAGATATTTCTCTCCCACTCAACCCCCAGCTTGCTCTAAATATTACTCAGCACCAGCATTGGTCAGTTCTCCCCTGCTTGGCCTTCTCTTATACAGAACCTTAGACAAGAGTGCAATACACTCACCACCTGGCTACTGACTCATAAAAGGCCTTGATGGAAGGCCTGAGACCCATAAAGAAGGGACCCACTCTATGTGTGGATCATACTGCTGTATAAAATAATTTTTAAAAACCCAGAAAGACACACATTAATATACTAATGGGTAGTATCAGAGAAGAGGAATTAGGGCCGATTTTCTTTTCTTCATCTTCCAATTTTTCTGCAGTATGATTCTATCATTCACATTATACTTTTTTCTAATATAGCTCCATGGGTCCTATCTCAGATTTAGATTCTGATTTAAATTTGATTTTGAGATTCTGATTCAGTAGTTCTGGAAATTACTATAGCCTGGTAAACCTACACTTTAAAAGAGATCCTTAGATGATTCTTTGTGGCCTGTCACTGCCAGCCCTTGAGAAGCACTAGTCTAGACCCCTCTAGCTTATGCTGGGATATTTTATTAGATAATAGAATTTACTGTTTTCATATTTCTGAAGGAAAATTTCTCTTTGGAATTCAGTAATTCTAGCATTGTTATGGACTGAATTATGTTCTCCCCAAATTCATGTTGAACCTCTACACCTCAATGTGACCACATGTAGAGATAGGGGCTTTCAAGGAGGTACTCAAAGTCAAATGAGGCTATAAGGGTGGCGCCTAAATTACTACTACAGGTGTCCTTTTAAGGAGGGGAAGAAACACTAAAGATCTCTCTCTCCAAGTGAAGAAAGGCCAAGTGTGGACAAGATGACAAGAGATCTGCACCTCAAGAGGAGAGGCCTCACCAGAAACCAAATGAACCTTAATCTTGAACTTCCAGCTTTCAGAATTATGAGAAAATAAATCAATCTGTATGCTGTATTTCGTTATGGCAGTCAAGCAGATTAATACAAGCATTAATAAGTTTGTACCTTGCTGTATGTGGGGGACAGGAGTCAAACTAGGACCTTTCTAAGGTTGCACAGTTCGTGTTCATATTATAGGTCTATTCCAGCTGCCTGAGAGTCAAATCCAGAGGAAACACTCCTCAGACCAGATGGGGTTACACAAAGATTCTCCCACCGGGTTTTAGAGTATTCTACATTTAGGAAAGCCCTAAGAAAACATGCACTACGTAGACAATACATTAAGAAGAGTTGTGCCACTTAAATGCATGGGCATGCAGGAAGGATGTTTCTAAGATCTGCAGAGAAGAACAGATGGCAAAGCTGGCAGGGTCCCTGGCCTGGACTCCAAGCTGAGAGACATGGACTGGGAACTGCCTCAGTAACTACACAGCTGTGCTCACTTCATAAGCCAGATGTCCCACCCATTGCTGATCGTGAAAGGAGGTAGACAGGATAGTCACACCTTTGAATAACTCAACTTTGAGAAAGAAAAATAGAAATGTGAACTTACATTTGTTCAGTTTTCTTGGGTAGCTTGTTGTCATCTGTGAAAAAGGACCATGTATTAAGACTGTGAGAAGATCACAGGGGATGCAAACCCTTTACAAAGAAGTTAGAATTTTTCTATTTCATTTGAAGGAGATATGAAGAACTACGTTTTTCTTTTAAGATACCATACAAGAACAAAGAACAGTAAAACCTAGCTTTTCCCAATATCCTCCTGGATCTTCACTCTTGACACTTCCCACTTTAGCAACCCACTCAGCATTGCAATTAAACACCAGAGAAGGTGTGCAGAATCATAGGTTCTGGAATGTTTTTGCCTTTCTTTTAATCTGTTTTTAACTCGATATTATAAGTAAGCAGGTTCAGTTCAGCCTCATTCTTCATCTCCTGAATTACCTGACTCAAAGTCTATTTTAGAGCTTCCCAGTTTACAACATCCAGGAGAAAACCTGGTTTCTTATTTACTCTGTGGAAAGTGCTGAGACCGTCACTCATTCCAGAGGTTCTTCTCCATGTCTCCCTGAATATCTGTAGCTTCTGACTCGTTCAGGAAGAACAGGCTTAGTCAGCCATTCTGGAAGGGCCAGTAGCATAGAACCCTTGTTTCTGTGAACCGCCGCAGGCCTGGATACCTTTCTGCCATGGCCTTTCTTTACTCTCCTCACAGAAAAACTCAGGCAGGCACCTGGATAAGTCACCCTAACTCCCACCACAGCCCAAGCCTTCTCCTAGCTCCATCTCGAACTTACTCATTTTTACTTTTTTCACATAGAGTACATGGTCTTAACACATGAGTAGACTTAATATACACTGATACTTTTTCTTCCTGAAATACACTGTGAGAAATGCATTAGGCATATCAATTTGCGGTCAGAGAGGAAGTCAAAGACCTACAACCTGAGCATGAGGAGCTTCTGAGCAAAGCAGTAAATTGGAGTCGACTGCTGGTTTTTGGAAAAGAAACTGTCTATATGTTTCTCTTTGATAAGTTGATGAGAGGATGACTTATAAGGACTTACCCAAATAAGGACTGTGGGTAGCTCCAAAAAAGTATGTTCTTGAACAAGCAAGGGGTCCCTTTGGTGAGACACACTGTACTACCTGGATGTCAGAAAACACAACAAAAAAGGAGCAACAATCAAAGTTAAAAGTAAGTGCCATTCTCACAGGTGTGAGAAGTATCTCACTGTGCTTTTAACCTGCATTTCTCTTATTAGAAGCGGCAATGAACAGTTTTCATGTCTTTTGGCCTTCTAGATATCCTCTTTGGTGAACTGTCTCTTCATCTTTGCTGCCCATTTATTGTTTTCTTTTTACTTCTTGCATTGTATTTTTTTAAATACATCTTGCCAGGCCTCCCCAGTGGCGCAGCGGTTGAGCACTGGGTTGCGAAGCTGCCCGCAGCCTCTGCGGCGCCGGTTTGATCCCCGGCTGCTCCCCAGCCACCGGAGGAGGGTCCCACATGGCGCGCAGACCTCTCCTGCCGCCCGCTGCTCCCCACAGCAGTGTACTTTGGTCCTTCTGCCTGCTCTGCTCCCTGCTCTGGCTCTGGTGAATCCTCTCACCCTCCCGCGCTTCCGACTATACCCAGTGCTTATATAAATAAATAAAAATAAATCTAAAAATAAATAAATACATCTTGCCTATTAATCCATTATCAGTTACATATTGTATATTTTCTCCATTCAACAGGCTATCTTTTTAATCATCTTATATATTCTGCTATACAGAAACTTTGTTTTCTTCGATGTATTTTATTGTTGCAGGTCTTATATCTAAATCTTCAATCCATTTGGAGTTTATTTTGGTGCGTAGGGTTAGCAAGTGAGTCAATCTGGTCTATAAAAATTTTTTTTTAATGCCTGATGAGCTTTTTAAATGTTTCTTTATTTCTTCTCTGCTCTTCCCACCCATTCCTTTTAGATAACTTTGCTAGATCTTTCAGTGCTTTATCTGTATCACTCCATTCTCTTCTTGTACTCATGGCTTTTAATAATAAGTCTACTGTAATTTCCAGTCTTGCTCTTTTATAGGGATGTTTTCCCTCTGGCTTTTTCAAGATTTTTCTGTCTTTGATCTTGTAATTATAATCTTTTTGAATGTGATTAAGCCCAGGAATAGATATTCCAGTATTTATTCTGTTTAGTGTTCTCTGAGTTTCCTGGATCTGCGATTTGTCTTTAATTTCTAAAACTTCTTGCCCATTATTACCTTAGATATTTCTGGTGTTCCTTATTTCCTTTCTTCTCCTAATATTCTCATTACAGATATGTTATTCTCTTTGAAATTGTTGCACAGTTCTTGGATATTCCTCCTCTTCATTTTTGATTTCCAGCATTTCCTTTGGATTAGCAGTTTCCATCTTTATGCTTACATTAATTATCTATCTGTTCTTACATGTTGTCTACCCATTAGTCTTTAACATATTAATCGTAATTATTTTAAGTTCCTATCTGAAACATCTGAAAATGAATCATATCGAGAATCTGGTTCTGATGGTTGTACTGTCTCTTCAAACTGTTTTTTTCTTGCCTTTTAGCATGTTTTTTTTTTCACAGACATGATGTATCAGGTTTTATGTTAATCTGGCTGGGAGATGGGTCGTGTTGTTCAATGCATTCTCTATCTGCAGAGGCCAGGGGGCTTAAAATTCCTCCAGTAATACTGCATTTGTCTTTCTGTTTTATTTGTATTTTCATAAGAATTTATCTTTAGATAGTCTGCACTTTGAAGCTCATTTAGCAGTAATCCCCTATTATTATATTGAAGACCTGTTGGAGTGGTAAGGTAAGGGAGTGAAAAGATTCTATAATGTCATAATTAAATCTTAGTCTGTTAAGTGGCTAGCGACAGCAGGTTTTCCTTGGGGCTTTGAACGTCTGTGCCTATTGACATTTCCAGGTTACAAGCTTCTTTAGTGCCCAGTTTGGAAAATATAGGCAAAAAGAAACATCAGAAGACTTAGTGGCATTTTGTTCTTTGGCCCTGAGGTCGTTAGGCTAGTTTTCCTTCTCCCCTTTTCAGTTTTCCTATGTTAGTCTAATATGTAATGCCCAGTGTTTTTAGTTGTACTTAGTGGGAGGAAGAGGGAAAAGTATGTTTACTCCATGTTCCCAGAAGCAGCAATCAGATTGTCTCCTTTAGTTTTGACTCACTCGGTATATTCAATCAACAAGTAAATGACACAAAAAAGCCTATGCCATTTGGAATTCTTTTTTTTTTAATATGTATTTTATTTTTATATTCCCCATACAATTGCAACCCCCTTATTTTGACCCCAATCCCTCCTCTCCTTGCCCCCCATCCCACATAGTGTGTCTCTGGTTCATAGTTGTTTGTTGATTTTGATTTTTACTTTCTTATAGTTATTCTTTTTCCTGGTCCCTTATTTAAGTTTTCTAGATTCCTGCTGTGAGTGAGACCATCCGGTATTTTTCTTTTTCTTTCTGTCTTATTTCACTGAGCATGATCCCTTCCAGCGCCATCCATGTTGCTGCAAATTGCATGTGTTTATCTTTTTTGAATGCTGAGTAATATTCCATGGTGTATATGTACCACATCTTCTTGATCCAGTCGTCTATTTTTGGGCATTTGGGTTGTTTCCAAAGCTTAGCTATTGTAAATTGTGCTGCTATAAACATAGGGGTGCAGGTGCTCTTTGGAATTGATGTTTCTGTGTCCTTTGGGTAAATACCTAGGAGTGGAATTGCTGGATCAGTGGAATTCTTTGTGAATTCCAAGACAGGAGTGGTTTTGGAAAAAGGGAGGGAAGAGGAACAGGTGTATCTTTAAAATGAGGCCCGAGCCTTCCCTTTTCTGGTAGGAAGATCCCAATAGGACATCTGTTCAAACAGTCCTTCATCCTAACTGTCTTGGACCCAGTCTGGTGTTTCAGTCCAGACAGATTTGGGGCTCAGTTTCCCCAAATCTAAACTGAAAAATAATAGTACCCATCTCCCCAGCTTTCCTGCCTTTCAGGGACATTTTGAAAATACTTAAAAATTATTTTTACAATCATTAGACTCTCGTATTCCTGTTTAATGTTTCCTTTAAAAGAATGTAGCAGACAATATATCCAGTGCAAAAATCTTCTCCCTAGTATCCTTGATAAAAACACAGTGATCCTCAAGGATTATGCCTTGAAACGTAATTACTCAAGGTATAACAACTGGCTTAGAGTGACTGTCCGTTTTGAGTTAATTTAAGATTCTTAATCTACAGATGATCCTATTCTGACAATTTAAGAGTTTAGTCTGTGAATTTTTTTTTAACCCTTCAAATATTTTCCTTCAAATATTTAAGAAAGTAGACAAAATGTTTTCAAATCATACCTGGTACTTGCATAGACATAGCAGCTCATTTTATTGTGACTCACTTCAGAGAGCCTCACAGGTAACTGTGGTTTCTTTTCTACATGATCCTCTACCAGCAAAAAGAATATAACTCACTGAAGGTTCAGATGGGGTTAGCACTTTTTAGGAAAAAGTATTTTTTAATTAAGATCTATACATTTTTTAGATGATGCTGTAGCACACTTCACAGATTAAGGTACATAGTGCATATAACTTTTATATGCACTGAGAAACTAAAAAATGCATGTGACTTGCTTTATCACAGTATTTGCTTTATGGGGCCTCCCCTGGTGGCGCAGGTGGTTGAGTGCAGTGCTGTGAAGCTGGCCGCAGCCTCTGCAGAACCGGTTCGATCCAGGCCAGCCAGCGAGGGTCCCACATGGCACAACAGAAGAGGTCTGCTGTGCCTGCTGTTCCCCTCAGCAGTGTATTTCATCAGTCTGCCTGTTCTGTTCCCCGCTCTGTCTCTGGTGAATCCTCTCCCATCTTGCGCATCTGGTCTGTACCCCGGTTCTTGTATAAATAAATAAATTAAAAAAAAAAAACCAATATTTGCTTTTTGGCACCAAACCTACAGTATCTCTTAGGTGTGCCGGTGTAAAAATACACGCGTTTTCCAATTACATCTTTTCACCCCCAAACAAGTTCAAGGTTAAATCAAGTTCAAGGTTAAATCAACACACTAATTGGAAAAAGTTCTTTTCCCCAGTTCCCCTCCTCCCTATTTAATCATAAAACAAATTAAGCACCAAGCAGTCAAGCTACTCACCATGTGCTTGGCAAAGCTCCCGCTGGGACCAGTGTTGCGTACCAGGTGCCCTTCAGAGGGGAAGTTAAAGTTGCCAGCATTCAGGTTTTCACGTGTGGAATGGTTACCAAAGAGAACGAATGGCTGCCTATTAGGGCTAGTGTCAAATCAAAACATGTGATTAGGAAAGAGGTTCCTGGCTAGAGAAACTTCCTAGTGAGGGAGTGCTCCAGTTTTTTAAAATCATCTTTTTGCAGTGTGAGCAGAGTAGTCAGTACAATCTACCTAATTTCCTTATTGGTTGGGAAGGGACACCAGATGCCTGATTTCTCCTACTGACCCACAGAAATCAGTCATTTAGGGACATAACAAAATCCATGCCAGGCATATATTCTCAGCTTGCCTCACTTCTTGAAAAGAAGGTTCTGTAAATTTGCTATCCCTGATGCACAGATGGAGCTAAAGCCCAGTTTTATAAAACAGCATTTTAATAAATACATATTTTAAGGAATGATAGCAGTTGTGACACCCAGAAAACACACAGACAGCAGAGCTATTAGCCATTCCTGGGTAGCTGTTGGGGAAGTGGAAAATAGGGCTGAAAATATTCTCATCAATACACCTACCTACCTCCACATCCTTTTCCTTCTTCCCTCCTTTCTTGGCTGGATTTCTCTCTTTAATTCTGCTTTTTCTCTTCCTGCTTACTTCTCAGCCTACTTCAATTAACCCCCTCCTCAGTCATGTAGCATATAGCAAATCCAATGGCCAGTCTTCAGCTTGCCCTTTCTAGATCTCTCAGAAGGATACCCTCCCCTGCAAGAATTGTTGCTCCTCAGTCTCTTTTTTGTCAGTCATCTTTCTCTTTTACTGGGGCCTCTGAATATTCTGGGTTTTTTTTTTTTAATTGCTATATTTTACATCTCCTTTTACGTAGAATCACCAAAGCACTCCCACCATCAAAGTTCTCAAAGTCTTCCATCACAGTCCACTGTGCTTCCCCTTACTCACACTCCCCACCTTGATTCTCCCGTCCCCTCAAAGTCACAGATTGATGGTCAGCTTTAATATTCCTAGGGTTTTACCTTCAGTTGTCTGCTCTCTCCTTTCTTCTCTTATCTCAAGATCTTGCCCCTAAAATTATTCCCTTTCCAGTTGCTACAGTAAATAAATGGTCTCATTATACATCCAGGGACTGAACCTGAAGCTTCCCTGACTTCTGCTCCCTCATCCTCTAAATCCAATCAGTCTTCCAAATTTCACTCTATTGTCCATTTCCTTCCATTCATAAGGTCACAATCCTAGTCCATGCCACTATCACTGTCTTGCTAGACACCTGCAATGTTTCTTTTCCTGTTACTGATTTCACGTTTCTGATTTTAATTCTGAAGTGTAATTCAAGGTAAGTGACACTTTCGGCAGAAAAAGATGACTCTGAGTCCCAAACTGGCTTATCGCCCTACTAGATGGGAGGGGAACTAGTGAGGAAAGACTACTCTCATCTAATCCAACAGAGGAGCTATTTTTTGAAAGGCACTGCTAATTATCATGACAAGAGTATTACTGAAGGAAACAAAGAAAATAACACAGGGACCTTCACTATTCCCCTAATCTTTCACTGGGCTGGAACTTTATGCTCAATCCCTTTTACTCCCCACAAACTAATGTTGCTCCCTGCCCAGTCCCTGGACACTCTGCTTCCTTTCCTTTCACTGGGCTAGGGACAGAATAAAAACATTTCTTTTTTTAGATTTCATCAGGAGACAGTATTTCATTTTATTTTATTTTAGGGAGATGCTATATTTTAAAAGCTAGTTTACTATGAATTTTAAAACTATTTTAGAAATATAAAAGCAACGAAACAGACTATTATACAGAATATGGATTGCTTACTCTGAGATGACTTAAGTCAATCCATATTTTCCTAACTCTGACTTCTGGACTTAGATGCTTCCCCACATCCACTCCCCCGTCAACTCCATTTTCTCTATTACCATTCACCTTTCTTCCCCAAGAACCTTACCTGTTTTCAGTTATATGGCTGGAAATCATCCCATGACTGAAATAACTTCTGAATGGCTAAAGAAGAAGCAAAAATTGTATATATTAAGATAACTTCTAAAACCATCATAAAATCTCCTTGTGTGTGTGGGGGGGTATGGAGAGATTGAGAGGGGAGAGAAGGGTAGCAGTTTGTGGATTATTATAAGAACATGGATGAACACATGTGATATGCAGCAACATGAATTTTGGGCGGCAGTCAGCAAAGAAAAAAAGACAAAAGACTGTAAAAGAAAAACAGAAAAATGAAGGTAAAGAAATTTTTGTCAAATTTTATAAATTTTTTAAAGGTTTATTTATTTATGCATACAATAACTGGGGTGTAAGGCCAGAGGTGCGGGGTGAGAAGATTCACCAGAGACAGAGTGGGAAGCAGAACAGGCAGATTGATTGAAATACATTGTTGAGGGGAGCAGCGGGTGAGACAGGAGATGTCAGCTGTGCCGAGTGGTGTAGCTCCCTGATAGGGGATTGAATTCGTGCTGCAGTGACTGCCAATAGTTTGATAGTGCTATGTAAGTACTTAACCCCCTTAAGCCACCAGGGAGGCCTAAATTTTATAAACTTTACCTACTGAAAGGAAATTGGACTAATCACTACCTATGGTCCAAGTTACTAACCATGTGAGACTTTTTCTCCTATTAAAATTTTTCCCTACATTTCCAATAAATGAATATCAATTCTACTATACTAAGTTAAGATCAGCACTGAGGAAGAATTCAAGGAATACTTAGTATACTTAGAAGTGTACTGATAATTTTCCCAGGAAACCACAGAAATACTCAGCTTTGACCTGCATAGTACTAGGCTAACCATTAATCAAAAATTAATATGCAGGGAAATGTCAAAAGAGTTCAAAATTTCCAAAGGCAAATTTACAGCCCTTAAATATTTACAGCCCATCTATATTTTTTTCTGATTATGTAAATAATATACTCCACAGTCTAGTTAATAATACTGCACTGATATTAAAATGGGAAAAAGAGGGCCTCCCCGGTGGCGCAAAGGGTTAAGACACAACCTATGAAGCAATCCGCAGCCACTGCAGCACGAGTTCAATCCCCCCACTGGCCAGGGAGCACTCCACATGGCACAGCAGACCTCTCCTGACTCACCCGTTGCTCCCCTCAGCAGTGTATTTCAGTCAGTCTGCCTGTTCTGTTCCCCACTCTGTCTCTGCTGGATCCTCTCACCCCCCACACCTCTGGCCTGTGCCCCTGTTCTTGTATGTATAAATAAATAAATCTTTAAAAAAAATAAAACAAAATGGGAAAAAGATGGAATTATAAAATGGCCCTCAAATATACAAAAAATGTTCAAATTTAGTCATAATTAAAAAGATACAAATTAAAACAATACTGAAATAGGGCCTCCCCGGTGGCACAGCGGTTGAGCGCTGGTTTGCGAAGCTGCCCGCGGCCTCTGCGGCGCCGGTTCGATCCCCGGCTGCTCCCCGGCCACCAGAGGAGGGTCCCACATGGCGTGCAGACCTCTCCTGCCGCCCGCTGCTCCCCTCAGCAGTGTACTTTGGTCCTTCTGCCTGCTCTGCTCCCCGCTCTGGCTCTGGTGAATTCTCTCACCCTCCCGTGCTTCTGACTGTACCCAGTGCATGTATAAACAAAACAAACAAACAAACAAACAAATAAATAAATAAAACATGCCTCTATTTAAAAAAAAAAAAAAAGATGAAGGTATCTATTAGAAAATAGGTATAATGTTAAAAAAAAACAATACTGAAATATCATTTCTCATCTATAGTAGTATCAAGAATTAAAAAGTATAACAACACATTTCATGAGTGAGGTTGTGGAGGAATATGTACTCCCATATACTGCTAATGGGTATGAAAATTGGTACAATCCTTTGAAGAGGATTTGATAGTAGCTAACACAACTACATATACACTTCTTTTTTTTTTTTTTAAAATATATCTTTTTTTAAAAGATTTATTTATTTATTTATTTACACATGCACTGGGTACAGTCAGAAGTGCAGGAGGGTGAGAGGATTCACCAGAGCAGGGAGCAGAACAGGCAGGACAGAAGTACACTGCTGAGGGGAGCAGTGGGCGGCTGGAGAGGTCTGCACGCCATGCGGGACCCTCCTCTGGTGGCCGGGGAGCAGCTGGGGATCAAACCAGCGCCGCAGAGGCTGCGGGCAGCTTCGCAACCCAGCGCTCAATCGCTGCGCCACCGGGGAGGCCCTACACTTATTTTCTGACCCAGCAATCTTTTTTACTAGGTATATATAACTCCAACAATATGCAAATTCATAAGGACAAAGGTATTTATTATGTCACTGTTCACAATGGTAAAATATTGATAACACTCTACATATACATACATAGGAGAATAGTTAATAGATGAAAATAGAGCCACACGATGGAGTACTATGAATTATAACAAAGAATGAGCAAGATGTCAATGAACTGACTTTGATCGAGCACTAGGATAGGTTAAGTGACCAAAATGGAAATGACGGCATAGAGTATGCTACTTTTCAATTAAAAAAGAGATTATAAGGAGATACATGTATCTGCTCAATTGTGCAAAATAAACAGAAAAGATGAAGTATAAAATGAAGAGATTTGTTACCTACTGGTAATGGAGTATTTAGAAAGAAGAATGGAGTAGGAAGAAGCAAGGAGTGATGTGTTGCTGAGTGTACTTTTTGAATATTTTTACTTTTATTTATTTATTTTTTGAAGATTTATTTATTTATACAAGCACTGGGTATAGTCAGAAGCGCGGGAGGGTGAGAGAATTCACCAGAGCCAGAGCAGGGAACAGAACAGGCAGACTGACGAAATATACTGCTGAGGGGAGCAGTGGGCGCAGCAGGAGAGGTCTGTCACACCATGTGGACCCTCGCCAGCGGCCAGGGATTGAACTGGCGTTGCAGAGGCTGCGGGCAGTTTCGCAACCCAGCGCTCAACTGCTGCGCCACCGGGGGAGGTCTGATTTTTACTTTTAGAACCACAGTAATAACACAAGGAAAAAGAAGCTAAAAACAGAAGGTACTGGATGTAAGACAACCTCAAGTGGCCAGAGAGGTAATTGGAGTCTCTGAAGGAAAGGAGAGGAATGGGAGCCAGAAAAATTTATTTGAATATACAATGGACAAAAATTCCCCAATTTTTTTTCAAATTTGGAAAAAAAAAACCTATAAATCTATAGAGCTAAGACTCTCAAAAAACCCAAGCCCAAGAAATATGAAAATTATAGCAAGACACAAACTACTGAAAACCAGTAATGAAAGAGAAAATCTAAAATGTTGATAGAGAAAAAAAATGTTATGATAGAAGAAACAAGGCAAGTGAAAAAGTGCAACAGCCTTCAGGTACTGAAAAAACTACCCACCTACAATTCTATACATGGCAGAATTGTTTCCAAATTAAAGGTAAAAATATTTCATTTTCAGACATATAAAAGCTTGAAGAATTTCTCATCAAAGACATCCTCTGGGGAGAGGGAAATCATACCAACAAGAAATTTGTATGTACACAAAAGATTGAAGAACACCAGAAATAATAACTACACGGGTAAATATGTAAGATTATTTTATCATTTAAATCTTTTCAAAGTATTTTAAGATAATTGATAATTTAAATAAAAATAATAGCAATGTATTGTGGGTTTTATGACATATGTAATTACAAAATACATGACAACACGTATCAATTCCAGCTGCAGGGATTAGAAGTTGGGCTTGTTTTGGCCATTGGGGCCAGGGAGAACTGAGAACTGACAGTACAAACCCAAGATCATTCTTTTTATCATTCTCACTGACCACTTTTGGGGGTTGTCTTATGGCTTGGTCCCTGACTGAGATAACCTCAATTTACTCATGGAGTGAGTTTTAGCATAAACCTGGTAACTCTACTGCTGTTTGCCTGGAAAAAAAAGGTTGGCATTACCTGAAGGTTCAGCTGACAAAGATGTATTAATGACATGTGGTAGACTATTCCCAGACTTACTTAACTGGGGCCCATTAAAATTCCTCACTGACAGGACTACCACACTAAAAAATGAGCATCCCTGAAAAGAAGCTGACATAGAAAAAAGCCAACTTTTTATATCAGTGTTTGCACTGAGGTTAAAAATTTCTTTACAGCATACAACAAAGCTTAAGGAAAGGATAACAGACATAAAGTAAGATTGGTAGTGTTGTTTTTTGAAGAAAAAAGTTTTTAAAAAGGAACAATTGGGCCTCCCTGGTGTGTGTCAGAGAGATCACCACTATGGCCTGAGTTCAATCCCTGGCCAGGGAGCTGACCCACATATGGTGCAACACATCTCTCCTGTCTTCCCACTGCTCCCCTTAGCAGTGTATGTCAGTAAATCTGCCTGTCGGCTCTCTACTATCTCTGGTGAATTCTCTCCACACCACTGCCCCCACACCTCTGGCCTACCCAGTTACTCTACACCAAAAGAAGGAACAATAAATAAATTATGTAATTTTCTTGTTTATTTGACTCTTCCTTTACATACCTCACCCGCCTGAGATTCAGAAAGTTCCAGCAGGAAGGGAATTTCTGTGTCAAAATTAGCAAAGAAGTTAGACCACTGATGTTCAAAAGCCACCAAATCCTAGGGAGAAAATGAAAAAGATATGTATAAAGGAGATACTTTAGAAAACCAGAACCAAAACTGCATCTGATTTCAAATTACCAGACCAATTTAAAAATGTTGCTTAAAAGGTAATCACAATATGTATTAGTAGATACACAGGTTATCACAGGGATGAATCTCAAAAATATTATGCCAAGTGAAAGAAGTCAGCTATAAAAGACCACCTGATATATGGCTTTATAGAAAACATAAAATACCCAGAAGAGGTAAATTTATAGAGCAGAAAGATTAGCTTGAATAAGGCAGGGAGACAGATTACAATTGAGCACATGGAAAATTTTATGGGTTGATGAAAATGTTCTAAAACTCAACTGTGGTGTTGACTATACAACTCTATAAATTTATACATAAAATGTATAAATTTATAAATGTATAAAATGTATACATAAAATGGGTAAATTTTATGGCATATAAACTATACTCCAGTAAATATGTTTTTAAAAAAGGGCAGTAATAAAGGTTCCTTGCTTCACTCCCCAGGGGATCGATCATCTAGGTTAACCAACAGGGTATTGTACCCAGAGAACCCTATGGTTTGGGGTGAAAACTAGAACACCTGAACACCAGAGACCAAGTACACTGCACCTGAAGGAACATGGAGGAGATTCATTCTTCACTGAACAAGAGGTGGATGCAGAGAGACACCTAGAGGCTGTTGTCTGGGATAGGAGGCTGCGCTACCAACTGAGGCACTGCCACTGGAGCAGCCACTAAGTCAGTGGTGCCAGGGAGGAAAGAGTTGAACAGTGTGGGGATACACACCCTTGACTGAGGGAAACATTACGGAGAGCTAGGGTACTTCCAGCAGGCTGGGTCCACAGTGAAAATACAAGGACAGTATACTGAGTGTGCTAAGGAAATAACCTAAGTGCCTAATGACATACGAATGGATTAAGAAGACATGGTATGTGGAGAAACACACACACACACACACACACACATGGAATACTACAGAGTTACAGAAAAAGATGAACTCCTGCCATCTGCAACAACATGGATGGAACTGGGAGGGATTATGCCAAGCAAAATAAGTCAGGAGAAACACAAATACCAAATGGTTTCACTTATGTGGACTATAAGATAGAGCATCTTAACATATAAATACTGAACCCTTAATAAATCTTACTTCATCATAAAATATTTTTTTAATGTGACATTGGGTTCTGTCTGCTAATATTTCACTTAAAATATGGGCATTAATATTCACCAGTAAGACTGGTCCTGTATTTTCCATTTTTGAGGGTTTTTTGGTTGCTTTGTTGTTGGGTTTTGGTATTAGTCATTTTCATTAAAAGGCTACAAGCTGCTCTTTTTCCATGCAAAACCAATCCATGGCCACTGAGAGACACTACTGAGCTGCTTAACCACAGTACCTATTCCTACAGTTTTAGTTTTGTTTGTTGATCCTTATTGCAAATTGCTCCACCCACCTTAACTTTTTCTTCAAAGTTCAGATGAACAATTAATTTCTGACCTTCTAATCCAGAAGTCAGCAAATTATGTTCTGTGGGTGGGCCACATATTTTTATAAATAAAATTTCCTTAGAACACAGACACACCCAATCACTTCAGCATTGTCCCTGGCTGCTCTCAGGCTACAATGGTACTGATGAGTAGTTCCCACAAAAAGGAAAAGCATACAGAGCCTGAAATAATCATATCTAGACCTTTACAGAAAAAGTTTGCCTTAATCCTTGATTTCTTTACATCATATTCCATCTTTTTTATCTTTCCACGTCAGAGAAACAGTGCAAAAAGACACCTTCCATATTGTTTCTGAAAGTTGAGCCCAACAGAAAGAACTTTTTTAAGTGAAAATCTAAACTCTGGACCAGGCAGGTGGCCTTGGTCTTGCCTCAGATGAGGTTTCCTCAGAGTTGAGTAGAATAGCTTTTCCAGGTCCCATTCCATGCCCAAGGAGTTCAAAGTATACAGGAAAGAAATCATTCAATTTCTGATAAACCAAACTAAAAACATATCTTGTGTTTCTTCAAAGTATATATCATTAGTGGATAACTGAGCTGGCTGTAGGGTTTGAAAGTTAAAAATAAGTTGGCTCCTTACTTCTGAAAGCAAACTCTCCAGAGACATAGCATCCATCTTGCTGTAGACATTCCAGAGATTCAAACTCACATCCTGCAACTGCAACACAAGGACAAAAACACTGAAACAATGGAGACAGTATCAGGGCAATTAGGATTCTTTTCTGAGGTTCAAAAATGATGACCTTCGTGAAAACTCAATGATTAAAATAAATCAAATTATTAATTGTATTAGAACCTTTATATAGTAACAGATGCTTTATATATTAATAAATGCTGTTCCACTCAAGAAAATTACCTTTTCAAGATATCTGACACACCTTTACATCTCTTTAATGATGGGCTCTGCCTACTATCTCATTTTTCTTTTTACGAACTCTTTAAAAGTACAGAAAAAAATAATTTTCTCACTTTTTATTTGCTGGAGAAAAATCTTTTTCAAAAGCATTTATTCTTGCATGTAACATACTACGGTCGCTTATGTTTTGTTGTCTTTTCATAAGTCTTACTCTACCTTTCAATATGAAGATCTTAACTTGTGTCCATAAAAAGGTGAATGAATGGTTGCTCCATGGTTACTAACATTATCCAGATGTTTGCTATTAAAACTGTTTCCTTGGGGAGCTACTTGATATAAATTTATAAATTACCAGGTCACAGATGCTGGAGAGTAAGAAGGAAGGTGAAAAAAGAAAGCCCTAGAAAAAGAACTTCCCTGTCCACTTTCCCATGAAGAAAAGAGATCTCTTACACCCATAACTAGTTCGGCACACACTAAATACCAAGTAAAAGTTATTTGGCTTTGGCTACCATTCTCATGCTGGCACCTACCATATTAGGGATAAAATATCCTCTCAGGGGTCTCGCTGGTGGTGCAAGGCCCACCAGCCTATGAAGTGCAAGGCCCACCAGCCTATGAAGCACCACACTATGAAGCAATCTGCAGTCTCTGCAGCATGAGTTCCATCCCCGGCCTGCCAGGGAGCTACCCACATGGCGCAGCAGACCTCTCCTGTCTCGCCCGCTGCTCCCCTCAGCATTGTATTTCAGTCAGTCTGCCTGTTCTGTTCCCCACTCTGTCTCTGGCAAATCCTCTCACCGACCCCCCCCCCCATCTCTGGCCTGTAATCCTGCTTTTGTATGCATAAATAATCTTAAAAAAAAAAAAATCCTCTCAGTGACTTTCTTCTGGGTATGTCCATGCAATAAAACAAATTAAAAAGTGAAATTATAAATCTCTGTAGTTCTCCTTCAAAGGAGGTTCAAGTACTCATTAGGCCTTCAATATGTGAATGAGAGTCAAGTATTGCTTCTTACCTTGAAAGACAGGGAAAGGCAGGGTAAGGAACAACACTGAGTGGGGAGAATGAGATGGAGACATAAGGAAAGTATGTGAGAGAGAGAAAATTAGCAGACAGAGAAAGCAGGATTTGGAGAAAGGAATCTTGAGCGAAGACTTACAGTAACGTTTACTACACGTGTGTTATTTCCTCATCACTGCCCATGCCACCCCACCCTAGAGTAAATATCTACATTACCTTACAAAGGTATTTCAGAAGGGGATTTTATTTCTTTTGGATATGACTTTCTTCCTAAGGCAGGAGTGCATTAACGATGGGCTGCATTAACCATGCAGCTTCCCAGGGCACTGATTTCCAATGCTAATCTAGCTGGGGGTGGGGGTGGGGTAAGAGCACAGGATTCTGAAGCCAGACAGCCTAGACTTGGCCACACTGCTTTCCCCTTCAGGTTAGAGGGTTACTATAAGAAATAAAGTCAATTCATATTGACTTAGAACAGAGCCTGGCATAAATGAGGCATTCTATAAATGCTCACCTTACACAATTTAAAATAAATATTATCACTAATGCTAAAAATTTTAAGGTTCCTCTCCACCTTCTGTGGCCTGCCTCCTTTAAGTCCTACACTCTTGTAAATTAGAGAGCATCACTTCCTCTCAGGGCCAGTCCCCACAATCCTACTTAGAGTCAATATGAGAAACTATGGTTTTGGAGCAGGAAGAGTGGCACGTACACCACTTCAGCTCTCTGGCCCTAAAGCCTGTGCTCCTCCACATTTCAAGGTCTGTCAGGCAATGTCCTCTCATTTCCTAGGGATGCTGCTACTTCTCAGGAGGGGTAGGAATTAGCCTTGCACTTTGCTTCCAAAGGTCCCATTTGTTCTATTCCTGATAGTATTTCCCCACTTCTAGCATGTCAATGTTCCCTCTCCCTGACTTCCTGTGCTGGGGGGAGGAACATCCCTGTGGGGGTCCTATGGAGGCAAGTGAATGCCTATGGTATTAATGATTAAGCCATCTTCCCTAAAGTGTACTCTGGATGGCCTCCTCCCGGACTGATTCATTAATCCAATGAACGAATATTTATTGGTGAACTATGAGATGCAGATAATGCTGAAATAAGACACTGTTCTTACCACAAAAATTAGCCCTTTATTCCTCTAGCACATAGTACATAAATTCTGCATTGTCCCCTTTTTTTTTAAAGATTTATTTTATTATGCATATAAGAACTGGGGTACAGGCCAGAGGTGGGGATGTGTGTGTGAGAGGATTCACCAGAGACAGAGTGGGGAACAGAACAGGCAGACTGAGTGAAATACACTGCTGAGGAGAGCAGCGGGCGAGTCAGGAGAGGTCTATTGCGCCATGTGGGTAGCTTCCTGGCCGGGGATCAAATTTGTGCTGCAGTTGGCTGCAGATAGCTTCATAGGTTGTGTCTTAACCCCTTGCACCACCTGCACTATCCCTTTCATTGCTCTTGGATAGTTCTCAATTTTTATGAATTTCTGAGATACAAACAACAACAACAAAAATATTCTTATTCTCAAAGTCCTTCCAGTGCAGAGACTGGGTGTGGGTTGGTAGGTGAATGGGGCTTGTGATAAATGTATAACATTGGATGATAAAAACCATAAAAGGAGTCATCCTAGGGTGCAACAGTAGTAGACTGGAAGAACAGTGAACTGAAAATGGAAAGAGAAAAGAGGAGAGAGAAGAACTCCACAAAGAAAGCATACTGGAGCTCAGTTTGGGGACTAGACTTAAACAGCAACTATTTTCCGTTTCAATTCTTCTAACTTGCTCTATGCCCTTGGGAGGTAACTGCCAGCCTTTCAGAGTTTTATGATGCATGCCCACTTTGTGGGCTCTTCATAAAATCAGTCTAGTGGCAGACAAAAAACAGGCAAACTGCTTCTCATACATACCTCATATTTCATGGTAAAAAATCCATCCCCTCCAATGCCCTCAAGTGCAAAGGCCTGTACAATTGGCCATTTCTCCACTACAAACATATCAAATATCTGCAAATGACCTAAAGGAATAGAATACAACATATATCAAATACCACCCTGGTTATAAGTCTAACTAGTATGGTTAGCCTGGCACCATTCTCACAAGTTTACCAATACCTAATCTAACAAAAGAAAACTGAAACAGATCAAATGGGTTAGATATTAAAACTAGAAAATACAAAATGCAAAGCAAGGAAAATTCAAACCATAAATAAGTTACATAAATTAAGATTTCTCTATGATTATATTTTCACATTTTGGTTTCCTAAGTAAATAATTAGTGGCCGATTACATCTGACTTGCATCACTTAGTGGCCATAATTATTAACAGACCCAAAGTTGGCTCCTCTCCCTTAAGAAACACAGCCAACTTCCTCAAGGGAAAATTAGTAAGTAAAAAATTTTCCTTTCTGAAATGCAAATCAAAACTACCATGAGATACCATCTCACACCAGTGAGAATGGCACATATTAAAAAAACTAGCAACAACAAATGTTGGCGAGGATGTGGAGAAAAAGGAACTCTTCTGCACTGTTGGTGGGAGTGCAAACTGGTCCAACCACTATGGAGAGCTGTGTGGAGATTTCTGGACCTACTAAACATAGAGCTTCCATATGATCCAGCAATTCCACTCCTAGGTATTTACCCAAAGGACACAGAAACATCAATTCCAAAGAGCACCTGCACCCCTATGTTTATAGCAGCACTGTTTACAATAGCTAAGCTTTGGAAACAACCCAAATGCCCAAAAATAGATGACTGGATCAAGAAGATGTGGTACATATATACCATGGAATATTACTCAGCATTCAAAAAAGATAAACACATGCAATTTGCAGCAACATGGATGGCGCTGGAAGGGATCATGCTCAGTGAAATAAGCCAAAAAGAAAAAGAAAAATACCGGATGGTCTCACTCATAGCAGGAATCTAGAAAACTTAACTAAGGGACCAGGAAAATGAATATAAGAAAGTGAAAATCAAAATCAACAAAAAACTACGAACCAGAGACACTTTTTGGGGGGTGGGGGGCGGGAGGGGAAGGATTGGGGTCAGAATGGGGCGTTTGCAATTGTATGGGGGAATATAAAAATAAAATTTAATATTAAAAAAAAAATTTTCCTTTCTTAGAACAATAGCTTCAATGTGCAGAGTCTTTTTTCAATGTACAAAATTTTAACAAATAAGATACAAGCAGTGCTAAACATGCTGATTTTATCCTAAATTTTTACACATCATTTTTGAACCTCGATGTGAGTATATTTTTAACAGCTACCTGAATTACTGTTTTTTACTACCAAAGGTCACATATCTACATCCTATGTATTAATATAATAAGTGGCATAGACTAGATGACAGCTATGGTAAATTCTTATCAGTTCTTCTATCTAATTATAGGCATGGTGTATGTTCTAAATACAAGCTTGCATAGGAAAGTCTTCGATTTTCCTTCTGCTCAATTCTTTGCCTTTAGTAAAAATAAATCAATGGGCTTCTCAGCAGAGAGCCTCCAGTGAAAGAAGTAGTGGGACACTAGACTCACACAGCCTCCAAGTACGCTTCTAAAATGGCTCACTGTAAGATACCTTGGGAGCTGTAAGGAATGCCAATTCTACTACAATCTCGAGTCATATCCACAAAACTGGCAATTTTAAATTCTTCTGCAGCTTCTTCATCTTCATACTAAAGAAGGAAATTGAAAAGAAAACAGGCTTTGATGAGTCATCACACAAAGTCCCAATTTCCTCTGCATTTTATCAGAACTGTTCCAAATGACATTTATAGAGGACTGTCGCAAAATGGTGTTTCTGAATCAGTTTTTTGTATTTGCTGCTCAGAAATACTCATCATTTCCTTACCCCACACACCAAATATTATCTCAAAGTAGATAAGAGACCTAAATGCAAGAGATACAACTTGTTCTTAAAAAATCCCCCCCCCCGCCCCCCAGGCTCAGGAGAGAAGGGTTCTTGAGTACTATTGGGTCACAATATCCATGAAATCTTGAATCTCAAATCCCAAATTGATTTCCAGCCAAATCCTTGAAAAGGACCCAAAGGAAAACAGAAACAGACACCAAGAAATCCAAACACAGAAATGTCAGTTTTTGAAGTTCCTTGGCACTGAACCCCTGAGAGAATGGATCCAGGCTGATAGTGAGGAAGCAGAACATGAAGCAGGTTCCCAAACCTACTGCCAGGTCCCAGTTTGAGCAGTTCCTTTGGTCTCCTTACCCCTACAATTGATCATAGTGAAATATGAAATGTTCCTTTTAAATAACCTCTGTGGTGGTTTTACAATCTTGATTTTTTAGGGCATTCTTGTTCCAGATTTATATTTTCCTGAAAAAAAAATTTTGGAGTATCTATAAATGTCTATTCTAGCTTTTCTCCTCACCTCATTTTCAGTCATGCAGTGGAAATGCAGATTTCTCCAATGTGCCACATAGGGTAAAAGATAGCGATAGTTTACAGGATTACAGTATAGATGGACGCTATCTGATTTAATCAATATAATTACATCTGTAAGAAAAAATTAAAACACAAGATCATTAAAAGCATTTCCTTTAGACATTTTCTGCCCCTATAAGTAAAATCAATAAAACTACTTCACAGACAATGAAACAAAACTCTAAACTGAAAATTCTTTAATTAGGCAATGTGATTCAAAGTGACCATAGAACATTCTTGGGTGTGGACAACCAGGATCTCCTATTCCTCATGAGATGTTCCCCTCACTGTGGCCCCCAGTTGTGGCAATGCAGGCACAGAGTTAAGTCACAAGAGCAGCCTTCAGGGTGTTTCACAACATCAGCGGAGTGAAATCTGTGGTACTAAATTCAACTGTGTGCTTCACTGCAGAGCTAAATACCAAATGGAAACTCCACAGCTTAAACTCATGGAGGAAGAAAACAGCAACAAACATAGCCAAGGACCCACTGCAGGTTATCCTGGAGACACCAGTGTCTAAAGCTCTTGCTGTTGGCTCATCTGGCTCAAAGCAATCGTGTGCCTGAGGTCATTGTTGCCTGTCAGCTTTGGGGAGGGTTACTGTGTACTGGGGTGAACTCTGTACACAGGAAAGGCTGGGAGGAAGGAAGTAAAGGCAAGTGGACATGGCTTCTATAAATAGGTCATCAGCTCACATATTTAAGGAATAATCATCAATGCTGGTGAGACAAACAAATAAAGCAATCCCCAGGGTGCAAACAAAGGTAAACTAACAAAAGAGTCTCATATGGAAGGGGGCAGGAACATTAAAACAGCTTGAACACTGAGAAAGAACGCAGTCTTACTTCCAGAAGAAAAACAGAGGCTACATTCTAGGGCTTCTCAGAAACCATAGTCATCAGGCCTCTCTGGAACAAGCTGATGGTAGGGAAGTTGCGGCAGGAGGTAGCTGCATGTGAGGGAGGGCATGGGCATGGGCAAACATCTGATGCAGCAGGTTTGGGTTAATGCCAATATAGTAACGTGGTATGACAGACCACATTCTACAAAAACATATTATAGACCAATGAATACTGACCAAAGCTGACCACATAGCTGGGTAGCCTCTAACATAAAGTTCCATGATGCAAGCTACTGTGAGCTCCACACCTGGCGAGACCCGAGGTATTCCAGGAAACACCGTGGACTCTCAGGTAAGCACTAAAGTCAAGGATGGTAAGGGGTGAGAAAGGGGCCTCCCCTCATCTCTACTCACGCTGGCTTTCCTCACACAGACCCTCTAAAAGATTGTTGGCTGAGGAAGTCTGATGTCACCTGGAACGCCTGAAGGTTTCCTGTGCAGACTGCACTCTACACTAGTGTGTAACATACTTCCAAGAATTAGGGTCAAATAAAAAACATCGCAATAGCTACTAAGCCTAATTAAGCATTCTCAGGATCTCACAGAATTGATGTCATCACTATGAATAAACTCTATTAACAGAAAGTTTAACAGAGTATGTAAGTCAAAGAAGAGATTTGTATGAACATGTAAAAAACTATTTTTGCAGTTTCTTTTAAAATAAATCATGGTGGGCCTCCCTGGTGGCTCAAGGGGTTAAGCACCACACTATGAAGCAATCCGCAGCCTCTAAAGCAAGAGTTCCATCCCTGGCTGACCAGAGAGCTACCCACACAGTGCAGCAGACCTCTCCTGTCTCACCCGCTGTTCTTCTCAGCAGCCGTGTATTTCACTCAGTCTGTCTGTTCTGTTCCCCACTCTGTCTCTGGTGAATCCTCTCACCCCCTGCATCTCTAGCCTGTATCCCAGCTCTTGTATGCATAAATAAATAAATCTTTAAAAAAAAATAAAATAGGGCCTCCCCGGTGGCACAGTGGTTGAGCGCTGGGTTGCGAAGCTGCCCGCAGCCTCTGCAGCGCCGGTTTGCTTCCCGGCCGCTCCCGGTCACCAGAGGAGGGTCCCACATGGCGCGCAGACCTCTCCTGCCGCCTGCTGCTCCCCTCAGCAGTGTACTTCGGTCCTTCTGCCTGCTCTGCTCCCTGCTCTGGTGAATTCTCTCACCCTCCCGCGCTTCTGACTGTACCCAGTGCTTGTATAAATAAATAATAAATCTTTAAAAAATAATAAAATAAAATAAAATAAATCATGGTGGTCTGTTCTCATGTATTTTAGAGGGTGAAGTATAGAAATAAAAATATAGCAATCTTAGCTTTCAAACTACTTGGAGTTAAAAATGAATTCATTAATTTGGAAGAAATTGCTCATTTCATAAGCTCCATTGTGTATGGTGACAGATAAAGACCAAAAAACCACACCTTTGAAGATCTGAACTCTTTCCTTAATTTCAGCAAGCACTGTAATGTGCTTAGCAAATTTGCCTTCAGTGAAACATGTGACTAGTATGAGAATCTGTCTCTTTAGAGCTCTCTAAATGAGCTGCCAAGATGCATTTTTTCCAAACTAATAGATGCCATACAGGGAGGGTAAGGAAGCATTTTTCAAATTAAATCTGAAGTCAAATTTGAATTCAAAGAAATTTAACAGAAGGAATAATTTCAGTCCGCTATTTCTGTACTTCCCAAGAAAGGAAATCTTTAATCAATGTGTAAGGATTGATATTGCTAAGGGCTTCACCACTGAAGAATTTTCACATACAACAGACCACACACACACTTACCCTCATCACTACAGACAGCTTAGAACAGATAATTCTGTTACAGAGGCTAACCTGTGCATTGTATTTAGTAGCATCCCTGGCTACTTCTCCCCTGCTCAGTTGTGACAACTAAAAATGTCTTCAGATACTGCCAACGTCCCGAGAGATGAAACTGTCCGCACTTGGGAACCACTGCACTAGGCCCACAGAAAGATTATTTTAACATAAAATGTTTGCTTTCATGGATCCCCTAGCTGCTTTACAAGAGCTGTCTGTTTCTTGTTTAGTTTGCTTTGTCTATTCCTGTGACTCCGAACCCGTCTGGCAGACAAGTCACGGTCCTAAGTATGTGATAGCAGAGCTAGCTCCTGGGCATTAGCCCACAGCAGCATCAACACAGGCTGAGTGTCTTAGAGCTGAGAAAAGGGGAATGTAAGCAGAAAGCCTGCATTGTAGTCATGGGCATCGTCATGAATGAAAGTCACACAGAAAACAATCCCCAAAGACAAAGCAGGACAAAGGGCCTTTATTTCTGAACTGAAGATCCACAAGAAGTCTTCCTTGTAGGAGAAGCCTGCAGGCTCATCCTTGACTTGCAAGTGAAAGTGCTTTCACAGAACAGCAGCACATAATCTGAACCTCCCAGCACATAGAAGCAGTGGGCAATTCAGATAAAACCAGTTCTTTGCCAAGAAGAAATACAGCCAAACAATGATGTTTACTTTTTTCCTAAAGCTGATTTACACAGTAAACATATTCTGAAAATTATTTGTCACTTGTCTCTTATCACTCAGCAACCGAACAGGAGCACATCACTCAATATAGCCACAAGGAAGAAACATTATTTTTCACTAATAAAGAAGCAAAATATTTCTTGGACTTGAGGTTATTGCAAATCTGCTCATATTTTTCCAGAAAAAAACCATGAAATAAGGACACAAAGAAATAAATCACCTACCCACCTCACAGTTTACCAATATATACTTACCATCTAGAACTTCTTCAGAAAATCCCGTTTTCTCAAAATCACTGGTATTCTGATTGTACAAGCCAAACAGAAGATAATTCGCCAATTCCCTGCAGCCTTCATTGTACCTGCTATCGATTCCTGCAAGGCAAAGGCAGTGCAAATTAGCTCTACTACACTACAGAACATACGAGCCCCAATAATTTGCCCCACTCAGCAAAACTATGATGGTTAAGTTAAAGGCAGCAGCTCATGCCAGTTTTGTGCCAGAAACCAAGTTAAGCACCTCTCTGTGAAAGAAGTAGGTCTAAGTATCAAGTGTCCTTACTTGGATTCAAGATCCATATAGTTGAGAGTCAAATAGCAGAGATTATTGTAGCTATTAATTCCTCAAAAGCAATTCTTGAAGATAGAAGGAACCAGACAAAATGGTCCAAGTCCTGTTACGGCTGGCAAAGGGGCTGGTGTACTTCTAGTTGGAATAGGAATAGGGTCAGAAAAATATTAACTTCTCAAAAAGACCTTTACCAAAACATGTGGGATCAAATAAAGACAGATTAAGATGGGTTATAAAGAACCCAAAGAAGTGGAGAAGAGGAGAAGTAAATGGAACCACAAACATTCATCACTTCAAATATTTATCTAGCCCAAGGTCCAGCACTGTATTGGTTGCTGGAGTGTGTGGTAAACATGCCCACAAAGGTCCTCACGAAGTTTACAGTCTATGGGGCTGGGTCAGAGACAAAGAAAAAAAAAAAAAACTAAACAATAATGCCTTCACTACCACCTCTCAATGCCACAGGAATTTATCTGCTTGGCTCTGGGGTATCTGTGAAGGCCCAGAGGTATGGCTTTGGGCAAGAGGGACATGTCAAGGACAAGTGGTAGCTGTCTGTATGATGCAAAGAGGAAGGGTATAGGCAGGAGGAGTCACAAAAATGAAAATATGGCTGGAGCCTGGAAAACAGGACTGCCAATAGGCACTCAGACCAGTGAAAATAGTGGTCATTCAGAGCAGAGGGGCCTCTGACTGCCCATCGAAGATTTCTAATGTGGAGGTCTGTTGAGTCAGAGTTGCTCAGAGGGGTACTCTAGGAGTTTAGAAGGCTGGATTATACCAATTATCCAGTGAACAGTGAGATGCTATGGCAATTCTAATCACCTGGAAGAATATAATTTACTAAACTTCAGGAGCTGTTTAAAAATACATGAGTCTTTCACTGATTTTTTGCTTCCCTTTCACATAAAACTCTTTGTCCTAGAGGTTTAAGCTTTTACCTCCATTTTCATACCCAAGTCCAAACACATCAATTTCTACTTTTGTGCTTTTGTTAAAAAAAAAAAAAATGCATATATTCTGGTCTCATGATATCCTACAAAGTGGATTCTTTTAGAAACCATTAGCATTCTATATTTAAGTTGTTCACCTCATCAATTTTATGGTGCCTATTTTCACTAGGTTGGGGCTTATCAGAAATAGTAATATATGTGATAGGTATTTTTTTCCATAGGTTACATTCATAGCAAAGAGAGCCTCCACCCTCCTGATGGCTGCATCTAAAGAGAGGATCTAGTCAGTTTTGTTTAGGTGTCTGAAATCTCTGACTGGAATTCCAGTCAGAGTATATCTCTACGGAGACTTATTAATCTCTAGGTGAAGTGAGTGAAACCAGGATTCAAACCCATTTCCAGAGTCCGTGCTTTTAACCACTCTGTATAACATCTAAGTTTAAATGCAAATATTGTTAAGTGAAAAAACTGTGCACAGAATATCTGAGAAAGGACAAAGAAATTGGTAGCAATTTGCTTCTAAGAAAAAAATTGGTGTTGACGGACAAACCAAACCATCTGACTAACAATTCCATTTCTCAGACTCTATATTATGGATATAAATAAAAATGAGGGAAAGGAGATCAATCTGGTAATTAAAAGCCAAGATAAACTGTCAAAATTTTTTTAAATTAGGTTAAAGCATTATGCATAATATATTCAAAAAAATTAAACAAAAACATGTTCCCATTTTTGTTTCTCAATAAAAAGAAAGAGAGTTGACAATGTTACCTCTAGGGAGCGGGACTGGGTATCTGGAATGCTCAGGAAGCTCTATTCATTATTAATAATGTAGTGCCCAATTTTTAAAATTATGTGATATATTTTCACAAAAATATTAAAAAAGAAATGTACCATTCTTGCCACCCTATGATCTGAAGCAAGTCTGCTGTATCTCCTAGAGTCTGTTTCCTCTGTAAATAAGGGATAACGCTTCTCCATTGTCAGGTCTCTGTGAGGAGCAGTGAGATAACACGTACCAGGTGCCTGTTCTGCACAGGGGATCCCTGTCTTCCTCACACCTTTCCCGACCTCATTAAAACAGCAAGAGATTTCAGGGGAATAAGAGCTGGGAGAAAGACACTAATTCACAGCTTATCTCACAGTGACACCATATAATCTTTCTGTGAACAGATGCCAAGTTGCCCCAGCCCTCAGTCCCACCTTTTTAAAAGCACTGACCTAGGATGCAGAGAATCCCATCAGGCCGAGACTTGCTGCTCTGGGTCAGGATACTCTGAACATGGCGGAGTCGGCTACAGCTGTAACAAGAACAGAAAATACTCCCTGAGTACCAGAATAAGAAGGCATAAGGAGAAGGAGTGATTGTTAGGACAGGAAACTGATCTTGACTAGGCTTGGTGCCAGAACTATAAAACAGGGAAAAGTTTCTTTCTCTTCTACTTTCCAGAAGTGATTATGCACAACTGGTCTGAAGACTGAACATGAACTGCTGATTACAAACTAGATGGTCAATGGTTCTCTCGCTCAAAAGCAGAAGGAGCCAAAGCCCTTTCTTGGCCATGCTGCACAGGCCCGGGACTCAGCAGATGCTCCAAAGACCTATAATGACTTCTCATTTTTGAGGATTATCAGAGTTTTCACACTTATTTATGCCCTGTGGTCCGAAAAAACCTGTCAAAAACAAAAACAAAATACCAAACAGATAAACAATAATAATTGGTCTAGGAACCTAGGAAAGTTCCGGTTTTTTATCACAACTACCCGCGTAGAGTTTCAGCAGAGGGGACTTTCAGTTCTGTGCAGATCTGTTATTCCTTAGGCCTTAAAATTATCCCCCTTCTCCCAAACAAAATGTGAGAAGAGGTACTCCCAGATATTAATATCACTTCTAAGGAACTCCATTCTGTCCATACCAACCCTTGCTCCAACCCAGCAGTTCCAGAGAGAGGGGCTCAGTTTCCTACTTAAGATGGATCCTTCTACCTATTCCCTTATCAGCAACATGTATAGGATTTGCCGCCACTACTCATTCCTTAATTCTCCAATATTTAATGATTTCCCTATAATCAACATATCCCCAGCCATACCACATCATTATTAACTGAGATTCTCCACAATCCAACTACACGAACTGTTCCATCCATAACAATCAGACTTCATACCCACCGTCACTGAGTAAGCTCCAGGACACTGACCTACATCATCCAGCGAAACAATACAATCTCCGCCCCCTGGATTCTCCCTCTCACTCCTCCCTGCCATTCTTTCTGATGTTCCCATGCTCCAAGCCAACTGCTCCACGATTTTAGTGGTTATTATCACTAATTTCCTTCAAGATGTTCACAGATTTCCACCTAATACTAAAACAAAGACAGTGCCTACCCCTAAAATCCCTACAGATGAATACCCAGAAAAAAAATGTATATAAAATCCCCTAATATTAGCAAATAGAATTCAGCAACATATAAAAAGAATTACACACATTGATCAAGAAGGGCTTATCCCTGGGATGCACGGCTGATTCATTATTGGTAAATCAATCAATGTAATCCATCACATCAACAGATTAAAGAAGAAAAAAAATCACAAAACCATATATTTATGGAATAGATTGAACAGACATTCCTTCAAAGAAGAGACACAAATGGGCAATAAACACATGCAAAGATGTTCACTAATCATTAGAGAAATGCAAATCAAAACCACAATGATACTACTGCTCCCACAGAAATTAGGATGGTTCCTAACAACAAAATAACAAGCATTAGCAAGGATGGGGAGAAACTGGAACCCCATAATACTGCTGGTGGGAATGTAAAATAGTGCAGTCACTTTGAGAAATACTGTGATAGCTCCTCAAAAAATTAAAAATAGAATTACCACATGATCCAGAAATTCTACTTCTGAGTACATACCCAAAGGAATGGAAAGCAGGGACTTGGAAGAGATATTTGTATACCCTGTGCATAGCAGCATTATTCACAGTAGTCAAAAGGTAGAAGCAACTCAAGTGGGATAGATGAATATATAACTGAAATGTAGTATATACATGCAATGGAATATCATTCGGCTTTAAAATGGAAGAAATTTCTAAAATGTTTCAACATGAGTGACCCTTGCAGACACTATAGTAAGTGAAACAAGTTACAAAAGCACAAATTATGACATACCTAGCATAGTTAAATTCATAGACACAGAGTAGTGGTTGCTAGAGGCAGGATGGAGTGGGAAATTAGTGCTGAATTGGTACAGAGTTTCACATTTGTAAGATGAAAGTTTTGTATATGGGTAATAGTGGTTGTAGCACAAGAATGTGAATATACTTAATACCACTAAATACACTTAAAAATGATTAAGATGGCAAATTTTGTTATGTGTATTTTAACACAATTTTAAAAATTTTAAGTTAAAAAAGTCAATGTCAAATTAAAAAAAAAAGGAAAGAGAACTCTTCTAAAGTTAAAGATTAATAAAAACAAAATGCAAAGTATGAACCTTTACTTGGATTTAAAAAAAAAAAAGCAGGCCAAATAACATCCTTGTCATCTGGAAATATGTGAAACTGGGCTGGGTATTTGATGATAGTAGAGAATTACTGTTAATTTTCTTGAGATAATGTTATTGAGGTTATGTAGGAGAATGTTTTTTAAACAGATGCACAAAGCAGTACTTAGTGCAGTGACATGATATATGCATCTTGAAAAAGATTTAACAGAAAAGAAGCACAAGAAAAAGAAAAAAATAATGCACATATACAAAATGTTTTAAAATGTTAAGAATCTAAGTGGTAGGTATCATGAGTATTCATTTTCTTTTTTTCTGTACTGTCTGAACATTTTCATAAAATTTCTGAGACTAAGGGTAAGGGAGACATATGAAATAACTCAGGGTTTTAGAAGATGCAGAACAGACCAAGAGCAAAGACAGAAAACTTCTTTCCCTGAGAAATAGGTGTCCTGCCTACTTTTTCACGTTTAATGGAAGGCTGATCTTGCAATTACTCTCTGCACTAGAGCTATTTCAGCAAGTTAGTCCTTCGGCCCACTTCCCACCCCTTTGCACAGTGGCTGACCGACTGCCAACGTTACCAAGAGCTCTTTGGTTTTCAAACTTATAACCAGCCAGTGACAAAAAGCATGAATAGGTCATGTGACCACGAAACAAACAAGCCCCCCCTCTACTGCTGAGGGGAGCCCAGACAATACTGAAAACAAGAACAAAAAGAGCTTCTTTTCCACAAGTACACTGGCCAAATACAGTGGAAGCATATAAAAAGTAGACTTCCCCCTTCTCAGAATGAACCATTACCCTAAACAGTATCTCTTACTTTCATGTCAAATGGGTAGAACTAAATTCAATTCTTTTTTGCTTTGTACATTTTCTTGCTTCCCAAATTTAATTTTTAACCAGCAATGGCCTATTATTTGTTACTAAACCATTAAACTTGTCACTTGCTGAAATATTTACCTATTAAAAAACTATTTAAAAAAAAACTTTTAAAAAATAACCCTGGTAAGTATAAAGAAAACCACAATCACCTGCCCGTACTCCCAAGATCCAGAATGAGCCGCATTCATGTTGCGGCATATTTGCTTTTCTCTATTAGTGCTTTCTTGAATTATGTGTACAAAATATTAATTTTCCTTTGTTGATGAAAAATGGAGTATTACATATAAAACTTGTCTTCATTAAGCATCATCCCAAGAAAGCACCACTATGAGTCTGTTGCCTATCCATTCATTTTTTTTTTTAATACACTTTAAAAATATACTTCAAGCCTAGCAACAGCACTGCCTTCTAGCTTCCTGAAGCATGGCTGGCACCTCCTGTGTGGGTGGCCTGTGGTCACCCATGACTTCACAAAGTTCCTCCTTCAGGCTTGGCAGATCCAATAACACAAATGTTTACATCAACTATGCTGCTCTAAATTATATTTTATTTCTGACTTTCTTTGGATTCAGACTCAGGATCTAGACGAGACAGATGACAAGGTGAAGAAATCAAGACCCAAAGGGCCTCCCTGGTGGCGCAGCGGTTGAGTGCCGCACTGCGAAGCTGTCCACAGCCTCTGCAGCGTTGGTTCAATTCCCACCTTCACTCCCCCCACCCCCCACCCCCCATGGCCAGAGAGAACCCCACATGGTGCAGCAGACCTCTCCTGCCTCGCCCACTGCTTCCCTCAGCTGTGTCTTTGGTCTGTCTGCCTGTTCTGCTCTCCCACTCTGGCTCTGGTGAATTCTCTCTCTCACCCTCCCGAGCTTCTAGCCTGTACCCCAATCCTTGTATAAAATAAATAAATAAATCTTAAAAAAAAAACAAAAACCCAAACATGAGTAGTTTACTCAAGATCACAAGGCTTAGTAAAGATTAACACTTCCAGAACCTGACCCTTCAGCTTTTTCTGATTGTTACTCCTCCCTGAATTTTTTTTTTTTAGTATCATTCATTTCTTCTTCTTTTTTTTTTTTTTAAAGATTTATTTATTTATACAAGCACTGGGTACAGTCAGAAGCGCGGAAGGGTGAGAGAATTCACCAGAGCCAGAGCGGAGAGCAGAGCAGGCAGAAGAACCGAAGCACACTGCTGAGGGGAGCAGCGGGCGGCAGGAGAGGTCCACGTGCCGTGTGGGACCCTCCTCCGGTGGCTTGGGAGCGGCTGGGGATCGAATTGGCGCTGCAGAGGCTGTGGGCAGCTTCGCAACCCAGTGCTCAACTGCTGCACCACCAGGGAGGCCCCCTCACTGAATTCTTGACACGTCAGCAACATACTTAATATTTCTGAATTCTAAACAATGTTCTCTGATCTTCCATTTTATATGGAATAGTTAATTCACTGTTCATTGCTTTTATAACAATTAATGGTAATTATTATACACAGTCAGGTATAATATCATGTTTATTGGTATTTCATTATTTTGGTTCTCTGGAAATGAAAAAAACTGACTCTGCTTATATTCTTTATGCTTTGTGCTTTGACTATTTTACAAAGTGAATTCTCATACCAATCCAATGCACCTCATCACAGAAAAATGCTGTGAACAATTTGATATGAATCTCTCAGTAATATACAGCATGGGTAGGTTTTTTTGGGGGAAGGTATGACTGTTTTTATACAAAACCATACTCATGAGAGACATAACTACTTAGCCACAGGCTTTTTTTCATTTAACATTATACCTTAAGATCTTTCCAAGTTAGTATATAGAACTAAATCTCATATTCAACTGCGGTACAGTATTCTTTTGTTTTTATTTTACCAACTACTATGATCGAACATTCAGGATTTACATATTTTTTGCTTACTAATGCAAACAATGCTTTAATGAGCAAGTATACACATCCACCTTTGCACAAGTACAAAAGTTTTTGTAAGGGAGAGAATTAAAAGTAGCACTGCCAGGTTAAGAGGTCCTTATATTTTAAATTTTGACATAACTTGCCAAATTGTTTCCTTAAAACATTCACCAATATACCAAAATATCTATCACCCAACTTTCTGAACTACATATCACTCTTCAACTAATGTTAATCTAGTTGTTAGAATTGTCATTGTTCAAATTTTTATTTTCCCAAATCACAAGGAAGGTTCTCAAATGTTTACCAATCATTTATATCTCTTTTCTATCATGAATATTCATGTTATTTGCCATATTCTACTGCGTCATTTGGGGTTTTTTCCTGAATAATTTATATACTCTTTTATATTTTAAAAGTTGTGTTTTGGCCATATGTTGCAAATGTTTTCTTCAAATTTCTAGACTTTGTTTTTCATGCATAAATCTTAAAATGTTATAGAAATAAATCTGTCTGTGTCTAGGGGCTTTATGTCTTCCCCGCTTGCTATTACTTAAGATAACACCAATGTTTTGTTTTTATTATATGTGTGTTATACATAATTAGATCTTTATTCTTCCCCCAAAACCAAAAATGACTCTCCCAAGATCATATATTGATTCTTTAGTCCTTTGATGTGAAATGCCACTTTTTAGCACATACTAAATTGTCACAGACAGTTGGATCCTATTATTTCATCTTTATTTGATCTAGTTTTCTATTCTCACAGAAATAGCATACTTTAGGGCCTCCCCTGGTAGCGCAGGCTGTTGAGCACAGCACTGTGAAGCTGTTTACAGCCTCTGCTGCACAGGTTCGATCTGGCCGGCCGGTGAGATTCCCACACAGCGTAGCAGACCTCTCCTGTCTCGCCCGCTGCTCCCCTCAGCAGTGCATTTCGGTCGGTCTGTCTGTTCTGTTCCCCGCTCTGTCTCTAGTGAATCCTTTCACCCTCCCGCACCTCTGGCCTGTACCCTGGTTCTTGTATGCAGGAATAAATATTTTTTTTTTTTAAAAGAAATACCACAGGGCCTCCCCGGTGGCGCAACGGTTGAGCGTTGGGTTGCAAAGCTGCCCGCAGCCTCTGCAGCGCCGGTTCGATCCCCGGCTGCTCCCCGGCCACTGGAGGAGGGTCCTCCCAGGCCACTGGAGGCCACTGGAGGAGGATCCCGCATGGCACGCAGACCTCTCCTGCCGCCCACTGCTCCCCTCAGCAGTGTACTTCAGTCCTGCCTGCTCTGCTCCCCGCTCTGGCTCTGGTGAAGTCTCTCACCCTCCCGCCCTTCTGACTGTACCCAGTGCTTGTATAAATAAATAAATCTTTAAAAAAAATAAAAAAATAAAATAAAAGAAATACCACACTTTAAAATATATAATTAGAGCTTTAAGGTATGCTATCAATTAAACTTTCCAGTATATGGATTATTTTTATACTCGACAGAGAAAATCCTTTTATTATTGTTTCAAAGATCCCAAGGCTTTCTTTCCAATGCTTTCTAAGATGAAGTATAAAATCAGATTGTCAAGTTCCACAAAAATTCTTTGTGAGGATTTGTATTGTGACCCTACTGAATCTAGACAACACTGAGTCCCTTACTCAGGAACACTGTGTCCATCCATCTACTCCTTTCCTGGTTAGATCCTTCTGTCAAATTTCATATTTTTATTTCTATAGGTCCCATACATTCCTTATTAGGTTGATTCCTAGATAAGTTTTGTTTTACGGTTTTGTTCCCAGAGGTGCAGGGGGTGAGAGGATTCACCAGGGACAAAGTGGGTAGCAGAACAAGCGGATCCACTTAAATACGTTGCTTAGGGGAATAGCCGGCGAGTCAGGAGAGGTCTGCTGCGCCACGTGGGTAGCTCCCTGGCTGGGGCTCAAACTCATGCTGCAGTGGCTGGGGACAGCCTCATAGGTTGTGTCTCAACCCCTTGCACCACCAGGGAGGCCCAGTTTTATTCCCACTTTGAATGGCATCTTGAATTGCTACACTTTTCAAGCAACTTGCTAAATTCTTATCAGTTCTAATAGTTTTATCTATTGTCATAAGTTTTCCAAGCAGTGAAATCATAGCAGTTTTACCTCCTCCTTTTCAATATCTAGTGAGCTTTTATTCCAACTCACTAATATCAAGTTTTTATTGAGTACCTACTATGCATTCTGAACTTTTTATTCAGAGCACTGGGGATCTAGCAATGAACAAAAGGGCAAAAACTTTTGGGATGAAGATCCTAGAACTCACATTTTACATTTTAAGGGGGTGGGAAGGATACAGAAGGGGAAGAAACAATATAAACAAACACATTTGTCATATAGTGATAAGAGATTGTGAGATCAGAAAAGGCTTCATCAAGAAAATGATTTCCATGAAGATCTGAAAGACTAAGAGAGCAAGCTATGCAGCAAATGCAAAGGCCTTGATGCAAGAGTGTCTCTGAGATTTGTGGCTGGAGCAGACTAAATGAGGAAGCGAACAGTAGGAAATAAAAGGAAACAAAGGGCAGAGACCAGATTAGTTAAAATCTAATCTAAGGTGAATGATTTGAATCTTTACTTTGTTTTTGGGAGCAGGGATGACTTATATGAGCTGACCTACATTTTAATAAGATCACTCTACTTGCTGTATTGAAAACTGATCAAAGGTAGAGAAGAACTGAACCTGGGAGACCAATTCAGCATCTACTACAATAATGAAGGCAGTAGATGGTTATTTCTATAGCTTATATAAGCTGAGACCTTATTAAGTTAACTTGTTTAAATCAGGAACAAATGTTCAAACTTTAGTTTTTTGGGGGCATCTACTAGTCTTAATTTCATTAATACATAATCCTAATTTCTTGCATTTCTGGGTCAAATTCTACCTGTGCTTGAAGCAGTACTGTTGTTTTACCATACTGTTAGCTTTCATAGACTATTGTTTCACTTAAGATTTCTGCATTTGTACTGTCAAGTACTAGGATCATGCCAATTTCAGATAACAACTGGAAATGTACTCAACATGCTTTCCATTTGTCTTTCCTGGTAACATACCTTGTGCCTATTCTCAACAACAGCATCCAATCATGGTTTACCCAGGAGCAAGCCAACAGGAGTCCTTTCTCAGGGATCTCCTATTTTAGAGAGAGAAGAGAAATGGCCTCGAGGGTCACAAAACAGGAAGAATGTGGACTTGGGGCTACAACAGTCATCTTCTCTGCCTTGGGGAAGGAGAAGGAAGAAAATGAAGCCAGGTAATGCGAAGCAGAAATGCAAAGCATGAACAGAGGTGACTATTCTCATAGCAGTGTCTTGGTTATCCAATGATTTTACACCAGAATTGGCCTGCTTCTCTAGGTAGATATCGTTTGCAAGAGAGAAGAAACTCCAAAGCCAAGTCATTATTGTGAAGCATCTTTCACCAGCTGCCAAACATAGTTCCTAACTATAGGAACTTATCTAAAATGGTTAATACTTGTGCCCCACTGCAATCCATGTCCACACCTGTTTTATGAATTGGGATACATAAGACACTCTACAAACTAAATTCAAGACCTTTAAAAAATGCTACCCACCACAAGTGGAAAATGTTATTTGGAAGTCTGTTCACTATATTCCAGTTTAACAACATTTTATTTTCCATTTTCATCTTTCTCTCCAGATTTTCCTCACACAATCTGCTCTTTATAAAGTCCGTTTCACAAGTCTTCATTCAGAAACCATGTACAATTACTTTCCATCACTTCTTTGATTTTTGAAAGCATACCAAATCTAAATGCATGTGGAATTCCTGATGGAAGCTTGGTATACAAAAACACCATTAGCAGAAAACCTGGGGAAATCCAAATAAAGTCTGGATTATTAAACTCCAAGTAAACAAAAGTTTACTAAATAAACTATTAAGTCAATATTAATTTCTTAGTTTTGGTAAATGTACCATGGTTACATGTAAGATGTTAACATTAGAGGAAGATGGCCAAGGGTTTTCAAGAACACATTCATCTATAAATCTAAATTTCAAAATAATACGGCGAAAACAGAAAGTGTGCCAAATGAGCTGACTTTTCCTCAAATTAGGGCTCAGAATCATAGATAACAGTTTAAAACACCCAAGTTGCAAGCTCTGCTTTTTCTTTCTTTTTTTTTTAAAGTTCAGGACAAAACCATTATTAATTTAAGCTATATAACTACTGAGCACATCTGCATCTCATGTACTACTCCCTCTCCAAAAGTTAGAACATCAGAGAAGAGTCCCAGAGCAGGAAATATTGTCAAGATACTATGTGCTATTTATGCCATGGTAGTTGCTAAGGAAGAGTCCTTAGTTCATCCCATGCAGAAGTGAAAAAGCAGGTAACTTAGATTTCTACCCCTGGGTCAGAAACAAGGTCAGAAGAGCTTAACTAGGCAAATCCTTTTTTTCTACTATAAGCACCACACCAGGGCTCCTGGGCTAGCATCCAAGCAAGTAAACTCGAGAGTGAAACTACATTTTCAGACATACAAGATAATAGTCTTGCTTTGCATTTTCAGTTTTCTTAAGGCAAGGACTATCTGCACAACAGCAATTATTACTTCCATAGATCTGTTAAACCAAATGAGAGTGAGTATTGGCAATCAGCCAGCAAACATCACCGGAAGAGTGAATTGGCCTCTGTGAGGCTGTATTAAAGTGCTTCTCTCTTCTGAACTCCAGACTAACAAACCTACTTTTATAACTAATTGGTTTCTTGGAGAGTCCTTTTAATCTGGAAATTCATGCCCTCTGTTGTTTTTGGTTTTGTTTGTGGTTTTTTTTTTTTTTTTGGGGGGGGGAGGGATGATTTCTTCATGCTACCAAACAATAACTACATGATATCTCTCCTGTTACAACTACAGATATCTGGGTCATTCAGTCCTATCCATTCCCTAAGGATTTTGGCTTCTGCATCACTGTCTCTTTTGCTTTAACTACTCCAGCTTAATTCATGATAATTCAATAGGCTCTGAGATAATTCTTCCACTATAATTCTTCCACTTCAGGTCCTTTAGTCTTGTTTTCCAGCAATGCTGTCCCCCATCCCACCTCAGTCACTCCCTCCTTCAGTGCCGACATCCAAGCAGCACAACACAGATGAGGGAAAAACACACAACCATGTTAATAACTGCGGCTCACCTTAAATTATGACAACACCAAAAGGACACTTGGTGCTGCCTGGCAATCCTAACATGTTTGCTTATTTGACTCTTCATTCCCATGCTCTTCTTTCCATCACTTCTTTCCCCTCAAACTTCCAACACTTCCCCACTCTTCATTATTAGCAGAAGAAGTCCTTCTTTAACAGAGTAAAGACATAATTGGAAGAGAACTTGTACTTTCTCCTGCCACCAACTTAACAACATATCAGCATTTGGGTCCATATAACCCACTGCAGATGAACGATCCACGCACGTATCTACCCTGAAGTCAACACGTCCGTTTATGTCCTAGATCCCATTCCCTCTCACCTACTCAAGGACTTCACCCCTACAACTGTCCTTTCTCTTCAATCAGTTTGCTCTCTGTACTCCATTATTTTGATGACTTAAAATATGCTATTTAATATCTGTCTACTTAAAAACAAGAACCCTCTTAATACTTTGGGCCCTTCCAGCCATAGTGCTAATAGTCAGCTCTCCCTTATAACAGTCCTTGAAACAGCATCACTTTGATTATACTCACTGTCCAATTCCTATTCTACTTTCTCTTGAATCCACTGCACCAAAAACTGTTGTCAAGGTCACCCACAACCTCCACAGTATCAAATCTAATAGTCTAGTCTTAGTCTTCATCAGTCATGACAGTATTTATCATTTGGTTTTCCAAGACTGTCCTTGATTTTTCTTACCTCAAAGATAAGAAACCATTTCTTCTCAGAATTTGGGGGACATCTCCATTTTTTTTCTCTTCTCATCATCCTTACCTCTAACCACTGAATAACCGAGGGTGTTAGATGTGGCCTCTTTTTTCTGTCTACATTTACTCCCTATATCTCTAACAAGCCCCATTGCTTTAAATAAAAATCTGAACATCATCAGCATATGGATGGCATCTCCAGTCCCAATCTCTCTTCTGAACTGCAGACTAACAAACTTACTTGCCTATTCAGTATCTCCTCTTAGATATCCATTAGGCAACTCAAAATGAACACGGCCAGAACGGAGCTCTATTTTTCCACAAACCTGTTATTCTCCCACTATTCCTGATATCAGTAAATGAAAACTCCACCCTTCCAGCATGTGAGCCCAAAACTGACTATACTTTCTTGCATCATTCTTCCTTCAGCCCTATTTCTTCCTCAGTACTTATTTCTCCACACTCTGTGTGATGATTTTTACTGTTTTTGTCTCTACTTACAAATGAGCTCTTTTGAGGACAGGGGTCTAACGTATTTGCCTGAATCCATAATGTAACAATGGGTATATGTTGGATTATTTGTATAAAGAGGTAGTGAAATTTAACTGTTAAACTCCCAAGCAGGAATGGATTCCTCTGCAGAAGAAGACTTAAAGTAGGAAAGCATACGTTAGCTATTTCCACAAGTTTCACTTGTTATTTCCACTTGTATTTCCTCAGTACAAGTCAATATAGCTACCTAGTTGGTAATAATTCCAAAATCTCAGTGACCTGAAATAACAAAGGTTTACTTCTTGCTCACCCTACACATCAAAAGTAGGTCACCTGGAAGATTGCTCTAGGTTCTAAACTGATAGACTAGCCACCATCAGGAGTACCATAGTCACCACAACAGAGGGAAAGAGATTGGGAAATGACACTCTAGAAGCTTTTACCATAAAGAAGATACACATTATCTTTGTGTACATTTCACTCACCAAAAACAATTGAGAAGGAAAATCCATGCCACTTCAAGGGGGTAAGCAAGTTCAACTCTAACACATTCCCTAGACATGGACGCCAGAGCTATTTGATGGACAGTACCAACACTACCACATCCTTAAAAAGAAACTTCTCGTTGTAAGCAACAGTCCTAACTCCTGATCTCTATTTTCGATCTGTGAAAGTAAACCCACTGATAGGAGAGAACATACACTTACAAAGTACTATCTATCGGTCTTTAGGAATGTAACTTCACCAGTTAGGCCTGCCTCTTTCATAACTCAGAAGTGAGAGAACAGGAAAGAAGCCAAATATGGGTGACTGGAAAGTGCTGAGTCCAATCCTGGTAGCAATGTTCAATGCCAAAAGTCAGGGAAAAACATGAATGGGTGAGAAAAGCCTGCTCAGTTATGTAAAGGAAGAAGAACTTGCACCAAATTTTTTTACCAAAGGTATAGAACAGCCAGGCCTTGGGATTCTCCACTCCCCTTTGCCTGCAAGCTAACACATTTCACTTAAACCATTTGATGGAAGAATCAGTGTACAGTTAGTAAAGTCAGCTAACATTCATCTTTAACATAAAAACACTACTATTAAAAAATGAAAAAAGCACACCGCCAAGCTACTACAAACATGGAAGGCAGTAATTTTTTAGAGATAGATTTTACTGGGGAAAAAAGTTGTGTGATTTTTTTTTTTCTCTAAAAGTCTCAGATTAAAGATTCCTTAACTCAAGATGATCTGGGATAAACCCCAAGTCTATACAGTGCCTAGATTTAACGGATGGCTACTCCAGATTCTAAAGTATCCTGTGCAGTTTTTGTTCTATATAAAGCTCAATATTTTCTAACAGTGAAACTGCCAGAAACGTTACCATAAGCAGCTAAACTCTTGAAACTGTAAAGCCCACAGGGAATTCCACTGAAGGGCAGTGCAGGACTTCAAACAAAATCACCTGCCAAATTAGAAGCAAATTAGGATTCCCAAATGCAACCCTAGGTATTTAACCCCACCCCATCCTTTATTCACTCAACAAACATGCATTAGTTGCTGGGGAGGGAAACAAATGACAGGAAGAGAGGGACTGGGCTCTAAGAGTTCTTGCTCTCCAAAAATGTGATTGAGTTAAAAGAATACAAAACAAAAAAACTGATAGGCTGTGCAAACAAAAAATTTCCAATACAATGCCTCAAGTACCATAACCAGGATACAGAAAAAGCCCCTTTATGTAAGTTGACAACCTCTTTTCAAGGAAACAATACCATATTTGACTTGCTATGGGGTCACAAGAGACAAAAGGCAAAAGCAAAACAAAAAAAACCCCTCTTCTGGCTTAATGACAGTTTAGCAGTAGCAAAGCTTATTTCTCTCCTCCCTTCCTCTCTACGGTCTCTGCCGCAACTCCTCCATCATTCCAACCTCCACACTCCACTGGCAGCCCCACACCAGCTGAAACACAAAGCCCAGAATATCAAGGTCAGCCTCAAAGGCACACGGAGCAAAAAATCAGAAATGATCTTCCGATATCGGACGGGGACCAGGAAACTAACCCCCCCTCCCCCCTCCCACCACCAAGATCACCCTCCCCTTACCGAGGCACCCTGGACCGTCTCTAGGATCAGGGGTCTGGGGTGTACCGCTTTCGGGGGGGCTCTAGGCCTCCTTTTTCTATCTATCCAGTTAGTTTTCCCTTGCATGTTCCTAATGACCTACACCTTCCCCAAACGTGAGCTCCCCATTGTGCAGAAAGGGAGAGTCTAAGCAGGCTGGGGCAGAGGGAGGTGGGCAAGACGCCACAGGGAAGACAACGAGAGTTGGGGGTGGGGTGAGGGTGGGAGCGGGGAGTGATGGGGGGAGAGGGAGGGAGGGAGAAGGACAGGAGAGTATCCTATCCTCTTTAGGGAAGGCACAGCCAAGGGAAAGGTTCCAGCCGAGACCTACTAGATAGGGGGCGTTACAGATAAGCCGTTTCTAGGGAAACCCATTTGGGGATTCTATGCAGGGGAGCAACTG